CCCAATACACTCGTCATCAACTGACGATGTTGCTTTAAAAGCTGCCGCCGGACTATGATCCCGAACATACTCCATAGCAAGTGCGCCTTGATATTCCGTACTTATGACCCGGTCAACTGCATAATATTATCCTCAGCAGACAGCTATGGAGTAACGCTACCTTATTACTAGTCTTCTCGTCTGAAGGTGAATACTGGATAATTTCCTGTTATTCGCATGTCCTCAGTGGCAACGAAGAGAAACGGCAAATCTGAGCCCTGTGACTGGACAACTATGAGGGGACTTGAATCCTTCTCGCAGTATCTGTGGGCCGTCACAATGTGGGTCGGGATCGGCCTGCTTGACCCCATGAGTGTGTTCGTTGCAATCCAATAATATACTTCAAACGATGCGCACTCGCACACAGCTGGGAGACGCGTGTACAAAATACGGGTGTACATCCAGCAACAGAATCCATGGAAGGGTACGACGACGACGATTTTGAGAAGATAACACCTGCTTACGGACTCAAGCCACGACTATCATCTGCCATGTCATCGCCTGGTCAATAATATATTACAAGGTACCGCCTCGTCTCGTAATTGTATCGAGTCTGCAATACGAGGAAGGTTCTGCACAGCATAGGTAATCTCCAGTCCCAGCCAGTACTCCGTAGTCCATACATGGTTATCAATACGACCAGCCTTTTAAGCTTGAACATATGCCTTGGCACGCTGTCACCCCTTTTGCATCCTTTAGGAGACTGCAAAACATAGGAATCTGCACAAACATTTTCGAACGTCGGTGCACAGAACTACCTACAAGTCAGATGTAAATTACGCCAGTTACGTCAATAGAAAGCTCTTTTATCAAAATATTAAACCTCCACAATGATGGTCCTCGGTTAGATAGATACGGATTACTGATACGTCCAAGTCACTGCAAATTTTTCGTGCCCCTGATGATCATCCTCATCCACGGAAACGCTCTGATTTCTGTCGTCGCCTCAACCCCCTATTCATGATTCGAGCGTTGCGCCGATCCAAGCCATGTTCTATTGGACTACTTTTTGCCAAGGCAACCGGTCAATTTAAGGGTGCTTGTGGCGACCAATCTTGCGTGCTACCTTCAGGGTTCGTGGTTCGCAGTTCGTCAAGTTCCGCTGAAGCCTCAGGGTCCATCTGCCACTGAAGTTTGACCACTTTGAGTAACCATTCACCAGCGACCAGCCTATGGAGTACTATGGAGGCACTTGCACAGGAAGTGCGCAAGGCATTGACTCCACCGCTGTCACCACTATCCATCTGTATCTGTTACTCTGCTTCGTAGAATGTTTTCACCCCTCTCTGTCAATTGATCGTTCGCTGTCGGGGCCAGGGAATATACTCCGGACGGCACCTCATTTTGGTCAGATAGCACACCATTAACCAACAACTTGGCTCTTATTTTTTGCAACTGTTTCAAAAGGATGAGCCGCGACCATTCCCCTAACTGCTTATCGGACTAAGCAATATGCTTTGGCACCGCACAATACCGAAAGTGGAGGAGCTTAAAATGGGCAGGAACAATAAGTATCGTTTCACGACTACTATCTAGACTAACTTGAAGGTTGAAGAGAATTGATCTCATTAATTTCTGTCTAGATTCTACCTTACCACTCATATCTAAAGCAGTCGTAGATATAGTTGTACCGATATTTATTCAGTCGCGCCACCTCATTGGTAGGGTAGGATATGAGTATATATATCCTGACAAAATGGACTACTATGTCAGTACAAGAAACGACGAGGCCAACTTAACGTCCGATCTCAACATTGAGGTCTCTAAATATAATCTTAGAGCTCACATTTCTTCATCTGAAACTACAAATCTGCTAAATCCCGAGTTTGTCCACTGTCATCGAAATGACAAGCATCGCAGATTCAGTATATAACCCGTCTGTGTCCTGCACGGGTTCCATGCGTACATCACGATCTTCATTCCCTCCGCTGTACCACCCAGGATATACAGCCTCACGTTGAACAAGATTACCTCTTGATTCAGATGCACCGCCGCTTGAGACGTGCCACCACTTACGGCAGTTACCACCTTCAAGAAGTCTGTACGCTATCTAATGCAGCCTGTTGTGTGCCGTTCACCCACTTGCTTTGAAGCAGGTCACGACCTTGTCTTCGGGTGGTACCGATCATGACTGGTGAAGCAAAGTCCTTCAGTCTTGCCATATATAGCAGCAGTAACTCCCGGTCTGCTGGTTGTGGAAGGACAAACTTCAGTCGCATAAGAATCAGTGCGAAGGTTGTAACCAGATCAGTACTAAACGGAAGAGTTGGCTCTGCAAGAAGGAATATTCATTTCAGCAGGCAATTAACTCTCTCTCGGCCTTGGTCCCAGGGGGATGAGACGTTAAACTAGATTTCGCGCAAATCGAAGGTGCAAAAAGCGCTACTCATTAAAGTTCGGGTAGGGATGCATCCAAGCCTTGTGCTTATGCTCAAGAAGATTAAATGTAATTTCTATCATAATATCTGAGGTAAGACTTCTCATTCAGCATCGTAAGCACCTTCCCGGTCCTCGAAATTCATGAAGTCATCTGAAGCTTGATCGCCCATGATTATCTTCCACGCTTCCTTCACCGTGTCAATGAGCGCATCGTCAAAGGCAAGATCAAGGCTAGGAGGCGGGAAGGAGAGTATATTCGCCGACAGTGAGCTTCTTTGAATTCCAGGGGTACCACAAACACCCTGGCTAGGGCGCCCCAACTGTGTAAAACGCAAGGACCACAAGATCTTTGCGTTGGAATCTGCACTGGACCGAAGGAGTTTGTGTATAGCACTTTCAAGAAGCGATTGACCATCAGGTGCAGATATGGAGACACTAGAGTACAAGACACCTGGTATTCGTTAGCGGCGTGCCAGTCATTGTCAATGAGTGGAACATAGAGCATAACGACAAAACGCTCATTATCAGGCTGTCAGAGGTAGGTCTCATCAATGCAATTTCAGGCAATGTAGATAAGTATTCAAAAGAGTCATCATATGAGCGTATGGGAAGTGCTGCGTAAGAAGAACGAAAAGGAAATGCAACTTACTTTGTCCCGATGGACACTCGCCAGTCTCGCTGGAGTGAACCAGAATATATACTGGGGGCGAGTCCTCTCTTTGACCCAAAAGAGCTCCTGGGAATACCACAACTGCGCACACAGGAATTGGGCCACCTTCTGCAGTAACCGGAAAGAGACTCTCCAGAGACGAAGAGACAACCGTGATTGACCGCGAAACCTTTTCATAACGAGTAGGGTCCAGGACATTTGCAGGAAGATCCCAATTTGAACCAACTAGGAATCGAGTTTTAATCGACTCATCATTGGCAAGTTGAGCCTCTATACGACCGACGTCGTTATCGTCGGCCTCGATCGGGTCATTTCTGACCGACTTGATCCCAGAATCCAAGACGTACACTCCGCCTCCGACTGCGAGAGCTCGGCAGCCAACTTGAGAGATTTCGGATCCTCCACCCCATTTGGCAACCAAGCTTCCAAATCCAGGACCGAAGACACCGACAGATGTTAAGTGCCTCTTGATGCGCGTTACCGCATATTCGGCTGACGTCTGGGCTGGAGAACTCTGGGCCAATGAAAGCGAGAGAAGGGGATCGTGAAGCTCGGTAGGTACGTGAAAATTGGAGGTGAGATAGTCCGGGAACGAACCGGTCAGATCCTCACTGTCCGTCAAGCTGTCGTCATCCTGTTGAGGCTTGGCGATGTGCCGGAGGAATCTCATCAGCGTTCGCTTCGATTTAACGCTGATCACGTCATCGGCGAAGACATCTTCGCGGCTACTCGGTACACGGTATAAATCTGAGAATGCATTCACAGTCGTGCTACTGCTCTCAGAAGCCGAGTTTCCGGAAGGTCTGTAGATCCACCAGCTTCCAACGGCCTGAAATTCAAGCTGGCGGTAGACCTTCGAGGACACCAGCGTTGGCAACAACGCAGATCGACAATATATCAATTGAGGTGACAACGTAAGAGTGTATGCTCGAGAAGAAGCTAGCTGAGCATTGCATTCCTGTGCTTGCTGAGGCCTCACAATGGACGCGTCTTCAAAGGGGAAAGACTTCGGTTCTAGCTTATCAACACCAGTCAGCAAATAATCGGAGCATATGCCAATGGCAGAAATGCCGCAGATTACCTTGATTCACCTGAGAAACCCAGTCCTCAGCTTCCTGAAGGCTGAAAGCTGCCTCAGGGCCTCCATAATATGGGTTATGGTCAACGTGAAGTACTTTCTTGCCTGACCGGGAGAGGGCCCTAAAATGTTAAAGTCAGCAACAGAAAGAGTAAAGCAGCTGCTAATTACCGACTCACAATGCCAAAAGCGACTGCGCCAGCCCTGTACCAGAGATTGTTACATCCCATGGCGTTTCTGCCAAAGATTCCATCCTGGGAATGGAAGTTGCAAGGCGTACAGAGCTGGGGAAAAAAGATTCAGTGTGATGCTATATGATGAGCAAACCCAACTATCATCACGTTGGGTGGCAGGCAATGGAGCACTTCCTAGCAAGCAGGAATCTCCTGCCCATGAATGCGGTGGAAGTTTTCATCCGTCCTTGAAAGGAAGAGCTTCGAGGGAAATAAAATAGAAAGCGACGGAGACACGCAGAAATACTTCCATTCTGACCCGCATCGATAGTGCGGCACGTGATGAAGCTCGGGCCATATTCTTCGCGGTCAAGATACTCAAGGAGCAAGAATATTCTGCTCGACTGTTTATTTTTCATGTTCGCTTGGTTCCTTTTTCAGTGATGAAAGCTATTCCTCCACAGCTTAGCATTCTGCGGCTGCCGTGCTCTCATCAAGATGATCTGCTAGATCAATCTTCTACATGAGCTTTCGGAGCATCAAGTCAAGCTATGTCAGAATTCAACTATTCCAAATCAAGTTAGACAGCTTCGCTGCTTTAGCACCTTTAAAAATTGCTCTCTCAAAGGATCTTCCTTTTTTCCTAGCACACCACTCCCCAGTGCTTTGCACGGCATTCTGCGCTTTACCATAGCAGATTCGTCTCTACCGACAAGCCTTCATTGGTCTTGTCCTTACAGGGAGTGGTAGATCGGATTATATCACTCTGTATCTGCTGCTCCGGATGGAGACATCTGATGGAAGCGGTTCGTTTGTAGTGATACATATCGTCATATTGTAGCTCTCTGTGCTATGGAAAAGGTAGACAGATGGCATATACATGTAGCAACCTTAGTACAAATTCCTAACGCCTGGGTGAACATGGCGCCTCGTTTCGAGTGCCGCGTTTCTTGTCACCACGGCGTCAAGCGGTACATCGTGCCCGCATACTGGAGGTTTAGGCTGTTATCCTTCGAGTATCTTTCTCCAGACTCCGTCCGAGAGAGGCGTGTGATGAAGATACCAATGCATGTGCACGTAGCTTCGAATCCTGAAATACGTCTGTGATAGAACGCATTGCAGCTCGTCTCACTCCTCGCCTTCTTCCACGACTTTGGCGCGAATAATCTTGACCTCATCGACCGGCCTATCCTCAGAATTCGTCTTGACGAGTCCCATTCGCTGTATTACCCGCATTCCGCTTTTCACTCGACCGAAAATTGTGTGCTTTCCATCTAGCCACGGCGTAGGCGCAAGGGTGATGAAGAACTGGCTGCCGTTGGTGTTGGGTCCACTGTTCGCCATGCTCAAGACGCCAGCTCCTGTGTGCTTGAGACCCGGATGAATCTCATCCTCAAACTTCTCGCCGTAGATTGAACTGCCTCCCCTGCCGGTACCAGTAGGATCGCCGGTCTGTACCATGAAGTTGGGAATAATGCGGTGGAAAATTACGTTGTTGTAATAACCTCGTTGCGCCAGAATCGCGAAATTTCTGCAAGTCTAGTCAAATATATATTAGCATGTGAAGAGCGAGCGCCAGGTCGAATGATAAGTTCCTTGCTTACCTTTGGCGCATGCTCGTTGTAAAGCTCTACCGTGAAGGAGCCCTAGGATACGTTAGAGGAGCCAATTGCTGTGCGGCCACAGGACAGTCCTTACCATACTCGTGTCGAATACAACATCGGTCGCCATTGTTTCTGAAAGTAGCCAGATGAAGAAATTGGATATCTTCGAGATCGTGCTTCCACCAGAGCTGAAGGTCGTATTCGAGCTTTCTAATGATCTCGCGGCGGGGATGGAGATACTTGTCTTGGCATCTATCATCGGGGAACACAGAGCTTCCACACTTGTCACTCTCTGGTAAACACAGCCTCCTACAGCTATGAACTGATTCCCAACCACAGCGCAACCAGATGAATATTCTCGACTTGAGCTGAAGATTATCACTCTTTCCTACTCTTCTACTTGCGACCCCGAGTCTCGCAGTTGTCATGGACGAGGTCAGTCCACTTGCGGAGCTCTTGGGCCAGGCCATCTACCAGTATACGAAGATCAAACCTTTCCTACCGACATACGGCCATCTCCTCGTTTCGGCTCTCTTTCCTATTTACATCGGCGCCCATGCATCCCTTTCGAGACCCTCATCCGCTGCCAAGCCTCCCAAGAAAGACACGAATAACGCCGAAACAGACAATGAGGAAGAAGACGAGGAAGGACTGGGTCCCGTCCAGAAGATGGAGGGCCTTGAGCCCAGCGATGCGCTGATGTTCCCTTTGACTGCCGGCCTCACTCTGGGCGGTCTGTATTTGATCATCAAATGGTTGGACGATCCAGCCATATTGAATAAGGTCCTGAGCTTTTACTTTTCCCAGATGGGCCTATTTTTCGCAGTCGCATTCCTGAAGGACTGTCTTTTGGTCTTTCGATCCTTTGTTTTCCCTCGCCGATATCGATACGCTGGCAAGATCTGGAAGGCGAAACAGTCGGAACGAGTTTTCAAAGCCGCTCAGCAGGATACTACCCAGGGATCGGTAGAATTACGCCATACTCCCCTTCCTGGAATTTTCGGCTCGATTTCATTACCTACTGCCTTGGTGACAGGCCTTTGGGCGTGTCGCAGCGTCGCGTATCAGAGGCTGAAGCTGCGGGCTCACGTGCGCGGTCTCTTCACCGGCGAATGTCTGGTGGGCCTGCTGGACGTAATCAGTGTGCTGCTGGCTCTGTCTTCTGTTGGGTATTTCGCATTTGTGTCGAAGCCATGGTGGCTAACGAACTTTCTGGGTTTCAGCTTCTGTTACGGTGCGCTGCAGTTCATGTCGCCGTCAACATTCAAAACTGGGTCACTTATTCTGAGCTCGTTGTTCCTCTATGATATCTACTTTGTTTTCTACACCCCGTTGATGGTGACAGTCGCTACAAAGCTAGATGTACCTATCAAGCTCTTGTTTCCCCGGCCACCTGCTCCCGGTGAAGCTCCGGACGTTGTTTCCTTGGCGATGCTGGGACTGGGGGACATTGTCATTCCCGGTATGATGGTGGGACTGGCGCTCCGATTTGACCTGTTTCTCTACTACAGGAAGAAGGGCATTGAAAAATCGCGGCTCGAATCCAAGGCGCAGGAGATCATGAAGCCCCAATACCAGTCTGCAACTGGCGGCTGGGGTGAACGTTTCTGGGCTTGGCCCGTGGCACCGCGTGGACAAGAGCTAGAGCCCCCGTATCAGGATGCAAAGTCCTTTCCAAAGCCTTATTTCAAGGCGAGCCTGGTTGGGTACATTGTCGGAATGATATCGACCCTTGCAGCCATGCAATACTCCAATCATGCCCAACCCGCTCTCCTTTATTTGGTTCCTGGAGTGCTTTCTTTCCTGTGGGGAACCGCGCTCCTCAGAGGAGAATTTCGCGAGATGTGGGAGTTCTCCGATGCGGAAGAAAGCGAAGAGGAGGTAACAAATGAGAAGGAAGGAAAGAAGGGAGATGAAGCTCCAGCTAAGACCACAAAGAGTCTCTTTATGCGAATCCTGTCAGGCGATATCAAAGCATTATACTCTGAAGAGCCTGAAAATGCCACGAAGAAAAAGGAGGAGAAGAAATCCGAGAGTGAGGAGAACAAAGGTTCGGCCGAGGCAGATGAAGGACCAGATGATAAATCGCAAGGTGCAGACGAGGGGAAGGAATTGGATTTAGTTTCAATATCCATCTCGCTGCCCAGGAAAGGCAAGACCGGATCACGCAAAACCCAGACCAACAGGGTTGAGTCACCCACAAGCGAGAAGAGCTTGTCTGTCCCGAGTGCAGCAAATCGTGATGACGAGCCACCGGCCAAGAGACAGCGAAGGAGTCCTAGAATCGCCGAAGTCAGTGCCTCTTAGTTTTGCTTTTTGGGAATGATTTCTACGAACGGGTTGCATGGGATGTTTGCGTTTCGCAATTTGGTTCGGATAGACGGAGTTGGGACGGTCGAACTCGGCATGCATATCCTACGGGAAGGTAGAAAATATGGTAGAATGATCTGTTTCAAAAGTTCCTTCAGAGGTTTCAAATGGTATCATCATCGTTCTTAAAGTTAAGATATACAAGGCAACCCGCCCGAATCAGCAACTATCAAGGATCCGTTTCATATCATCCCATCGTTGCGCGGAGATGTCAACCAGCTGCTTCAGCTCTCTAGTGTCCGCTGCCAATCCACCATTCTTCTCCATTCTCACAATCACTGTCTTCCCTTGCCCCCGTTCTCTTTGTCGACCACGATGCAAATCCTCTCCTGGCTCAAACTCTCCTCATATCCATCGGGGTCAGCGAGGATCCACCTTCGCTGAATGCCTTTCCTGTCACTCTCCTCAATCTTCCTCTCTTCTTCAGCATCGGGAATAATGACCTTTCTCCACCCAGAAGCTGCATCTGCCTCGAAGACGCAGAACGAGCTGGCGACAGGCATACCTCGCAAAGACAGTTTGTGCGCCTTAGAAACCGCTTCCGAGCACACCACCATCTCGTTATCGACGTCCCACCATGCCTTGGGCAATTTCGTATCCCGAAGTGCAGCCAGAACAGCGGCCCAGGCAGCATCGAAAGCATTGCCCGCTAACGAGATAATCATCACATCAATGTAAAGCACCCAGAACGCCTTGATTTCTCTGCTCTTGGAACCCGCATCGCCGTCATGAGCATCCACATCCATCTGCTCGTCCTCATTATGCCGTTCCAACTCCTCTGCTCCCAGGTTCGGCGGCTGATACCAGATTCGCAGATCCTCTGCGCGCACTAAGCGGGTACTGTGTAGGAGTGATAAGATCTGATGTGACAGCGACTGCGCCAGCGCCGAGGGTGGAGCGCCAGGGATAAATCCAGGTGCGCAGCCAGTGCTTAGTGAAAGGTTCGGCACGAGCAAATTAAGATCTTGAATGTGTGATTCGTCGTCTTCGTCTTCGTCATCGTTTTCATGGCTGGCTGCCACAGTCGGCTTCTCAGTGGTGTCGGTTATCTTCCGCCGCTTGTTCGTAGAAGCAGGTGCCGATGCCTGCGATACACTCCACGAGGCGATGTCATCGGTATGAAGAATCTCAGCGCGAACCCCGCAGACCGCCGCAGTGTCACCGATTCTGACTACGGCACTGCCGTTCGTATGCGTCAAAGAGCCGGTGTTCGCAGAGGTAACGCGGAACTGGGAGGTAGCACGGCCATTGGCTCGAATAGAGGGCTGATTGCTTGAGGGAGGAGGTGATAGATGGGCAAGAAGGTAGGCGTGAGGTTGGAGCCGGGCAAATTGAGATGGTGGCAGTGAGAGGGATGGCGGAGCTGACGGTGCAGCTGTCGATGTTGCAGCGGGAGCCATGCTAGTAATGGACCAAAATCAAATTGCAGCTAAATCAGTGAGCAATCGATGCTTGCCTTCTTTGACTTGTCGCTTGATCTGCGAAAAGAAAATAATGCAGCATTGAATTCTTTAGTCTTATGCGGCAGAATCGTCTGCACCTCCGGAAGCGGTGAGAGACCTTGTATCCACGACACGTGATATAGGAATCTCACTTCAACTACCCAGTACTTTTGATCGTGAAGCTACGAGTTTCACACTTCAATGCTTTGAATACGGGATGTAACTGCTTCATTTGCACATCTTATGCCCGGGTCTAAAGGGTTATGAAGAGCAATGAAGCCGGTGTTCGTGACCCTTCGAGATTGTTCGAATGATTGAACACCCTGACGAGTCTTCCCTTGTACATCTGGCTTGCACAAGGAGCGGATTATGATGGTTTTCTAGAAGTTGCGCAGTATAGGTCATTGAACCAGCAATTGCATCAGGCGAGACGCCAAGTTAAACCTATAACCAAAAGCCGATAGATGAAACAGGAAATTAAACACGCGGAGCCTGGCAAATGACCAGTAGCTCAGGGGCCATGGTTCATGATGCAATCGATATCTGTTTTCTAGCGCATTGTGATAGACCGGTTCGGCCAATATCACTCTTTTGAGTATGAAGTCAAAAGATCGTCGCTTTATCTTCTAATTATAAATACGAGAAGCCGTCGATCCCATTGGTTCCCGAACGACTCGGTTGAGATGGATCCCCAGTGCTTTCTGCGGTTGACGTGGAGACTGACCATGAGTATCCAACTGCGTATCTCTGTGTCGGCTGAGCTTGCTGCTTTCACTAACGACGAGAAGAGGCAGCGCAGACGGTCAATAGGAGCGCGTGAAGTGCGCAATCGCTGGCCATCACGCAAGAAGCCCCTCTTTCGACGCTTTCGGGTCGTTTGATTGGAGTGGATCACAACTATTAAGGTTGCGAGCTCATGGCTTCTTCCACTTTCTCGTGTTGTTGATCGATATACGACTCGTGTTCAACCCTTTTCCCTTCGGCGAAACCCCACGAAGATCTGGTCATCGTTTCCATTTTTACTTCTTCGCCCGAAATGCGGATGATAAACTGGTTCAGATCTCAGATCAGGAGCACATCTTGTACGTGTGGCGCCCTGGGCATGTATCGCAGTCTCGTATTCTGCAGGAGGAGCCAATTTTATGGTCCATCGCATAGTCTGTGTTGGGCGCACGGTCGACCGACCTTCGTTTGAGATCTGCTATAAGCCACACTTATTAACATAAAATGGTATCTCTCTTGGGTTAGTTATAGAACAGTACGGCAAAGAATGACTGTCGTGTATTCTATCAATAATGAGATTGTGGTATAGCCGGGAAATGCAGCGGACTCGAGATGAACTCGGCTTTACTGCAGGTCCGAAGCATGGAGGTCTGTCTCTCGGTTCGCCTGAGGAGCGACGAACTCGAGATGCCCTAGTCAGCCCTTGTTCACCGACATACATAGAGAACGCCTTCGATCTCACCGGCGGTAATGATTCGCCTGTCATATCCCCTTGTCACCGAACGACCATGAGCGAGATCACTTTCTGGCGCAACGAAAAAGAGACGACAGCCTTCCTCTCACCGGTGGAGGTACCCAATTTTCTTTTCAATCTAACGTTAGATGGGACACTGATGATGAAATCAACTGCTGGAGCGATGCGGCCACAGCCGGCGCAGTACTTTCTCTGCTTCACAAGGAGCCACCCAGCCCGCCACCTTGCGCGCAGCCTCGATTTGATAGAAATGCCTCAGATGAACAGAGATTGGCATGTGTTGTCTGCTTCGATGACCTCGACGATGGATGTTACCCACAGCCGCCCATTGCAGCTGGCTGCGATCATGGGTTCCTGCCCGGGATGCATATCTGCTTCACCTGCCTTCGTCGAAGTCTAGACAAACAGCTTTCGTCAGGCGCTACGTTTCTGTCATGTCCGATTTGCCTTGAGCAGCTATCCGACGAGGAGGTACAACGGTGGGCCAGCAGACGAACCTTCCAGGCGTATGATGCCAAGCGCACTTGGCAAGTCCTGGAAGAAGATGCTGAATTCGTTCCATGTATCAGGAAAGATTGCGGATACGGACAACTACATGCTGGTGGACTTGAGGACCCGATCGTCGTTTGCGGTTCCTGTGGCACTCGAACCTGCTTCATTCATCGTGATACAGTTTGGCATGAAGGGTTGACCTGCGAGGAGTACGATCGGCTAGTCAATCCGAGACCCGACTCGCCGGAGCTACGGAGGAACGCCGGCAAAGAAGCTCGGCGTTTATTTCCAAGGTTAAACAGACTAAGGACACCCCGAAGAGAAGCTGAGAGCGGTGCAAAGCTCGGATACAGTTCTGGAAGACCACATGGTCAGCTGGATTCGACGAATGAGGGGCCTTCAAGCAATCGAACGATACATGAGCCTTCCAAACCATGCCCGAACTGCCAGGCGCAGACCGAGCGAGCTGGGGGTTCCAAATTCATGCGATGTAAGCACAGCTTTTTCCGGTTTTGTATATATGTTGACTAATGGTTGTCGCTCTGTACAGGTTGCTTATGTCGACAGAACTGGTGTTGGGACTGTGGGATTCGGTGGCAGCCAGGCCATCTTGAGATTGACTGTCTTTACCAGAAAATATAGAATAAAATACTAAGGCTCCAAAGCGTCTTCATTGTCACTGCTGGACGGAGTAGTATTCAACATCCGTCTCACTGCATCTATGCCTACGAACATTATTATCGGCCTCATTTCGCAATTTTCCCTCTGTAATCCAATGCTGACAGGGTTGAATTTAGCCCACTCATGAGTGATTATGCTTGATTACTTGCTCACTGAATCATTCATATGCATAAATACCCGCTAATGCAGGTCTTGATGGCGTCGTCACCTTCTTCTCAGCGTTTGGACGTCTGATTGGGGCAAAGCCATAATGGCTGGCGCTAAATCCGACAATCTCACTTGTTGTTTCTTCGCCGGTTAGCTTGAAGAACAGCGGAAGAAAATCAAGGGAGTATTACAATCCTTTCTTTGAAATGTGGTAGGACAGTTAGGATACACACGTTCTGGACTCCCTGCCACACCCGATAGCCACTGTGCAGATGCTTTCTATCTAGCGTTGGTTGTTGACTCGACACGGAGGACTCCCATGTTCTCCTCGCTAACGGACTCTGACAGAAGAGCTTGTTTTCCCCTCATCACAAACCAAACCAACCATAATGATAAGAAAGTCTTCTCATCACATTGCGCATGCCAACATGGCAAAGCGCGTTGGATCACACATGAGCCAAGAAGGCCATCAACTATGCAGCGGTAAGCTCTCATCTTTCCCCTCTTCCCACACTTGCAGTGGATGTCCTCTCATCAATGTACATCTTCACGTTTAATCTCCCTAGTTGGTCGCTGATCTTCCTGATTCCTCTCCTACAGCCATAATTCAAGATTCTAACTGGCAGTTGTCTTCTAACTAACCAGACTGATGAAGATGTTCAGTATGCCCTAATTGCTCATCGGTGACCATTTCATCGAGTCACAGGACCATTGTCACTTCTCTGAGAGCGCAGGTTCAAGTGATCCGTTGCGCACAAGAAACGCACCATGGCGATAAAATGGGATACAGTGACTTCACTGGCGAAGCGTATCATTATTCCTACAACAGCCTCTACCACCCCAGCTGAGGTCGCAGAGCGTCAACGAGACCCATGGTCTCAATCGGGAAAATATGGCGAGGGTTGGGTCTACTTCGCCGTTGTCCTACTGGCTCTTGCAACCATCATTCGGTTCTACCATGTTTGGAGCGATAAAATGAGAATCGCATTGTACAAGGAAGATCTGGCCGACGCATCACAGGGCAATTCTCCCCAGGACGAGTATGAGCTACCAAGTGCCGCCACCGACAGCTCCACTGCACAATTCTTTCCAGCCCGTGGCCCTCTACCCGGGGTCAGGAAACAGCAGTCGTCGATCTCAACCATTGCTCCGTTGAATAATACAGTTGCCTTCTTGCGATGGATATTCTACCGGCCTCTCCCGGTGCTGCGGATTGGGACTCTGCGCATCGTTTTTCCGTCGTTGGGAGCTTCTGCTGTTGTTCTCGCAGCGTTGGTCTTCGTAACACTCTACTCTTTCGTACCGCAGCCGCTGTACTACTCGTCTATTGCCATTGGATCTCCGCCGTTGGCTATCCGCGCCGGCATGATCGCCGTAGCCATGGTGCCTTGGATTGTCGCACTCAGTACTAGGGCAAATTTCATCAGCATGCTTACCGGTTTCGGTCATGAACGTCTTAACGTGCTCCATCGGTGGGCAGGCTACCTGTGTCTGTTTTTGAGTTTGGTACACACAATTCCATTCTTCGTCACGCCGATCTGGGAGGATGGGGCTCTCATATGGTACCAACAATACCTTCCGCGCCACGTTTGGGTCTATGGGACAGGTCTGGCTGCGCTGGTGCCCCTGGCATTCCTATGTATCCATTCACTCCCCGCGCTTCGAAGACGGATGTACGAGCTCTTCCTGTTTATCCACATGCCGGTCTCGCTCGTCTTTGTTGCCATGCTTTTCTGGCACTGTAAGAACTTTTTGGCATCGTGGAACTATTTGTGGGCCACCATCGCCATCTGGGTCATGTCGTACGCCGTGCGACTCTTTTATCTCAATTGGACGAACCCTTTTCGCATGTCTTTTATGATAGGAGAAGAGTCAGCAGTGACCATCCTCCCTCATAATGCTATCAAGGTCACCGTTGCTACCAGGATGCGATGGAAACCAGGCCAGTACGTGTATCTCCGCATGCCCGGCATTTCCCTTCTCGGTCGACATCCTTTCACTATTGCGTCCTTGTGCAGTGATGACTTTCCGTCAGAGTACGGGGAAAACTACCGCGACCTCGCCCTCGTCTTCCGTCCCTTTGGCGGCTTCACACGACAGGTTTTGCTGAAGGCCTTTGAGTACGGGCCGTACAAGACGTGGACAGCGTTCCTAGAAGGTCCCTACGGAGGCATGCGACGCGAAATGGCCGCCTTCGACGACGTGATCTTCTTCGCTGGTGGAAGTGGTATCACGGCGATCGCGAGCCAACTGTTGGATTTGATCAAGAAGATGCGTGACGGGAAAGCTGTCACGAAGCGGGTTCGTGTAATCTGGGCCCTGAGGAGCCCAGAGGCTATCGAGTGGTTCCGAGAAGAATTGAGGATTTGCAGAGAACACGCGCCCCCAAACACGGTGCACTGCCACTTCTTCCTGACGGGACCGACGCAGGACGGCTCTGGAGAGCAGCCTGGCCATGACATCGTCCAGGAAAAGATATACAACATGCTTTCCGGCATGGATAAGCGGAACTCGGCCTACATCCGCGAAGAAGCCGCCGGCGATCGCGAGCGTGAAAAGGAGCTCCGTCGCGAAAATGAAGACGCCATCACCTCCTTGCCCCGGATCTACACCTCCCCCGTCATCGGCAGTCGGCAATTCACGGCCTTGCCCGGCTTGCAAACCGGCCCTGCCAATGTTCCTTTTGACTTTGGATTCTCGAACGCCCCCTCTCCACCGCAGAAACCGACGCCTCGATTTGCATCGCTTCCCTTGCAAAGGCGGGACGGCTGGCGAATTGACCATGTCCGACCAGATATCCCGCGCATGCTCACAGAATACTCGCAGACATTTGGCCGCCGGACGTGCGTCTTTGTCTGCGGGCCTCCGAGCATGCGAATCGAGGTCACGAAAACCGTGGCGCGGCTCCAGCAGCAGGTGATGATGGATCCTCGTAGAGACGAAATCTTCCTGCATGCCGAGAACTACAATATATGAGAGATGGAAAGAGACGAGTTAATGACTGTAATTAGCGAAGTACCCCGCTGGACGCAGCGAAGTTAATAATCGCGTTCTTTGTTCTTGTTTTTGCGATGCATTTCTCAGACATCGCGCTGTCCAGATCTTGCCTGTACATTCATTCCGATATAGTTGCGTTCATTTGTAAATACAGCACTTCATGAACATGAAATTTAAGGCTCTGTACAGCGGCTCGGGCAGGAACTCGATGCGAGATATGCACTTCTAAGTGCAAATGCCAATCTACAGCGCATGCAACCAACGTCTGTGACTGCCCTCTATAGCTCGGTCAAAACGTTTCTGATAAAAGCAGGGTATCCAGGACGGCAAGAAGGAAAGCAAAACAATGCTACAATATTGACGGGAAAATCACGCAATGAGAGCAGTGAAGAAAATGCAGAGGAGGAATGCGTCGGCTCAATGTCTCTGGGGCTCATCGTCCGCCTTCCGTTTCCTTGGGGGACCATCATTCCCCTCCAGGATCCTGGACTCCGTAAACTGGACTCCTTGGGCATCCGGGTCATCGCTATCCTCGGCCTCGACTTTCTCCCAGTCATCATCTTCGTCCTGGCCCTTGGCATCATTCTGCACCGGCCGAGTCTGCTCTGAGCCGCACTGAGGGGCTCCGTCTGCGTCACCGTCGTCATCGCTCCACTGCAGAACCAGTTTGACGATCTTCGCTCCAGAAGGCTTCAGCCGCCGGTAGTAGTTCTCCACCAGGCCCTCTTCTACCTGAAATCCTCGAGCAATGTACCACCTCAGGCCCTCCTCATTGGCCTCATGGACATGCGCCGTGACAGTGCGAATGTTGTAATGTTTCACCAGCTCTGATACATTATAAGAAGAAAAGGACGAGGAAGAAGATGAAGTCGAAGGCGACGGTGGAGAAGAGAAGAGTATAGAATTGAGCAGGGAGGCCGCGACCCCACAGCCTCGATACGGGGAGAGCAGATGGAGGGTCTGGATGTAGAGATTCGTTGGCTCCGACTTCTGCGAATGAGACGTCGTTTCGCCCCCTACGGACAGGCGTTCAAGCCGGCATCTGATGCCGCCAATAACTTTGTCCGTTCCTGTGCTTGCTCCTAGGCTCGTTGCGGCGGGTGACGGGGTGGTAGACGGTGCCGCGGCTACGGGGTGATCATGGTAGATCGCGACGCGCGAAACCGACGCGATGACGGGGTCGGTGATTGTTGCCGTGTAGAACGAGTTGGGATAGCGGATGGGTAGGAGGAGACCCGTGATGCGAGTCAACGAGGGGATATGCGCGGTGCTGACTGGGTCGATGGTAACGTGGGGATGAGGGGTCTGGTAGCCTGGGGAGATGGCATGAGGGTACGCGGGAGGTTGGAACGAGGGATCCCTCGCCGCTGGCGGTTTGAGACGCGACGCTATATTTGGTGTACCAGAAGAGCTTGAGGACTGTGGAAGAACTAGTGAGGGAGGCTGCATAGGAGGTCTGCTGTGCCTGGGGAGGGGGAAGACGCGGGAGGGGAGAGGGGTGGAGAAGTGGGCGCTTTGTTGGACTGATGCGCCTTTGCAAAGAACTGATATGCCATGGCTGAGAAAGTCAAAGTCTACTAGAAGTGGCAGAATAAGCAGTCATGAGGAGCAGAAACCGAGTAGGCAGCACAGTTGGACCAAAGAGGCAGACGCAAACAGCAGTGCTGGAGCTTTGCAACTGTTAAGAGTTGTAACACTGGAACCGCGCGGAGATGCGATAAGATAAGATCGACTTTAGCCGGTCGGCGGAGACTTGCGAGAGCCAGAGGAGACACTGAGACTGAGATTTGTCCACCAAAGAGTGACGAGCCAGCCTCCAAGTTTTACAGAGGGAGTTGCTCTCGCTGGTGGTGAAGTTATCTCTTGTGTTTCTCTTGTCGATCCATCCACTATTAGTGCAGTCAATCTACTCACGAGTGTGAGGTAAGTGGTCATTCCCCGTCCGGAGTCTTGTGGCGCGATCTGTTCAGTCAACTGACGGTCTCCCTGCCTTTGGCGTTCCGCCTCCACAGCACGAGTATTGTTCAGTTGGCCATTCCTCAGTACTCCCTCCGAATGTCCTCATCTGGTCAATAATACAAATGGACAATAGCGGTTGTTTCTATTGTGCTGCTCTCTCTTGAGTCCCCACTCGCAATCGTCCTTAACTCGACCCGACCTCTATCCGCTTGGGGTATGTATCCTATTCGGCGCATTGTCCGATTCGATCACATTGACAGCTCAGAGATCACAATAGGCGATACATGGAATTGCTTTCTATTCAGAGGAATTCTTCCGTCAACGTGTGGGTCGGTCACAACACATTGCTGGGAAGAGGTGTCGTAACAATAGGCTATTGAGGTTAGTTGCGTTCGAGCCTCTGCCTGCTTCTGGTCTTTTTATATATTGGAACAGCTTGACTTCCATGTTCTGTCAACCTGTCTCGCTTCGCTGCGTTCCTGCGTTTCGGTTGTCCGTTATCGCTGTGATCCTACTTTTATAACATCTCCGGATCTCTACGCAGACCTTGGCTGCAGAACTTATCCCAGATTTCCTCCTTGCCATCTAACAACTCTGAAACAGAAGATCACTTGGCCAAGATGGGCGATTCGAAAGGAACAGAAGCTCAGGGGAGTTCCCCGCCTTCAGGAACCATCGCGAAGTTGGTAAGCTGGCTCCTCCTTCTCTCTACTTGCTGTTTCCCGACGATGGTGCCTCGGAGCGCATTAGCTGACCAGGTCAGACCTGCGACATTCTCAATGAGACATTCTACAACATCATCCATGATATCGTTGCTCAAGTTCATCGCGATGAAAAGGTCGCTCGCATGCGCTCCGCAGTGGTTGTTGCCAGACAGAAAGCCGAAGAAGAAGGAGCCAGGCGTCGTGAAGATGCAGGTGTCAAGGCTACGGGATCCGTGGACTCAGAAGACCTCAAGGACATCCGAGTAGAAACGGATGGTGCGGTGTTCGAGGACGGCAAGGTCTTTCTCAAAGGCAATCCTCTCCAGACAACAAAGGAGATTATCTGTCCTGATTGTCGCCTGCCACGTCTGCTATATCCAGTAATAGGAGTCGGCGCTCGTCCGCCTCCAGATCCGTATCGCGAATACTGTCAGAATCAGCCACTGATCACAAAACCTGGACACGATGTGCACGGGAATCCCTTCGCTACGGACAAATTGAACCCAAAGAAGAAAAAGCAGACTAACGCTTCCAATACTCCCGCGTCCAGCCCTCCGACCACTCCTGATAGCTCTTTCAACAAGACCCAGGAGAAGGTGTCATATCCCACTGTGAAATGTCCCAACTGTCCGAGATACTTTGTGGTGACGCGAGTTGCTCAGCATCTGGACCGTTGCATGGGTCTATCGGGTCGACAGACCAATCGTAACAAAACGCCCATGGAGAATGGCAACGGCTCTCCGAGCACTGGACCTCCGAAGCGTCCACTGGCGGACGATGACGCACCACCGCCTTTGACGAAAAAGAAGAAGCTCAACACACACAAAAAGCTATCTGGAAAGAAACCACCCCTACCTCCAAGTAGCAAACTGAGAAACGGTCTGACTCCTGATATGGCTGCAGCTGCGGATGCGGCGGCCTCTGGGGATGTTGACATCAAACGTGAGGCGTAAGATAACGCATAAGCTTATCATCCTGCCTGGCCACCTTGACCTTGCTTTTTTCTGGATCTGCAAGGTGACTTACTTGAGGATGAATCCTCTGGACATAGTTTCCATCCGAAGTTTTATTTCCCTTGTCCTTAACGATATTGACGTAAATATTGGGCATCAGAAGGCGTCAACAGGAACCTGCTCTGATACTTTAAACATGCCTGGCTGAATGGTTTGGGACATATTTGGCGCCCTTTTTCTTTCTTTCTGTCGCTTTCTTCTGTCTCATTTTGTGGCTTCTTTTACACTGGGATATTTGTTTTTCTTTGCTTGTCCGACCAGTTAGTCGTTGGCATAGACGATGGAGCACTGATATGTACAATAGCCTGGCAACACCAGCCAGCTCCTCGATAGTGCCCGCATGGAACATTGCTTGTGATTTATCAGGTGACCTCTTCAAGTAGTTGACTCGTCCAAGTCATAAATAGAGACACCGGCTTCTTACTTCTTGATCATAACATTTGTGCAACCACTGAGTGCGGAGTCTAGAATCAGCTCCAGGCTGAAGCGGATATTGCCGCAAGAACGTGCGGACCCGCAGAAACCCACCGACGATGCGCTTATCGAATCTCGTCATACCTCGCCTCATTTTTGACTGTTCAGTCTTATTGGCATGAAAGGTACACGAGTCACTCACTTTCTTTCAATAAACCTCTTCTGAGCTTATCCTCTTGAGTCCGCGCGCAGAACATGAGTAACTCAAACCTCGTCGCGTGGGCAGTTCCTCGCCTGGCCCAGCTCTTGCCACTGGACGAGGAGTCCTTGACACAGATTGTCACTTACTCTGCCGGTCTTCCAAAGGAAGAAGGTGCCGAGCATCTCAAAAACCTCCTCGGCGACTCCCCGGCAGCCTTCGAATTCATCGCCTCCTTCAGTGCCCGACGAGACCAAAACCAAACGCAACCCCCAGCTCGAGGCGGCGAAGAGCAATCCGCAGCGGCCGACGCATACACCACTGACAATGTGAATTCTGGGACAAGAGCCGGAGCAAAGAGGGGCAAAAAGCCCAAAGCGCCACTTCACAGCGCGGGGCCCGTACGCAGGCCTGAGAATTTCGGGAATGTGGCGGGAGGTTATAGGAAGGAGGATCAGGATGAGGATTACATGTCAGCTGGACCGGCGCGGCAGGCGAGACAGGATACAGCTACTTTACGGCCAAAGGGTTCAGCTTCCTCGCTACAGGTTCCGCAGCGTCAGAACGCTTTGTCCTCGCTTGAGTCGTCCGCCGCGTCGTCACGTACGCAATCCCCCGCGCCGCGGTCAGGTACTCCTAAGAACCCACCGTCCGCATCGGGACCGGTACTCTCAGATCTCCTGCCCAACGTCAAGTCGAAAGCTGCCAAGTCATCTTCCCGGCAACACGGAGGCGGAGGCTCAGCCACCGGAGCCTCATCTAAAGGAGCGCTTACAACGAACAACATCTCCGACCTGACGGCCGCGATTGCCGCTCTCGAAGTCTCTACGAACCCGACCCTAGGTAGTGGCCGGCAAAAATGCAATTGCTACGCTACGATCCACCCGCTCTTCGAACCGGCCCCGAACTGCCTGAACTGCGGCAAGATCATCTGCTCCCTCGAAGGTCTCCAGCCATGCTCATTCTGCGGGACGCCGCTCCTATCAAACGAAGAAGTACAGAGTATGATACGGGAGCTGCGCGCGGAGCGCGGACAGGAGAAGATGCGGGCTCACAATGAAAGTGTCCACCGGGAGGGCGGGCCAGGCCCGACTCCCCTGGGAAACAGCAAGCTTGACGCCGCCAAGGCGCACCGTGATAAGCTACTTCAGTTCCAGGCGCAGAACGCCAAACGCACACGGGTCGTGGACGAGGCTGCGGATTTCGAAACGCCAAATGTGGCGTCTACGATGTGGATGAGCCCGGCCCAGCGGGCGTTGGCACTGAAGAAACAGCAGCGGATACTCCGGGAGATGGAGGAACAGGCGCGGCCGGAGTGGGAGAAGAAGAAGACTGTCATGAGTCTGGATATCAAGGGCGGCCGCGTGACCCGAGTGTATCAATCTGCCGCGCCTGCGGAGTCGAGCTCGGCCGCAGAGGAGAAAGACGAGGACGTCGGGGATGTTGCGCACGAAGAGTCGAAACCAAGTGGCGGTGAAGCTTTCAGTCGGAACCCACTACTGGCAGCTGGCGGGCTGCTACGGCCCGTTTGGAAGGCTGCGGAAGACAAGCAGGCTGAAGGGACGGCTACAAAAGAACGCAAGCAGACATGGCGGCGCGTGCAGGACGACAACGATGACAACGAACAATGGATTCTCGATGGTGGATTGCACGGCTATACCACTTAGTTTCGGAATAGCACCTATCACCTATCACCCATGTGGAACCAAATCCTCGTCTGCACGGCAGAAAATGGGCACGCCTCGAACTGTCGCACACATCCTCCATTCACTGCTTTGCCAATCGTCGGTCGATAGCGACGACTTGCTCGGTTCCATCATAAAGTGCGGCGTCGCTGCTGTGTAGCGGTATACTGATGGAGTAGTGTAATTCTCCGCGCCTATTGTTGCCAAATACCCGCATTACTCCGCGATCCACTTCACTGGGTGCTGGAGGTCTTCTATAATCCAGCTGAGGTCGGATATCGGCGGTTGTCTTCAATGAGTAGTGGATACGGTCTCGTCTAGCCGAGCTATTTCGGGCTGGAGATACAGCGCACCATCAAATGGTGACTGAGATTACTGTCGGCATTAGCCTGACAAGATGAATAGAAGCATATTCGCGTGGTAAATATGTATGCACCGATATCCCTGAATCTCCGTAAACCACAGTACCTACATTGCATACTTAAGCTTAAATCTGCGGGTGTATGACGTACTGCACAACAACAGTCAACAGAGAGAACGCATAATTTCTGCACATCCCCATGCTATAAATATCTTAGTCTTAATTCCATACTACTTACTCTTATGATTGTCAGCAGTCCGCAAACGATGACCGCATGGACGGCGGAAGTACGACCGCATCTAACCGAGCCAGCATAGAGATATAAAGAACCCTTTGGCTGGACATTCGAGGAGAGATCATGCGCACTTAGTGGAATACTCTTCCTCTACCTTTGGTCGATTCCCCATTTTATCACTATTCTAGCTCCATCTTTGCGGGGAAACTGGGAAGACTATTAGAGAGATCTGCCTCGGTTGAGCTCGGCTAGCATCGGAGGTTGCAGTCGTCGGCATCATCATTCATCATTGTTTCATCTGCTGCTTGGAAATCATGCTAGTTCAACCATTATTGGAGAATTTGTCTGTTTGGGGGGCGGTGCAGGGGATTTTGTCTCTCCTTGGGGTTTTGGTAAGCTCATTTACCATTTCGTCGCCGGATCTATATGCATGCTTATGCTATGATCTTCCGTACCAGTGCTGACATTCTCCGGCGCAGACAGTAGCATATATCACATACAATCGATTCTTCCACCCGTTACGCTCTATTCCCGGACCCTTCCTCGCTTCCATAACCCCCTGGGTACAACTCTACCACGGCCTGAAAGGCGACCGACACCTGTGGCTTCACCGTCTGCATGAAAAATACGGATCCCATGTCCGGGCGGCACCCAACTTCGTCTCCATCAACACGGACCGCGGCCTGCACGACATCTACGGCCATGGCAAGCGGCTCCGCAAGGCCAATTTCTACAATGCCTTCCCCGCCATCAAGGGCGTGTACAACACGCACAACGCAATCGACAAGGCGATGCACGGGCGCAAGAGGCGCGTGCTCAGCCAGGCTTTCTCGGACCAGGCGCTGAAGAGCATGGAGGATGTGATGCTGCTGCATGTGCGGCAGCTCTGCGGAATTCTGACTGGTGGGCTCGAGGGAAAGGGGGAGAAGAGCGCGACGGCCGTTTTCAATATGGGGGATTGGTTTAGCTACCTGACGTATGATGTGATGGGGGAGCTGTGCTTTGGGAAGAGCTTTGACATGCTGATGTCCGCCGGACGGCGGAAATTGATCGAGCTTGTGGATCGCGCTGCCAACCGGCACTATGTGGTATGTCCCTTCTTTTCCCCTCGTTGTATTGACTGGAGACTGACGAAGTCAAGTGCGGATTGTGGATGCCCCTAGACACCTGGCACCTGGACCAGATCTTCATCCACAAGTTGACCAACGACCGATGGAACTTCATCATGAACTCCCGCGTCGAAGCCAACGAGCGGGCCAAGGAACGGACGCAGGCCGGCCACGACGCCAAAAAGGACTTCTTCTACTACCTGCTCAACGCCAAGGATCCCGAAACCGGCAAGGGACTGACGACGCCCGAGCTATGGGGCGAGGCAAACGTGCTGATGATCGCCGGCAGCGACACCACGTCCACCACGATGTCCGCGACAATCTTCTACCTAGTCCGCAACCCGCGCGCCATGGAACTGCTCCGCAAGGAGATCCGCGAGAACTTCTCATCGGCCGAGGAGATCGTCACTGGCCCCAAGCTCAACGAGCTCGTCTACCTGAAGGCGTGCATCGACGAGGCCCTGCGTCTGGCGCCTGCTGTCCCCGGCGCACCGCCCCGCGAAGTCATGCAGGGCGGCGCCACGATCGATGGAGTTTTCCTGCCTGAGGGTACAGACTGCGGGACCCCGACGTACTCGATCCACCGGCAACCCGAGTACTACCGCGAGCCCGAGGCGTATATCCCCGAGAGATGGATCGAGGGCGCGACGTGCCAGGTAGGCAACGAGTCATGGACGACTAGCAAGGAGGCCGTTGAGCTGGCGCGCAGGGCATTCTGCCCCTTTAGCATCGGGCCGCGGGGTTGTATCGGGAAGAGCATGGCGTTCATGGAGATGCGGCTGACTATTGCGCGGTTGATGTTCCTGTTTGATTTTGAACTGGCAGACCACAAAGGCGAGGATGAAAAGGGCCAGCTGGCTCTGGTGGATCATTTCACTAGCTCCAAGTACGGGCCGAATGTCATTGTCCGGAAGACCTCTTGACTCTGAACTCTGAATGTGATACTCGGATGTTTAATTGTAAATTGCATGAGCTATGACAATGAAAGCATTTGATCATTATGAATATGAATATTATTGGCTTGACGATCACAACTTATACTAAGACTAACTGGTAGTATACACGTAGTACAAACAAAAGACACGGTTGCCGCACGTGGCTTGGCCGCAGGATCGTGTCGATGCAATGTAACTCTAGCTGCTACTACGTACTAGCATATTGCTAAAGCTAAACCACATGCAAGTCAAGGATCATCTCCTATCTATCTACATACTCATACAAAGCCAACCTCCAAACTTTATCTATGTCTTAACCAGGGGAAACAATCACAGCATGCTATACCCAGAATGCCATCCCCCCTAACAACGACCCTAATCCAATCCACCCTCCTCAACGCCCTCTCCAACATCCTCGCCCAAATAATCGCCCAGCTTAAAAAAGACGTAAGCTTCCTCAGTCTTCCTTAGTGTCAATGACAAATCCCTTAAATAAATGATTGGCAGGGCCCATTCACACTCAACACCCTCGCCCTCCTCCAGTTCCTCACCTACGCCATCATCATCGTCCCCATTAACTTCTCCTGGCAGAAGTATCTGGAGGCGAGATGGCCGGGGTTTCCAGGGAGGAGTAGGAGTAGGCCGGATGCTGTTGCTGGCGCCGAGGCGAAGGGCAGCGCTGTGGTTGTCACGGTTGAGCCGGCGGACTTGCTCCCTGTTAAGGAGAAGGAGGAGAAGCAGCGGGTATCTGGAGCACGATGGCGCAGGCGCTGGCGGTGGCGCTCGCGCCCGCGGTCCGGGCTGGGTAATTTCCTGATGAAGTTCTTCCTCGATCAGACGGTTGGGTCGGTGATGAATATTCTGTTGTTTATTGTTTTGATTAATGTGCTCAAGGGGTGGGGTGGAGGAGGATTGGGGAGTTGATCTATGAGGTACGTGTGTCTTCTTTCATTTATAGGTTGTCTACGTTATTGGAGGGGTGGTGATTGATGTGATGAATAGGACTTTGGGCCGATCATGATTGCGCGGCTTAAGTATCGGCCTGTTGTGTCGGCGTTGTTGTATACGGTTGTTCCTTTGGAGAGGCGCGTGGTGTTTGGGAGTGCCTGTGGGGTTGTCTGGGGGATTTATTTAAGCTTATATGCCGCTGTATAGGCGGTGAGATCATCATAATAGAAGAGGCATGTTTTAATTCATTATTACCTAGGTATATTCACATATTAGAAGTTTCATCCTGCGCTGTGGAGATATATTAGGCAACAGGTCATCTAAAGACGGCAATAGATAGTCGCCCTTGCAAGCAAGTTTCAACTCCCATGCTACGCCTGATCCATTTCAGCAATAAGTCAAATGCAATACCAATCTATATTCGCGCATCAATCCAAAAGTCTAAGCTGGGAGTGCCTCGATCTTCTTCCCCTTCACGGAGAGCCACTGCACGGGAATGGCTCCGATTATCGAAACCGCCGACATGGCAACAGCAACATAGAACGACTCGGTGATGGCGTTGCTGTAGGCAACGAGGACTGCTGGTAGCACATCCTCGGAGACAACGTGTCGCAGCATAGTGGCACCAGTCCCTGCGACTTGCGCAGCATTGACACTCGGCGCCTCGATGGCCAGATTTTTGTACAGTTGGTTCTGGAATACATTTTGCCCGACTGAAACGAACAGCGCGCCTCCGAGAGATTGCGTGAACATCACGATGGACGTCGCGCTGGGGACATCCGCGTCTTGAACCGCAGTCTGCACCACAATCATCGCTTGCTGAAGTCCGACGCCAATCCCAATCCCAGTCAGGGCCTGGTACCCTATCCAGGCAGGATGGCCGGAGTCGACCTTCAGTGTCGATAGCAGACCGGCCCCGATCGTCATAAGCACCGAGGAGATCAGCATGAAGGGCGTGTAGTAGCCAATTGCAGAAACCAGGAACCCAGAGAGGAGGGACATCAGAACTGTTCCAAGCAGCATGGGCAGATTCATGATACCAGATTTGGTCGCCGAGACGTCTTTGATGGCTTGGAACCAAATTGGAAGCTGTACAACCAAAAGTCAGCCAATCTAGATCACGGGCAGCGAGCCAATATGCACACTTACGTAGTAAATAAACAGCATGAACGCAGCCGATACAGCGAAGCTATAAAATGCAGCACCCAAGACGTTACGGTTCTTCAATATTCGAGGAGGCACTGTAGCATTTTCCTGCGCCCAATGCTGCCGAGCCGCGAAGATCACGATCAGGACTCCGAACACGACGAACAGAGCGATGACGCGGGCATTGCCCCAATTGTACTTGGTGCCTCCCCATTGCAGAGCCAGTAGCATGCAGACGATGGCGGGGAAAAAGACAAAAAGACCTGGCAAGTCAAGCCGCGACAGCTGATCCTTGAGACCCGAATTATCCTTGTATGATTTTGGCGCCTTGAAAAACAGAAGGACGAAGAGCCAAGTCAGACCCCCGATAGGCAAGTTGATATAGAAACACCATCTCCAGGTGACATGATCGGTAAAGGCACCACCCATCAGAGGTCCAGCCACGCTGGAAATGCCATACATACCACCCAACACACCAGTGTAGATTGGGCGCTTCTGCAGTGGCACGGACTGGCTGATAATCAGGATCGAACCGGTAAATAATCCAGCAGCACCCAGACCGGCTACCGCACGGCCAATGATCAGCGCGACAGAATTAGGAGCGACACCGCATATCAATGATCCAATTTCGAAGATCGCTATCGCACTGAGATAGACCCATTTGGTCGAGTAGAACGTGTAGAACTTGCCGTATGGAAGCACCAGGGAGCAAGTGGTCAGCAAGTAGGAACTTCCATACCAACCGACATCATCCAAAGAGTTGAACTGATCTGTAATCTTGGGAATTGCCGTCGCCAGAATAGTATTGTCCTAGTAAAACGATTGAAGTCAATGAGCTTTTCTTGCGTTGGAAAGGTAAGATGCTCTAGAGTACGTACCAAAGACATGCAGAAAATCACAAGGCTGATACTGGTCATGACCAAGCCCAGCTTCCATGATTTCAGATATTCTGGCTCGCGCTTTTCATCCCCCTGGCCCTCGCTGTATTCCATATCCATCGCCTGGCTGTCACTCCGTCTCTCAGGAACAGGCGACTCGGGATATTCAAGCCCTGGGGAGGACTCCACTAGTGTGCTCTCCTTGTCGGATGATTGCCGTCTTCCTGGTGCGTGTAGCTCAGAAGTGAGCTTGGTCTGTGAACTACTTGGGCCAGGCTCATGCGGCGAGTGGCTGCTCGCCGTGTTCTCCATGACGAGAGGGTAGGTATTAGAGTCTCTTCGATATCAATGCCAACAGTAACTTGGAGCGACTAGAAATGAGTTGCTCCAGAAGAGTAACAGTAATTTCACTGATCCTAGATCAAAACATCAAGCTAAATGAAGGAAGCAAGGTCGGCCCCAGGCGTGATTTGGATCCACGCTGATCGACTTTGGACAAGGGAGCAGGTGGTGGCGTTATTGACTGCTTGAAGAAGTAGATGGACAGATATTTGACTGTGGGCGCTGAAAAATGAGATAAAATCACTCTCAGCCGATGGCAAAATACTGACAATGTTAAAGAGCAGGAGAGCGAGCAATGACTAAACGGGGATTGTTTGTGCAGCCTGCCATTCACTGGCTGGCCAGTCTCTAGAGCACACCCAGGTACCTACAGTACCTTCCTTGATGATGTGGCCATAGCCTTACTTACATACCGGGAGTTATGCTCCTTTTCCATCCGGTATGGTACGTAAGCAAGTAGACAAAGAAGAGTCTGCAAACAAGGAGGACAGATGTGCTGGCGTGCTGTCAAGCATCCGACCAGGAGATGTATCCACCAAACAAAGGTATGCATTTACCCAAAAGGGCAATTAATATCATCTAACGCATTCAACCTATGCCTTAAGACTGGCGAAAGACCGGATGACCAAACTCTCCTCCTCCGAGAGCATACTAGTATGAATGTCAATCCTTAGTCTAGATACCCGGTGATCCTTGCGCACACCAGAGTAAACAATGAAGCATTCCGAAAGTGGCTCCGTGTCTCAAGGACGCGTCAACATGTAATCTCTCCCTACTTTACATTCATCTCCAATTCCAGAGCATGAACTGGCTCTTCTAAGTCGGAACTCTACAATTGCCGAGAGCCCGGGACAGATCATCTCAAGTGCCTCTCTAGGTACCTAGTTGTCTGCAGCGGATTAGGTTCCAACAGGGACCATATGCAGATCAACGCACCTGCAATCACCGTACGCTTTAAGTCTAGAGACAAAAGCCCAAAGCACAGACAAACTTCTAATAGGCACAAACATACTCTTTGCTTTTTCCATCGCTGATCCTCCAAGGTTGCTATCCGCCTGACTCGACAGCAAGAAAATCAAGAACCCAAGTCCCCAACCACATATGCATCGGCCCCCATCAGACATGATAAAGTGCACCAGCAAGAATGGAACTTATTCACCTCCATATCCATATCCATATCCATATCCTTATCCCTCTAATCATCTACTATACATTTCACTCCAGACATGATAATCAAGCAAAACTGCCCTGTTCCATGATCATTCCTTGAGATCGACGCCACCAAGCCCTAGTTCGCCGCCCCTTGCTTGTGGCTTAGTCTAGGGCAGAGACATGTATCTATGATTCGGTGCCGCCAGACAAGCACATCATCGAGCGTATTATGAGGCTAGACTAACTCGATAAAGGATCAAGATTCCGTCCACTGTGCTGTGACTATTACTGGCGATTTTGTGCTTGTTTGCTTTGTTTTACCTTGGGAGAGTTTGTTGTACATGACGATAGACTTTAAAGAATATTATGCCAAAGCTAATGTGCAATCTGACGAGAATGAAGATTGAGGAGTAGGTACGTGGTCCGTACGGTACAGGGCTGCAGTATGCATGGCAGTATGCGTGAGGAATAAGACACATTGCAGAGTGATATCTATTTGCCATCATATGACAATAGTTGTATCCAAGGCTCATGTCCATTCGTATGCACTGAGCAGTCGTGTAACAGTATTCCTCTACAGCTGAACGATTGCAGAAACAGCGAGATAGTTGTTCCCTTCTACAATCACTCTCCTATGATGAAGAGATCATTTGAGCATGGCAGATGAATGATTCCTAACTTGATATCCTATGGGTAGTACAACGCACGCTAAATGACGATATTGATACACCTCCAGGTCCAAGCCTAGCCTCCCAACACCAGATCAATGCAAGGATGAAGAAGTCCATGCATATGAGAGCTCGGCCGCTCGCTTCCCCCGCCGAATGCGAACTTCGGGTTTGATCTTGAAAGCGGGGGCTTCCTGTACATCCTAGACCAACCGCCACGGGTGATGCCGCCTAAGACTGGCAGCGTGAAGAAGTGTGCTTGACCAAGATTGCAAGCAGGTGCTTCGTTTCAGTCAAGTGTGGAAAGATTGCAAAGACCATCGGCAGAACGCAGAATAGACAGTACTTCGTTTCGGCATTAGAATTCTATTCCTTTTTCTTTTTTTTTTGGTTCATTTTTCCCTTTCCAAACTTCTATTTCGACCCAGATCCAGTTTCATTCCTGCTGGCGACAAGAGCGATCAGGGCAGCACCGACTCCACTGCCGTCTTTGGAAATGCCAATGCGCACCTTCTTCTCGCCAGCGGCACCTACTTCAGGGACCTCCCGCAGAGCCTCGCGAATGTGTCCCTCAAAGTTAGGGTAGAACTCGACCAGACTTCCATCCACACCGATGTCGACCATGTCATCCGTCTCCAGTTTACCGGTGGAGATGAGGATTGCAGCAAGTGGCACAGCGCTGAGGCGGGCAGCACGCTTGCCAATTGCATGCACCAGGACTTTGACGGCCTGGCAGTCGGCGTCGCTAGGGTTCTCGATCTTCAGGTGATCCTTCAGAGCAGCCTTGACTTCTTCCATCCTATCGGTCTTGTCTGCCTCCACCAAGCTGAGGAAGCTGGTGTCGATGCCCCATTGCCTGTACAGGGGCGAGTTCTCCGGAGTGACAACTTTCGAGGATTGATCGGGCTTGAACAGACCAAAGGCCTCGTCCTTGTGCATATCAAGAAGAGCCCGGCGCAGGATCTCACCCAAGAACATACCCGAGACACGCTTTTCAAACATCTGGATGCCCGGGTTGTTGCTGTCTTCATCCAACTCCTTGTCCCATTTCGTGTTGGGCAAGACATTGAGGTGGTTATCAAAACTGCCCCACTCAGCGTTGACGATCATCTCTCCGGTTGACTTCTCGTAATCAGAATGTTCAATCGTCCGCAGCTTGGTGATCCGGTCGAGCTTCTCGACATAGGCACCATTGGTGCCAGTGCCAAAGATGGCGCCAATGAAAGTTGAGGTATCGCCGGGAGAGGTGTAGGAACGAGCCATCAGAGTACCCACGGTATCGTTGACCAGAGCGGCCACGCGAACGGGAAGGTCCAGCTCATCAATGGCGTTTTGCAGGAGTGCGCAGACATCGTGACCGACGGCGTCGGGGATGTTGAAGCCCTTCGTCCAGCGAATGAGGGTGCCTTTGTTGATCCCCAACTGGCGCACAGGGAAACTGAACGTGAAGCCCAGGTCGAAGAGTTCCTCTTCATGGTTTGGCTCACGACGGCGTCTCAGATGAGCCTCAAAGTGTTCGTTATGGTGGATTCGCAGAAACGCCTCGATCTGGCGAGCTAGGAACAGGAAAAGATCCTTGGAAGTACCAGAAGCCATCAGTTCGCGAGGGATCATGATCTTCGACTGTGTGAGGTTGAATGTGGTATCTCCGTGAAGATCGATCGAGCACACCCGGAAGTTGGTGCCTCCAAGATCGACAGCAAGGTACAAGCCCTGCAAAACATCTTCTAGTCAGTCGCCTGGCCGACTTTCAGGTTGTTTTCACCCAGAGAACAAGTACCTTTTCAGTACCGTTCGGTACGGAAGTGACATAGGTAGGAATTTGGCTGAGTGTCGTGTGCTCCTTGGTGAGCCCCTCACTCATCTCTCTGATGTACTCTTTGACACCACTCTGGATCTGCTCAGCAGAAAAGTCAAACTGGCGCGCAATGCGCGTAGCTTCGGTCACTAGAGGCGACGACATTGTGTATCAGATCGGAAAGGGTTCTTTGACAAAGACGGGGAAATCGAGATCGGGGAGGAAAAAGAACGGGAAGAGAGGATGTGGAGAGGGAGCAAGAATTGAGGATGGAGCAAGGTTATGGGAAACTATGGAGAATGGAGAGGGAGAGTAAGAACAATAAGGTAATGATAATAATAGGTATGAAGAAGAGGGCAACAGGAGGTAATAATAATAATTTTGACTACAGGTGCCAAGGTGGAGGGGAGGAGGGGTCGATGAGGTCAGTGATCCTGGGGACCTCATCCCACCAATTTCGGTTTGGTCATTGTTGGCACCGGCCGATGTTCACAACGGGAATAGTACCGGGTTCTCCGGCATAGGGTACTTGAATTACTGCCTATTGTTACCCACTACGTACTACAGAAGACGACCAACCGAAGCAGAGGGTATGATAGTATTACCGTCTGGTAGAAGAATTGTGCTCTGTCCCTCCGTCGACGGCTTGCCGGCCACGTCGTCATCGTGTTTTGCTAGGGCCCTGGTTAGACTGGTTCAATAGTTCTAAAGCTAAGACTGACAGGAGCTAAATAATCTGTGCTAACTCAGATAGGTAGACACGCATGACTGAAGGATCTGGTTGCTCATCCAATAGTGTTCCTTCTTTGGAGTCTGCTAACATTTCTAGTTCACTTATAACTTTCCAGCCTCAACACTTTGACAGAGTCCATCATAAGAGGACAGAAACAATATCTCCCAGAATTTCCCGTGATGATCCGTCGATGTTTCTGTAGCGCCCTTCAATTTCTCTGACGCCACGAAACAATTGTGGGGGTATTGCTACTCTTACCGGTGAGAAACAATGGTTAGGACCGCAACTGGAGAACCTGGAGGAATAGACCAGAAATGCACGGTACCTGAATATGCATGGAATGGGGGAAGGGTTCCTGAGCCTTGTTCATTCGCTGCAATCCGTCATACTACGGAGTAAGTCTCTTGCATATCGACGAATCCTTCCTGTCGAATATGGAGTGGACGCGGAGAGCTGGAGACCCCTCATTGACCTTGAGAGTGGCCAGTTGACCTCGTGCCTGCGGGGCAACAAGCCATCTGAACTCTTTTATATTGACTGTAGGCTGCAGATGTACCTCCCTACTGATGGAGTATGCGACTCCTGATAAACTGTTTCATCTCGTTTAGGCACTCGTACAGAGTCAGGTACCTATCCACCAGATAGGCTGGAAAAAATAAAACTGTTCCAGTCATGTCCAACTCCGACCAATGTCCGAACCTTGTTTTCCCGCTTCAGTTTAATCTGCAAGCGACGTTGAGTTCCATGTTATTACTATTATTGGACATAGCACAGTTTGGTCTATTAGGAGAGCTAATTAGATTCTATCTGCTATTCAAATATGATGGGCAATGGCGAAATATCCTCGTCTGCTAAGTCGGGACCTTAGAGAACCGCATTACATACTTCAATTGCTCCGATATACTGTGTAGCATCGTTGTTGCCGATGATCGCTCTTAGGGCATCCAGAAAACCAAACATAATTCATAATGTTTCAAAAGAAAATCATACAGCATGATGCACGATCTATGCCGATACTACATACTACGATCTGCTGAAGCTTGTAACCGGCATGACTAATGATATCACGTGACACTACATGCGGAAGCATCAACTGCCCCGGCGGAAGTCGGCTGTTCCAAAAGTGATATCCGGATCTTGAATAACATTGCAATTGCCATCTACGTTCCTTGCGGAGTCTACGCAGCTACCGTCCTGCTACAACCATTGGCATTGCAACGAGTCGACGAGAAGAGAATTCACGAAATCAAGACATCATGGGCGCCGGCAGCTCCAAGCCCGAAGGTTCGACTGGCTCGAAACATGTTTTCACCAGGTATGCTCTACATGCGTCCCTGATCTCAATTGCTTCACTGTCGGACCGCATCGCGCTGGCATCACCGCGATGCTATCATCGATTCCGTACATCGAAGGGCCCGTTGCCGAGCGGACAAAAGCCCAGCAACAAAAAAAAAAAAGCAGCAGAAAGCCCTACGGCCGATCCAGCCATCCCAATATCAAGACCAATCCGCTAACTTCTCAATCCAACAGCAACGCCCCCATCCAATTCTCCTCTAACCTCGTCGAGGCTCTCCAGACCAACACCGAGGTGCGTCTCCGAGCCCAGCCAACACACCCCAACACCCTTTGCAACGCAGACTCCAATTGCATTGCACTCCGAACCAGACCACAACTAACAAACTGACCGAAACCAGACCGACTCCTCCCGCGCCAAGAGCCTGGAACTACAGATCCAAGCCCGCGTAGCCCAGGAACTCGAGCGCCTCCGCGAACGCGAGCAGCAAACCCTCGCCGAAATCGAAAAGCGCCTGGCAGAAGTCAAAGACAGCGCCCCGGCCGCCCCCTCATCAACACCAAACATCACCTACCCCGCCGGCTCGCTGAACCTCGACGCGCCGCGCATCCCCTTCGCGGGCCGCGAGTACGAGTCTACCCCTGCGCCTACTGCCGCCGCCGACCAGCCCATCAACCGCGATCTGAGCCGGGAGTCCGTGAATGCGGAGATTGAGCAGCTGCGCGCTAAGCTTGAGGGACGGCGGAAGCTCGTCGAGGTGGATGAGCGTGTGGAGCGGGCGCGGAACGAGGTTGTGACTTGTTTGCGGTTGCACGATAGACGGCCGTTGGATTGTTGGAAGGAGGTTGAGGGGTTCAAGAGGGAGGTTGCTAGGCTTGAGGAGGCGTTTGTGGACCGTGTTGTTGGTTGAATTCGTGCCGCCATGCTGATGCTATTTCCTCTGTTGTTTTAACAAATAGATCTACCCGGTCCTTCTCGCGTCATGCATATGTATAGCTATCTATCTTTTGTTGGACTGGTTGAAACGAGATCAGCTTTGTTCTACGATTTCGTTCATCTATTAATTTCCATATGTAGATTGCACGCATGCGAAGAAACGGGAGCTTCTGATTGAAAAGATATATTTCTAGTTGGGTATCATAAAAACACAATCGTATCCCATCTGTACCAACTATACCAAGTAAACACGCACATATACTTCAGTGCTAAATAAGCTCCCAGAAACCAAGCCGGCCAACTCGCTCGCCGGCACTACGGACAATGCACATTCTCCTCTCGCGCGCTTTGCCCTTACCAGGCGCAGAAACTTTCGATACCAGGATCGAGCCAATCCCCGTACCCTTTCCTTCGGACAGGTTATAGTTACCCGTCGTGACGAACCCGATGAGGTCTTCTTCCGTGGGGACGGGGAGGTGTTCCTGACGGGAGTCTGTATCGGCTGTTGGGGTGATAAGCGACGCCGCGAGCTTCTGACGGGCATCCTCTTGGCCAGCTGGGGGCTCGGCAGACTGCTGCAGATGGTCCTGAGAATGAGCGGCTTTGCGGTTCTTTTGCTGGTCCGATGCCAGGCGGAGCCATTTTTGGCGAAGTTCTGGGTTGGTGGTGGGGAGGCGGTATATGCGCGCCGCGGGCGTGGGCGTACCGCGGTGCAAGAGGGATATTTTGACAGTTGCAAGGGCGGATTGATCGGTGGTGTCTGACGGATTGTTGAGTGCAGCTTCTGCCTTGGCAAGGGGCAGGTGGTGTATGTTGAACGGGGGAGCATGGCCATCGACGGCTTGCTGTTCGGCATCACTCATTTGCGTATCTTGTTGCTCAGAGTCTTGGGTCTGTTCTTTCTCCGCTTCGTTATAATCTGGCGCTGAATTTTTCGGCGGACCCTGGACGAGCCTCTCCCAGTCGCACGCCCAGCCATGGCCGAGCTCGCCTTTCTGCCCATTTCCCAGATCTAGACTATCGAATTCCGTTCTCCGGCCCTTTGGTCGTCTTTCCCACTCCTGCTTGGCCTTTTCCCGTTCGCGGACGTTCCATTCCCAGCCAGCACGTGTGCCGGGAAAGTCGCCGGGGAACCAGGGCTCTCCGGCTTCGAACGCGAGTTGCTGTTGTTCTTTGAGACCGCCAAATCTGACGTTTCCGCCGCTCGAGAGTGGGTAATACATGAGCGAATACCAGAGCGGAAGGACGCATTTCCATGGCAATAGAACGGTCCATGTCCCAGGCGCATTGTTGTTCTTTGACTGACTGGTTGATCTTGAAGCGAGGATCATCACCGGAATCTTCGGGTCGGAAGCTTCAGCAGGAGGGTAAACTCCTGGTCCAGCTAGGGTCCGTCGACGGTTAATAGCTTTCTGGCTAGGAAGTTGACGAGTAGCGGCCAGTCGTGCACGGCGGTCGAACAGGGCAGGTGAGGTCTGGGTGGTGTCCGGTGACCACGTCGATAGTAAGATAGCCAGATTCTGCATTTCGGGATCCGAAGCTAGCGGTTTGAGGGTCCTTGGTGGGAAGTGAAGACGAGGATCTGAGACGCAAAAGCCGAGAAGAGCATTTTGCGGCAACGACGAAGGGTTTGAGACCCCAAGTAGCGAAGTCCAGGTGCCCTCTGGACTGCCTGCTGGCGGTTCAGCACCATCCGGCACCAAGGGCATGAGCGCTGAGAGTAGAGCCTCTGTAGAACCCGGACCAGTAATCTCGACGCTTCCAATCTCGAAGCGTAAGTCCTCCACCATCACAGGCGGATTTTGCCTCTTCGATATCTCCAGGAGCTCGTTCCATAATTGCAGAAAAGCCGACGGGTGAACTCGGATAAAAAGCTTCTTTCTGTCCTTCTGGCTCTTTTTCTTCGGCCCATCAGCTTCCACCATTTCCACATCGTCCGCTTTTCCATCTGCACATCTGATCAACGTTATCGGTGCGATCGGTCGATGTGTGCCTTCACGCTCAAACGCCCAAGCTTGTAAGCTTCTTGTCCCAGCCCTCCACTTCCTACTCTTCGGACCCCAAGCATCCTGTCCATCAACCCCAATTCCCCTCAGCACCGCCTCCAAAGCCTCCTCGGTGCCTTCTAGCTGAATCGTAGACATGTAGCTCATATCCCAAGCCACCGCACCCCTGGCCCCCTTCGCCCGGTGCGAAGGCCTGTAGCTCTTCTCGGTCGGCGACAGAGGCACCGCGAACCGCCACAACGGATCCTTCGAAGTGGCCATGTGCGCGCGCTTCGCATGGAACATATGCGTCGGAAGCCAGGTCTTGCACCGCTGCCGTTTCTTGTACTTTGATTCGGGTGACGGCGGCCGTGAGAGCTTGTTTTTCTTGATCTTCGGCACTCGCGGGGCGATGTTATAGGCGTGGCTGCCTGCCTCTTCCAGAGCCTTTTGCTTATCTTTGTCCCGCTTCGCTTTCGCTGCCGCACGCTTGGCTTTTGTCTTTGAATTGAGATTTTGAAGCCGTCTAGCGGTTTCAAGGCGAATGCGCAGGATTTCTGTCGGTCTTCGTCGTCGAGCGGTCACAGTGGGGGTATTATCCTCGATCATCTACGCGGCCTGGTAGTGAGCAGAGCTTTTCTGAATTCAGGTTGACCTCGACAACGCCCTACGAGGAGGATAGATAACTGCTTACCTCTCTCTTCGCCCTCGCCCTCAGTCTCCGCGGAACCCTCTTCACATTGTGGCTGGCCGTCCGTCGTCTCAACGCGCGGGGTACTTTTTGAAACGCACGGCTCGTCAGAGCACTCTTCGACCGTTGCATCCCAGACTCAAGGGCACGGATCTCGAACTCCCGAGCATCGACATACGCGGCGACATTCAGCTCTCCGGACGCAGAGAGCGCCGCGTCGGCCGACTGAACCGCGAGGGACCGAGCATCGAACGTTTTGGCGCGTTTGCGGGATGCTGCTGCGCCAAGTTGTGGTCCCGGAAACGCCGACTTGCGCTTTGAGGGCTGGTTCGAGGCCATGATGGCCGATGGGCGGAGTTGGCAAACGGATCGAATAGGTTAACCGTCGGAGAAGTGTTATTATTGTTGGTAGCCCAGGTGCAAGCTTGGTTTACAAAAAAGTGGTGTTGGAGCTTAATTTCCGGGGCTTTGGCGCGTCATTACGGCGGACTATAGCTACAATGTGGACTTTTGGTATTTTTACAATGATTACAGATCACCGCACCTCTCCTCCCTACAGTTGCACGCACTGCATTATCCCTACTAGATGAGAACATAATATTAATACTAGACAGCATTCAATATCACTACTAGACAGCATTCGATATTGCTACTAGGCGAGAATTCAATATTAATACTAGATTATTATAGTTAAGAATCATTCTGAATTATAGTAGTTAAAGGTTAATATGCAAATATATATACATATGTATATTACTACTACTACTCTATACTATTACTAATAAACACGATTTATCTCTTATAACTTAACCATAAGAGTATTCATATTGAATTCTCACCTAGTATCGATATCGAATGCCATCTAGTATCGATAATGCCGTCTAGTATCGATATTCAATGCCGTCTAGTATCGATGTCGAATGTTGTCTAGTATCGATGTTGATGTCGTCTAGTATCGATATCAAATGTCGTCTAGTATCGATATCAAATGTCGTCTAGTATCGATGTCAAATGTCGTCTAGTATCGATGTTGATGTTGTCTAGTATTGATGTCGAATGTCGTCTAGTATCAATATCAAATGTCGCCTAGTATCAATATTGAATGCCGTCTAGTATTGATGTCGAATGTCGTCTAGTATCGATGTCGAATGTCGTCTAGTATCGATGTTGATGTCGTCTAGTATCGATATCAAATGTCGTCTAGTATCGATATCAAATGTCGTCTAGTATCGATGTCAAATGTCGTCTAGTATCGATGTTGATGTTGTCTAGTATTGATGTCGAATGTCGTCTAGTATCAATATCAAATGTCGCCTAGTATCAATATTGAATGCCGTCTAGTATTGATGTCGAATGTCGTCTAGTATCGATATCGAATGCCGTCTAGTATTAATATTAAACTCTTATCTAGTGCAGCCAGAGCAACTATGGTTTACTATAATAATGTAGGAGATTCGTGGAGGTAGTGGCAATAGGTAATACACGCGATGAACAGTAAAAAACACCAAAAGTCTGTATTGTAGCTACAGTCCGCCGTATGGCTCGCCCGGGTGGGCGGCTCACCTGGGAATTACGTTAGTTAACTAATGTTTCTATGACTTTGGACTCTCCTTCTGTTCTGCGTTCTGTATCTAAGCCTCCATAATTGAGATCAACCGAATACCGTCAAAATAATCGATTCCACTCAAATAAGCAACAGTACCTACCATAATCGAATCAGTTCATTGGTTCCATCGGTTCCATCGTTTGAAGTAGCAGTACCAGTCATGAGCTCCACCGGACCACCTTCCTCATGCAGCAATCACAGTGTCATATGGCAGTCATTAGGCAGGAGTCATTGACCTCACCTTACTTCGGACACTATCTTAACACCTCACTTAATACCAACTGACCTTATCATCAAATTCAAGTGGCTGAACACACCCTGAACATTACTATTCCAGCTCTCTTTTCTTCTCTGTTGTTTTTCTATCTCGGACGCTTCACAGATCATGGAGCAAGGCGGGAAACACCAACATTTGTCGCCTCCCGAGCTCTCAAATGGAAACTCACAACATCTACAACCTGAGCTCTCAAAGTCACCCGAATTCTCCAAGTTTCCTAGTCCGTTGAGTCCGCCGCCTCGTTGGCCTGCTCGCCAGTTCCGCAGATGTGTTTCGAGATCCCCAGTCACCCCCGAAGTTCGTCAGGCGATTCTGTCGTCTTTCGACTTTGAGAAGTCATACGACGAACAGCCGGAGTCGGCTATACTCAAGCTGGAGAAGTTGTTGGGATATGAACGCTGGCCGTGGCTTGATGATCTTGATCGGCGGAACACTATCTGTGACAAAGTCTCCATGATCCTACATAAATTCCTCTGGTCTCATCGGTTTGTTCTCTATTCCTACCCTATCGTTGCACAAGTCCTTTACTGATGTCACAGTTATTACTGGTTGACGGATACCGGTATCGACGGCAAATCCCGGCTGCTCATTTCTCCTAAGGAAGGAATCGAGCCCTTGCCCTTGCCAGAGTGGCTGTCCACCCCTTATATTGTACGCGTGCCCCATCAAGACTTCACGTACAAACCGGAAACTGGCGAGGAAATATGCGAAAATCCGACCATCACCAGTGGCCACGCAATCTTGGATTCGGATCAAAGAAGGGTTGGTACCTTCAGCTGTCTTATGAACACAACGAAAAGTCCCCAGAATCACCAGCTTACCTGGTTATGTCCGACAGCCGGACATGTCATAGATGACCTCGCATCGGAATTATTCGTCCAGCCATATGACACCTCCGGGGAGATGTCGTTACGGGTAGCTACAACGAGCGTACGCACCTCTGGCCGCCCACAACACTCGATCGACGAAGAGCCCTCATTTCGTGACGATTGTGCGTTTCTTCTTGTGAAAGAAGAGGATTTACATGCGTTTCAACGTGTTCTTTGGAACTTAAATCCTTTCTGCGTTAAGCGTCGCCTCCGTGGCGGTGTCGATATATTAGACCCGTTGTCGATCTCTCGGTACGCCGACCTCAAGAAGAGAATACGAACCAATAGGGTGATAGTATGCAAGTATGGCTCCTCGACAGACCTCACTGTTGGGTGTCTCGTCGAATTGACCAGGCGTCCTCCCTTGGGTTGGTATGGTGACGAGGATGACAACGATCTTCAGATGGATATGGATGTTAATGAATGGATGGGGTTAGTTAAGTGGATTGGGCTTCCGTTCTCCGCACCGGGCGATAGTGGGAGTCTTGTTTTCACCATGGTGGACGGAATAATGGCTCCACTTGGAATACATGTCGGGGCGCCAGAGAACACGAATTCTTCATATTTCATTTCGATTGAGACGTTTTGTTTCGCCGCAGAAGCCGAGGGCTGGGAGCCGCGTTTCGCATCCTGTTGAGTGTTTCGTTCTAGAGGCCGGTGCCTATCATTATTAGTAGTAGTAGTAGTAGTAGTAGTAGTAGTAGCTAGTGGAATTCAATTTATAGTCGCTTGAGTGCAAGTACCTGTTTCGCTAGCATTGTTAGCTGGCGCGCGTTGCAAGCATTCCATCTCAGTCTCTATACATCACGGCAAGCCATTGGAACGAAACCGAAATGACATGTTTTGGTTTTCTAAGTATGTACACGAGAGGGTCAATCGAGAGGGTCGATCGAGAGAGCCGCTCATGATTCCGCCTAATTAACTATTGAACTATATACGCAGATGGAATATACACCCGGAGCCGGGCGTTTAGTACAGCAGACTATAGCTACAATGTGGACTTTTGGTATTTTACAATGATTACAGATCACCACACCCCTCCTCCCTATAGTTGCACGCACTGCACTATCCCTACTAGATGAGAGTTTAATAATACTAGACGGCATTTAATATCCCTACTAGACGACATTTGATATCGATACTGGACATTGACATCGATACTAGACAACATTCAACATCGATACTAGACGGCATTTGACATCGATACTAGACGACATTTGATATCGATACTAGACGACATTTGATATCGATACTAGACGACATCAACATCGATACTAGACGACATTCGACATCGATACTAGACGACATTCAATATTGATACTAGATGACATCAACATCGATACTAGACGGCATTCAATATTGATACTAGACGGCATTCGATATCGATACTAGATTATTAGTAGTTAAGAATCATTCTTAAATTATAGTAGTTAAAGGTCAATATGCATATATATATATATATATTACTACTACTACTTCATACTAATTACTAATAAAATGATTATTCTCTTATAACTTAACCATAAGATATTAAATTACTATAGTATTAATATTAAATTCCTCATCTAGTATTAATATCAAATGCCGTCTAGTATCGATATTAAATGCATCTAGTATCAATATCAACTGCCACCTAGTATCAATATCGAATTCTCACCTAGTATCAATATCGAATGCCGTCTAGTATCAATATCAAATGCCATCTAGTATCGATATCGAATGCTGTCTAGTGTCAATACCGAATGCCCATCTAGTATCGTTATCGAATGCCATCTAGTATTGCTATCGAATGCCGTCTAGTATTAATATCGAATGCCATCTAGTATATTGATATCAAATGCCGTCTAGTATCGATATTGAATGCATCTAGTATCGATATCAACTGCCATCTAGTATCGATATTGAATTCTCACCTGGTATCGATATCGAATTCCCACCTAGTATCAATATCGAATGCCATCTAGTATCAATATTGAATGCTGTCTAGTATTAATATTAAATTCTTATCTAGTGCAGCCAGAGCAACTATGGTTTACTGTAATGATGGTAGGAGATTCGTGGAGGTAGTGGCAATAGGTAATACATGCGGTGAACAGTAAAAAACTCCAAAAGTCCACATTGTAGCTACAGTCCGCCGTAGTCATCCCTCCCGGCCGAAAAATGCACAGTGCCACACTGTCACACTCCCAAGCACCAATAGCAGCCTGGGGAAAATGAAGCCCTGCGACGCTTTGACTCATGTAGATCTTCAGGGTACTGGGATACTAAATGTTCAATTACACTAAGGCTATAGTTCGCTTGTACTTAAAACGTAGTTCCTACCTGACATCATACGGTTAGATAAGGGCGAGGGCAGGGAAAAAAATTCTTCGTAGCTTCATTACAGCGTTGTGTATTTCTGTCTAAGCGGCATGTCTAAAGATCTATCACGAATCTTGCCCATAGCAGGCTACTCTTAGCCCGCCATCGAAAAACTTCAACGCCTTTATTAATCCCATGTCGGCATCTATCATGTCTAGTTCATGCGTTTACAGGTGCTTGAGGACGGTCTCGGCGCTCGAGAACTATAGCATCATGTCAGCTCGCCCAAGTCTCTAGCAGCAATGGAATAGACGGAAGACTACTCACCTCGAGGTGGTTCTTAGAGGGCTCGAGAGCGGCGTAGGTGACCTTGCCGTGGTCAATGACGATGGCGTAACGCTTGGTGCGGCCTTCCTCATCGGCCCAGCCAATGCTCTTGGAGAAGCGAGCCTCGGGGTCGGAAAGGAAGAGCTAGAAGATAGAACATTAGCAACAGATCCAATGTAGCGAAATCGCACTTTTCTTTTTTTCAGAGGGAAACATACAATGTCGTCACCAGTGACCTGGTTGGCCTTGCCCCAGGCGCTCATCACATAGGCATCGTTGTAGGCAAGGACGGCAACAACGTCGACACCCTTGGCACGGATCTCGGGGAGCTTCTCGATGTACTCGGGAACGTGGCGAGCAGAGCAGACGGGGGTGAAGGCACCGGGAAGAGCGAAGAGGATGACCTTCTTGTCGGCCCACTCCTTGGAAGCGTTGTAGTTGATGGGGATACCGCAAGCAGTGATCTCACCCTTGTCCTCGGACCAGGGGATGTAACTGAACGGGAGTCAACGTTAGACCTGATGGATTGGACATACTTTGACAGTCGAGGGAACTTCCGACAAAGAACAGATGAGCAGAGAATACTTACGAGAAGACAACGTCAGAGGGGAAGCTGTCACCGGCCTTGAGTCCAGACATGTTGACGGATTGGATTTGAGAATGCGTGTTAAGGGGAGTAGTGTTCTGAAGAGAAAGCTGTGTGAAGTAGAGATGAAGAAGAAGCGGTAGGCTAGAGTAGTGGGGTGATTTATGGAACTAGAAGAGAAAAGAAGACGAGGCGGGTGAAGGATCCATGGCGGTCAATATATACACAATCTGGTCCATGACGGTTGGAGCAGCCCCTGACAAAGCCAGCAAATGATGTGCCAACGGGCCGCTGGAGGCATCCATAAGGTGATCCGAAGCAGAAGGATACCGAAACCCATCGATTGGGGACGAACGGAACAATCGCTGAGTTGCTGGCTTGGTGCGTATTATCAAGAAGACCGCCCGAGACTGGGAGGGGATCCCCACCGCGGATCCCTTCATCGGCGGATGCACCACTTCTGGCTGCTATCTAGACCAGACAAGTTGACAAATCGGTTTGCACTTCTGGGTCAACTGAAGTCATATGGAAAATTCTATTCGATGGCAAACTGGCAATTCATTCTAGAAATCAGATTATCAGATCAAACTAGGTTCCTTTTCTTACATATGAATTGGTTAGTCGTCTGTACGAATTCCCTGGATATTTTATTAAGCAGAAGTGGTGTTAAATAATGTAGGTACCTTGCAGACTAAGACTTGACGATCTGGACTCGATCGGATTATGCTACCTATCTGCCCATTAATGAGAGGTCCGTTCGGTGATAGGTATAATTCTTATCCTCTGTCTTCATCATGCATGGCGAAAATGGTGCCTTCGATATGCTGATCTCGCACCAATCATGATGATCGATCTGATGCAGCGACAGACTACAGTACTCCGTATGCAATTGACCCTCAAAGACACGCAAAAATGAGGCTACGTACCTCACTATCTCTGGGCTTCACCGCCCACTTTCCGATGCCCCTCTATTTCTTCGGCCGCCCAACGTCATATTCTTGCACGTGACAATCCAATTCTGCAGTGTTGTGCTGATGATCGCCATGGTGGCGTCAAAGTAGTGAACTATCATAGAAAAGTGCTGCGAACTGGTTTCTTTACTTTCTAAATCCTTAATTAGGATCAATAAATAACTGCTACTGATAAACTTTACCTTTTCAATGGGATTTTAGTGACGAGTATCACACTTCACTCAACATAATCAAATTGGCTATCGTTCGGGTTATATATATTTCGAACAACTCCGGGCCGTAGACGATAATATATCCTCCGCAGTTTATGAGATGACGTGTATCAACGCGATTGATATGTCAGATGAGATGTACACCTATCACCATCTATTGGCATTATATGAGACATCTGGAGACAGACCCAAAAGCTGAGATTATGGACATTGCTGCAATATCTGGGGCTAATGCCATCGCGGACGAGATGGGATATGACCTACCATGCTGTCTTCCAAATCTGGAAAATTTTACTCGTTAGAGCCCAGTAACAAAATTATGTAGTATGAGGGCTGGCTTCCAACAAGATTGATGTTCAGCTGTACATTAGACATAGTCTCAACGTTGTGTGGTCAATAATTTTATCTCGCTTCAAACTGTCAGCCAAAGGGCGTATACTAGACCCAGCACGTGATAGCATCGTACATGATGACTCAAATTGGACGTCAACAAATCAACAAACAACCAAACAACCACAACCGAAATTTGAAATAGACAGTTCACCACATCAGTCACAATGGCAGACCTTAAACCTCCGTTTACCGAAGAGACTGCCAGAAAGAAGGTCAAGGCTGCTCAGGCTGCCTGGAACACGCAGTAAGAATACACAATGAGCACATCCCAGCAATCGGCGGGTGTATATCATGGAATGCCGTTGTCACTCATCCATCTCGCTCTGAGCCTTTGGTCCTCTCAAAGAAAGTCTTTCATTTTTGTTTGATTTGGTAGATAGCCATGATAGAAACTCAGCGCAAAGCATCTTATTGTCTCATCCCTTGCCCGAGCACACCATTCCCTCGTGGGTTCAAATCCCGGAGGGATTGACACCAGCATTTCATTCCTCCCTTGATTCGATTTTGTCGTTGCACCGGTCGCTTCGGGTCTAAGCGCTACATGCCCTATTGAGACTACTACCATTACTGTAACTAATCACTAACGCCAATGTGCAGGGACCCGGTCCGAGTCGCTCAAGCCTACACGCCTACATGCATCTGGCGCAATCGCGACTCATTCCTCTCCGGCACAGAAGCTATTGTCACGTTCCTGACCCGCAAATGGAAGCGTGAACACAGTTACCGACTCCGCAAGGAGCTCTTTGCTTTCACGGATGACCGTATTGCCGTGCAGTTCTGGTACGAGTATCAGGACGCAGAAGACGGGATGCGCTGGAAGCGCTGCTACGGCCTTGAGGATTGGACGTTTGAGAGGGAAACTGGCAAGATGCGCAAGAGGATGATGAGCGGGAATGACTTGGTACTTGGACCGGACGGGAACGGTGACGGCCGATGGTTCGTTGATGGAGTTAACGTCGATGCTGTAGACATCGGCGAAGAGCATTGGTAGGCTGTTGAGTCTCGACATAGGGCAACAAGAAAGTTCTAGCACGTTCTTCTGGCGTCTATTTCATATTCATATCAAAGTTCATGAACTTATACCCCGTAGGCGAGGCGAATCTGAGGAACAGTTTGACCCAAAACCCAATGTTGATATAGTTGGACGCCACATCCAGCCTATAGTAAACTAGAGTGACCTTCGAGCTGTCTTGAAAGTGCATCTGGCTTCCATATCTAGCCGAATTCCAGAGCGTTGATCTCAATTCAATAGACGAAGTGCGTGCTATTTATTGTTGTATTGGAATGTTGAATGCGAGCACTTCAGTCCCTTGACCGCTAGCTTGGGAATGCCCCTCCCTTGTTGCAACAAGGCACATGAGGATACTTCGACCCAGTCTCAGTATGCTAGGACAGCAATCATCGTAAAATTTAAAAGGAGAAGACGGGAATGTTGGGATTTGGATTTGTCCTGCTGGATAAAGCAGGTTTTTGTGATTATGAACCTGCGTGCCCGAATCGTTAAGAAGCCATGGGAGAATGCGCGGGATGTCAGTGTCTTATAGTCAGCCATTTCGGGCCCTCTGAATAGAGAGGTAATTGAGCTGGCAATTACGTCGCTTGTAATAGTTGTATGCTTGCTGATTATTTAGAAGAGATACAAAACGAGGATAAGTAGGTGGAAGTTTAAGGGTCGTATTCTATCAATTCGTTCCTTGTCAGTCAGCGATATCATTGTAAAAACCAAGGGATGATATAGAAGACTTCCAGGATAAACTCGACCGAAGAATATTGCAATGCATCGTGTGAAGCAGCCCCTTATATGCTTGAATACAATTGCAGTTTCTTGGACTTCTTTACCATATCGTGATGGTGTAATAGGGTGCTCGAGCATTCCTAATCTTCGGCCAACGCAGATTAGTGGCCAGGGAGACTCCAGGAATTCAAAACAACAAACAGTAAATGATCGGCCAGAGGAATCCAACCGAGATATGGTATGTCAGTTTTTCTACTAACGTGCAGCCTCTGCTTGTTGGGGCGTGGCCTTGGACTCCGTTCTGAGGTATGTTTTGAGGGAAAGTGACTGGAAGCTTGGATTTCTTCTGTCGTTGTTGTACAGAGCTTCTCTATCGTACTCTTTCGTCGCTTGGAGCAGCTCGAGTCTTGCTGCAACCCTCGCCCAATTTCATCACTTGCGCCTCATCATCTCTTTTGAGCCTCGACACGCGGGAGATTCAACGCAACCAATACAGGAAAGAAGAAGGTACTGACACGCCAGCATTACTATTCGCAGTCGTCCACACCAGAGCACTCCATTTCTAGTGTCTGTCGCTACAGCCTCGTCTTTACGTCTCTCAGAAGGCAGCAGCCGTCCCAACGAGCAGCAGTATCCCGGCAACACGTCCGATTTGAATGTTTGTAGTCATGACTAGTGATATCGCAAGCCACATTTGCTGACTAGTCACCAAAATCAGATCCAAGCAGACTACATCTTGGCAAATAGCAGAGAGAATCTCCACATGTGGCATTGCAACAAGCCTGTCTCGCTTCATTAGCCCGGGCTTGCCTGGCGATGGATGGGATTACTGCCAGTCCTCAGTCCTTCCGTCCTCCTCTGACGGATGCCACGCATAGACTGAACAACTGCGCTACTCCAAAGATTGAAAAAGGATCACATACCGAAGTAGAAGATCTGCTGAAAACACCAGACCGAATGTCTATCGCCACAAGCCCGTTGGCCACCAGAGAAAATGTGGAGATAAACCGCGCCTCTCCAAACCCGAACTCTCAAGCTGGCTCGAAAAGGAACTCAGCAATCTCTACGACTTCCAATGTCTCTGGGAAGGGAAAGAGGAAAACACACGTTGGGCCATGGCAATTGGGGAAGACACTGGGGGAAGGGGCCACGGGCCGTGTAAGGTTGGCCAAACATGCAGTCACCGGCCAGACCGCAGCCATCAAGATTGTATCCAAGAGGTCTGCCGCAATTGCCCAAAGCGAAAGCATTGCAGCAATGGACCGCAATGCGAGCCTCTTTAGTGGTACGAGCACCAGACAAATGCCGTCCGGCATTGAGCGGGAGGTCGTCATCATGAAACTCATTGAGCATCCAAACGTAATCAGCTTGTACGATGTGTGGGAGAACCGGGGAGAACTGTAAGTACAGGATCAAGTGACTACTACTAGAAACTGACTTTCCGTCTCTAGATACCTGGTTCTAGAGTATGTCCAAGGCGGCGAGCTATTCCATTATGTACAAAACCACGGACCGTTACCAGAAGAAGAGGCAGTTCGCTTGTTTCGACAGATAATTGCAGGACTTGGATACTGCCACAGGTTCAACATCTGTCATCGGGATTTGAAGCCGGAGAACATACTGCTAGATTCCTGGCGCAATGTCAAACTTGCTGACTTCGGTATGGCTGCGCTTCAGCCAGCTGGACATTGGTTGAATACCTCCTGCGGAAGCCCGCATTATGCTGCGCCGGAGATCATTTATGGTCGAAAGTACCGTGGAGACAAGGCAGACATTTGGAGTTGCGGCATCATTCTGTATGCGCTGCTGACTGGCTACTTGCCATTCGATGGTGGGGATCTCCCAAGTACTCTGCGACAAGTGAAGCGAGGCGAATACACCATTCCCCCGAGTTGAGTGTCGAAGCGGCCGACCTCATTCAGCGCATCCTGCAAAAGAGACCAGAAGACCGCATAACGATGCATGGAATATGGATGCATCCACTTCTAAAGAAATACGAACAGTTCCATCAGGCAATGTCACATCACTACCTCGGCCCTGCACCACCGTTGACGGCACATGATTGCGGGCCACCAGTACTCAGCAGACAGGATATTGATATTGATATTCTGAGAAATCTGCAGACATTGTGGCATGGCGTCAAAACAGAGGCCCTGATAGAGCGAGTTCTAAATCCCCAGTGAGTATCCCATTTCCAATCGAGAGCTACGACACAAAGAGCTGACCAGGCCACTTGCCACAGGCCCACCCAGGAACGAATGTTTTACAATGCTCTGATCAAGTTCAGAAACGAGCAGCTAGAGAATTACCAGGGACAGCCTCTCGAGTATTCAGCCAGTGATTACCACCACATCTCTCGATTACCAGCTTCCGTTGCAAATAGGCGCAAGCATGCCCGGGTGCAAGGTGGTTCTCGGAGACAAGGTCAAAATTCAACAACAACAAGCAGCAGCAAACAACCTCAAAGTACATCCAGAGCCCTCAAATCCTCAGCAACCGAGAAGAGTTATGACCCATTCAGGTCTCCACGCCATATAGTCGCCACTCCCGAAGTACAGTACGCTCAGGTTACCATTCGTCGGAACGGTCCTGAGGCAAATACTAAAGAAGTGTCGGAAGCTGTTCCGGAATTAGACGATAATATGAAAGAAGAAGAGGAAGAAGAAGTTGAGGATATAGAGTGTCTCCCAAGCTCCCCTTTCTCCATAGTGCCCAACAAGAGGTCCAAGGCCAGCTTCACCAGGTCTTTTCAGTCAAGGGCCTCCCACTCATCTGCTCGCCGGGTTACAAATACAACACCTACACCTCGCTCTGCCAGCTATAAGCGGAACGTTCTATTTCTTCACCACCGGAATCGCTCACAAGGATCAATGTCTGCAAAACCGAAGAAGGCACGAGCCAATGCTTCCAGCATTAGCAGGCAAGAAAGCGACTGCAGCATAAAGTCTGACGTGGACGGCGTCCCCTTCTCAGACCGTTGTGGCAGTCCTTTGCTGCCGGTACCACCTATAGTAGTTAGAGGAGCTGGGGTTACTATTAAAAACTGCCCTCAAGTCAAGAGAGTTTGCGACGCGGACATTATCTGGAAGGACGAAGCGCGCAAGGTCTCTCATGAACTCAGCCAGATATGTGAAGAGGCTTTCAATGGCGGATCCTTATCAACAGGGTGTACGACAAGCATTGGATCAGAGACACCGGCGACTTCTCTTTCTATGGTCAGTGCTGGAGACTCGCAAAATCAAATTACAGGAAGCAACATCAAATCGAACCAGCCATCCAACATATCACGGGAATCACCCAACACCTATACTGCGACAGAGCTGGCCGAGACTCGTCGCAAGCTAATACAGCACTCGACCCAGGACGGCACTGAGAATGTTCCAGGCTATCTATCCGCTGTTATCAATCACCTCGATCGTCTCATTGCGCAGGACAGAATAAGGGAGCGCGGAAAGCGAGACAAGACTAAGGACAACGGCAACTCTACATACGATTCTCTTCAGAGGTCTTCACTCGATACTGGTAGCCTTCCGATCATCTCGGAAGAACTCAGCAACTCCTTGGCTGAGAGTGAGATGAGGAACGGCCAAGACGTAACAAGGCATAATTTGGATTCCGCCAGTTCTATCCGGACGAAACGTCAAAGCGGTGATGGGAAAGCCACAATCAGAATGGTTCCTCATAGTTCTCAACAATGCTTGGAGGAGATTAGGCCATTGAATATCCGGAAGAAGAGACAATCCTCGAACGAGTCTCATCAACCACCTGAGGACAGTAAATTCAAGGATGAAACCGGCAGACCAATTCGCTCTTCGCAGCGCTATGCGTCTGCCGACTCTCGTCAGACTCGTTTCCTCTCAGAATTGGACCCAATTCAAGAAGTGCCCAAGTTGACCGGGATGTCCGACACAAAAACGCCCGAGAACAAGAAATGGTCTTGGTTTCGGAACAGATCGCATGGGTCTGCTGAGCCTAAAACGAAGACGCCTCCTGTCAAGCCAATACATCCGAGCTCTGCCACAGTAATTGTCCACGAGATCGATCCTTCAGTTGACTCTGGACCAGGTGAGCAGACTGAAAAGCCGAAGGACACAAAAGGCCCGGCCGACAACAAGAAGGGTAGCTTTTTCAAGAAATTTATGAAGAAGAGACACAGCGACAACTTCGATAATGGTGCAACAGGTAGGCTTTTCTATCCTTGGGTGGTCTCAACGATTCCTCCAGCTGACTATTATTTTCAGAAGTCGACTTCGCGGACACTAACCCCCTGCTCAAGCGACCAGCGGATACCGAACACTCTTTTGACACCGACAAGAACCAGAAGCCTGCACCCGCTAGGCCAAACACCAACGGAAAGAGTCATAACTGGTTCGCGCGGGTCTTCCAGATCAAGCCAGCAACAAGAGTTGTTGCTCTCAACACATCGAAGCTCAAAGGTCGAAAGGAAGTTTTGAAGCTACTGCGGGAATGGAAACAGTTTGGTATGGAGGAGGCGCACTTGGACAAAGCCAACGGTGTCATTCGTGCCAAAGTGGGCGAAGTGAACTGTAAGTGAGAACCTGCGATCATTTCTCAGATTGTTCTAACTTCCCCTAGGTCTCCGTCTTCGAGCTGTTGACTTCTCCGCTGAGTTTTACACGGTCCTCGAGCACGGCCGCCAGGCAAATCTCAGTCTTGTGCGCTTCAGGCAAGAAAGAGGCGCAGCATCATCCTTCCACAAAGTTGTCGACACTCTGGAGATGGTGCTGAAACAGCGAGGCTTACTCGTCCAGGATCCTGATCGTGCGAAGAAGATGGCACGAATCCTTGACGCGTTCCCAAATGGTTAATCTGGCATATCATGCTGTCATTTCCGTTCCTACGGCGCATAGTGGTTTGGACCATCGCATCATATATCTCTGGGTCCATCTCTGTAACTTGAGCGGCTTTCCTTGGTTTCTGCCACTCTTTGGTCTTTCTCAATCCGTGCAAAAAATCATCCATAGGCATTTTACAATCACATCCACTTTCTTATGTTTGGCTGTCAATGTGTCGTTTAGCTTCATCTTTTCATGTACTCCAGGAAATACAAATCATCCGCCTATATCTTTTACCACCCAATCATCACGCATTCATTCTCAGACATCTGTGGAATACGCTGGCGCAGTACTGCACCTTATCTTGATACTCCATCGTAGCTACTGTTCATGGCTGGATCCCAAATGCTCCCGACAGTCCCCTTTGCATACTGACCGGTGAATGATGGGTGTTCTTGGCCTAGGTCCAGTCCACGCTGGATCATCAACCGCATAACCAAGACCGCCATCGTAAACTGGTATCTTGCCCGGTTGCACCCTTAGACACCTATCACTCATCGAAAATGACGAGTTCAACTCTACCGTCAGCCAAAAAAGCTCATTGATCTCAACTCGCATAAACCCCAAATACCCTTCTTTTCTATGACCAGGTGCCAACTCAGGATCAATCATGAGAACAAATCCTTTCCCTGGCCCACCCTCATGCCTGCTCTCTTCTGGATCCTCAAAATCACGCATGATCGAATCCAGGCAGTGTTGATCAATGACTAGACAGACTGCATACCGCGGAACAACGGCCCCTATCTCAGCACCCCGAGACGCAATAAGGGCCTTGAAATCCTCGCGGATCTGCTCGATTGATGCACCGTCCCAGCGTTGCTTGTCCTCAAGGATCACATTTTTGTATGACTCACGGACAAGCTTCTCAGGAGAACCATGGTCCTCTTCCTCGGCCTCTGCATACCGGTCACTGTCGACGCGGTCAATTTCCCAGTGCATATAACGGTCGAGTTTCTCCAGACAGACAGACCAGACCTGATCAGACTCCTGGGTGTAGACTGTGCGGTAGATGAAGTAGCCCCAAGGCCAGCATTTGCCGTAAGCGCGACGAAGGAGTCGCATAGAAGAGCGTTGCTTATCTTTGAACCAGGGCTGCTGACGCCAGCGGTTGTAACGCTCCGTGTCACTACCAGTGAATTCAGGGTGTGATCAAGGTGTTGGCCATGAGGGGTCATGGAAGAAGTTATTGACAGGATCTTCGTCTCCGGAGTCTGCTGGTTGGGCCATTATGGTATGAGGGTTATATGTAAAGAAATCGTAAGCCGTAAAAGGGGCTATACTGGAAGACCAGGCCGCAATGGCATACATGAAGCAAAAATAGGTGAGCAAAAAACATACAACAGCCGGGATTCGCTGGTGGTCACCCACCCAACTACTAACCGGCCGGCGTGTGGCTTAAGTACGGCTGAGCGGACGGGAAGCCCTGTTTTCCACACCCTATGGTCGTATGTGCTAGGATCCCTTTACTTGAGGTCCATATAGACGCTTGTTGAACACATTGAGAAGCATTTTATGAATGGATGTGGATAATCACCATATCTTTGTTGGTCAAGACTCAACCCGATTTCGAGACTCACTGTATAGTACATGTCCATGGTCCTCTCAAAGCTGTGGAACTCTGCAACGAGGACATATGCCACCGCGCTGCAGTGCTCAAATAAGAGTCGACCTGGCTGTACACATACACAAAGTTGCTCAAACACTAGGGATGGCAATGACTTAATAGAGGTTTTCATAGGCCCGTGCTATAGACAGGCAAGGGAGCTCTGGGTAGCAATTCACCAGCATCACTAAATTACGATGTAGTGCCACTTCTTGGAGCCATGCCGAGATTTTATGAGGAAAGAGGAATCGACACAGCATGTGAAGCCTGTTGTATCTATTATTCTGGAGGAAAACCGTCAGTTGCGATCACTAGAAAATCTTGAAACGCGTAGTCCCCCGTTCCACCGAGACTACGTAACTTGTCCATGGCTTTTTCTCTCTCTGAATCTGTTTCCTTTCGGACCTCAAGAGATTCCTGTACACTCATGAATAAGACTTCCGTCTGCAGACCTAGCGTATCCATGACGTCCGGCAGTGGTGCCCCATGGAGATTATTGAACATCTCCCTTGCCTTGGGCCACCAGTCATGCTGCTGAGGCGGAACGTTTCTGGTGGAGCAGATCCGGTAGTGAGGATCAACTAGGTGAATCGTAATATAGCGAAGGTGGCCTGGTCTCGAAGAATCAACCAGCGAGAATGGTTCAGCCTTGTAACGTAAGGTGTCGGGCCAGGCGAGTAACCGGCCATTACTGGTAGTGGCAATGGAGCCGAGATCCTGAAGGGCTTTCGGAGGAGATGGGATAGGTCTCGCAAAGTAGTCCCAATGTGGAATATCCCAAGCCAGCTCGATCTTGTTCGGATTAAATAAATTGAACTCGTATTCATTCATGCGGGCCTCTTGTTGAAAGGAGATCCGGGCCTCTCCGATGTTCTCAACATCATAGAAACACACAGCAGTCGCCACAATTCGCTCATTCAACATACCGGCCACTTGGAAGTCCGAGTCTCCCTCGTAGGAAGGTCTCTCAGGCGTCAGGTCAACGCTAGACACTTTGAAAATTACCTGAAGACCATCCCCAATACCTGGCAGGTTGATGCTGTAGTACTCATGGTCGGGAATAGGGTCAAAAGGCTCGTTAGGCTCAGAGACGTTCACACGAGACATCACCGGCTGACTGGTGTGTTTTCCTCGCTTCCATTCCTCGTACGTGAAACTAATGCCTGGTTCGGGAAGTTCAAAGATATTCCTACGGCGAAACTTCTCCTTCACAGCTTTTATCAAAGTTTTGGGCGAATTCCATTGTTCATCCGTCAAGCTGCTGAGAATATCGGCGGGAAATTCGTCTGGAGTATTGTTCACACGAAGGCCCTTCAGGTTCTCGTATTCTGGGAGAGCAAGGTAAGACTTGACTTTAGCACAGAGCTCATTCCACTGTTGGTCAGTGAAGGCTGATCTTGGACAGCGGTATAACTCAAACAGATCATTCCGCTTCTGAATTGCTTCCTCTTTGTGACGCTGGGGTATATCGTACGTGCGAATCCGCATTGGCTTTCTTCCTTGCTTTCCAATGACCAATACCTCATTCCAGAGGGGAATCACTCGAGCAAGAAGTTCTTCAAACGCTTTGTATGCTCCATTCTGAGTCCAAGGAAGGTTGTTGATGTAAGAACTAATCCTTGGGCGACTAGGTCCGTCTGGGAATTCCACTTCGCAAGGAAGCCACTGAAACTTGTCAGAGAAGAACGAAGCTTTTATTTCTCCTCGCTCATCGTCTCTATGGCCATACGGGTTTCCATAGTAAGTTTTTGGTGTGGGAAAATCAAAGGACTTCTCATGGGGTATCGTCGGTCGAGGAATTTTCCGAACGCTGGTTTGAGGTGAGGGCCCAGCAGGATCAAGCCAGTGCCGTCCGCCATCAACAAGGACATGGGTCCTTTCGTATACCAAGGGATATAATGACGGATCGACCAGGTGGCGTAGCGGACTGGATTGGCCCGATTCATCAGCCGATAGGGTCCACTCATCGAGCAGTGGTTGCAATCCCTGTCGTAATTTTTGCAGCAGACTAGATGACACCAATGTGTCTGATTTGGCAACAGGTGAGTCGCTGTCTTTGAAAATAACGTAACCTGTCCTCTTAGACTCCCGGGCTTTATCTTTCAGCTCGGCCAGGCACCATTCCCATGCCCTTGGAGTGAGATCGAACGTGGAAAAGGCCTGTTGATGCCATTGTTCCATTGTTGGCACACCCGATTCGATAGAATCTTCCCAGCCAGGCTGTTCCGCGACGTACTCCATGAAATGAAGCATCGACATTTCAGACTTTGTCAACCGCGGATCCCGCCGCCAGTCGGCCACGCCATAGGCGAAGCGCTGACCGACGGGTAACTCATATTCCAAAGGGACTCCATTTATCCCAGGGACGCGTAGCGGGCCATCGCTACGATTGCTGAGCTCAAAAGGCATCCTGCGCCAAGAGAGGCTGGCCATAGGCCGGGAGAAGGAGCGCCTCAAGGCAGTTGTGCGCCCCTGCTGCCACAATGCAATTCGAGAAAATGGCGTTGTCATTTGTCCTCGGCTCTTGAAGAGAAGGAATAGGCAACAGCAAATGTTACAGAGTAGGGATCAAAGAACGGCTCCATGTGCTGGGTCTGACAGTTGGGTTTCCGAAGACAAACCTGGGGCACCGAGGACAGGCTATGGGTGATAACAGTGCTAAACAAGGCAGGGATTGGAATAAACCACCCTGTCAGTACTGGTATTGTAAACATACGTTGATTACAATGGGCATCAATACCTAACCAAGAAATACCAAGGAGACTCGGAAAGCTTCTCTGTCTTGGCCGGATCGAGCATTTAATGTCTAACTTTAGTCACGATGGTTTCAACATACTACCGCTACTAGTACCAATGTTGCGATTCACGCGTTTCGAGGTTTGAACTTGCGGAAAAACAGAGCGATTCCTATGTTTTCGCTAGTGATCAAAATGGAGATGACCTCTGGTGCGATCGCCGGCAGCAGGCTTTGTTCCTAGCCCCAGAATTCATCGAAATCATATCCTGGAATGATTTTGGTGAATCACATTATATTGGTCCTAGCAAGGACATCCATTCTGGTTTTGCTGATTCTGTATATACGGCTTTCGTCACTGGGAAGGGCCATACAACTACGTGTCCGGTTTGGCTCATGATGGCTGGAGAGCGTTTCTCCCCTTTGTGATAGATATGTATAAAGAGAACATCACAGTCATTGCTCGGGAAGGAGTCACGGCATGGTGCCGCCGCAACCCGGTTGGAGCTTGCGCGGATGACGGAGGCACAACTGGCAATACAGCCTCTCAACTGCAGTTAGAATACCATCCACATGAGGTCTTGCAGGACAAGATTTTCTTCTCTGCACTCCTTGGTTCCCCTGCCGACATATCTGTCACGATCGATGGTGTCGCCCTACCGGCCTCCTGGTTTCATACACCTAGCGGGGGCGTGGGAATCTATCATGGCAGTGTATCCTTCACTGGCCACTCTGGAAACGTTGCCGTCACCATCAACCGATCTGGGGCAGAAGTTGTTAGTCTCAGTGGTGATGATATTACTAGCGGGTGCTACTTCGATACTCAAGCAGAAAACTACAACACCTGGGTAGGCTCGGAAATGGCAACGGGGACGGTCTCAGCAACGCCTCCCTACGCTCTGGCAGATCAAGTCTGTATTGCCGGATGGGGCAAAGGGGACTTTTTAGGTCTCTGCAACTTCAGCTGTGCACTGGGCTATTGCCCTGTTGGTGCTTGTGTTTGCACCAGGATGGGTCCTCACCCGGACAAGCCAGCAGCAAAGGGAGTTCAGGGCTACCCAGCAGCGGGAAGAGACGCCAACTTCGCGGGTCTTTGCTCTTTCAGCTGTAACTATGGCTATTGTCCCTCAGGCGTGTGTGACACCGTGCAGCATCCACTTACGATACCCACAAGATCTCCATTTGTGCCGGATCACCTGCGTGTCTGGGACTGGACAGGACTCATTTGCTGGCCTATGCAGTTACAACTGCAATTTTGGCTTCGGTCCCATTCATCGTTGCACATGCACAGGCGTTGGACCTCTAATCGAGCCTCCGCCAAAGAACACCAGCATTACCGGGTACTCACCCTCAGTGGATGACAGCGATCTGTGCATGTTCGCTTGCCAGAGGGGATATTGTCCTTCTCCGATCTGTCAGGAGTATTCCGCCGACGATTTTGTCTGTGGAGCATCCGAGGACGACTACTACGTCGATTGCGGAGAGACCATGTCTTGCGACTTTACCAAAAGCTATGATACACTAGCTGACTTGGCCAATGTGATGGATACTATAGATCCGTACTGCACCAGTTATTATTCCATCAACGTCCTAGGTCGCATGCTTGATGATGCGATGGTCGATTATAACTCGGTCGTTACCGGAGACTACGACAAGAAATTCAACGATTATGTCGATTACATCAAGGACACTATACCTTTGCAGCTCCGGCAGTTTCTCTTGGACTCAAACAGTACCGTGAGCCGCGGCAATAAATACTTTGAATGTGCTTTTGTAACAGGACCGCGAGAAGCATGCCCCATTGACACCAATTTCTACACTGGTCGAGTTGAAGTTACTTACTACCTGGTCGACGCAGATGGCTTTTACGCTGATCTGGCTGTAACATATGGGATTCAAAAGGAATGGGTGAAGTTCGGAGAGTACGACACCACCCAATGCCGTGGTCCCGTCCTGGGCGATGTGCAATGCACAATCTATTACGGTTTCCCGCTCAGATCAAGCAATGTCACCGTGGACAACCCAAAGGATATTGTTACCAAGGCTCTGCCTGGAATTCGGAGTCTCAATACGACAATTGCCCTGACGCAGCTCGAGATTAATGCGGGAACATGGACTGGTGTTCTGGACGATGGGAGGTGCCCGAACACCGGAGACGTTTTCGACCGCCGCTGCTGCGCGTCGAAAGATGACTGACGAAGATATTGAAGCTTTAGGGCCAGTGTTCAAAAACAACAATATGAATTACCAGAGCGTGGCTGGACAATGCAGGAAAGAGTTGAGTACATAGCGTTCCCGCTTTAGATCACTCACCAAAAGATCCTTTCTGTATATTAGAATTCCTCAGACGTCAATCGACACAATGACTGATGAACATATGATTACGAGGTAACTTTAGTGCCATCATCCAATGGGTTTCCTCGATAGGTCGTATTCCCGAGATCCTCCTATAATCATATCGCGAAATAATGTTATACTTGAACCGAATAGGAAAGCATACACTCCTCAACAGTCCACGAAATAAATACATGCATTTGATATCTTCTATGATTGTAACTACAGATTTAAGAACAATGAGTTATTATGTAGATGAATGATAAAGATTATGCCTTCTAGATTTGCTAGTAACAGCCTTCATTAGACGAGGCACCCTTGTAAAAGGGTAATCCTATCACTCTTTTCATCCATACTTCGTGGATGTTGTTGACCATGTGGGAAGAGACAGTTCAGCTTCTTATACTATAAGCTACTACACATTAATCTCCTCTGGATTAATGTAGACGGCCACAGAAAGTCCATCGCTGACTATAAGGAGTATACTCTCTGGAATTAAGCTAAGGATTTCCTGCGCCTGCTGGGTGATATGTAAGATCTGAGCCTAATACTACCTGCTACAGCTAACTACGTGCGAACACCTGAGGCAGGTATCTGATGTGCTTACCAACGGGCCGTTGCCGGCTCGGGCTGCCTCGGCCACTACCTTAGTGGAGTGGGGCCCTGCGGCTTTAAAGCTTGGAGATGTGATCACATATGTGCTGGGATCCCTCTATTTGAGACCCATACAGGCACTGGGTTAACATCACATGGCTTGAAGCATTGGTCGACTGAATATCATTCCGGCTCGAGCGAACAGCATCAGATGAACTCCGGTACACAGACATCGACTTTAGCGCAGGGGACTGTCATGCGGCCAGGAGCTGGTTCTATTGTTTATACTACGAGCCTATGCGAGGCTTCGCGATATTTGCCAGCTAGGGGCAAGTGGTTCTGGGGCGGGTGGATCTCTCCTTTAGGGAATATAAGTTTGACTATGGAATAGGTACCCCAACGGCACGATTGCTCGGCCCAGTCAGTAAAGGCTCGAAGCTAGAGCAGTCAGTCAAGGCCGAGAACAGCTCCATAAACAGATATGACCATTCAAAAAGACTGGCACGCACGTTAGTACCGTGAACAATGCCCAATTGCCCAAAGATATCAAAACACTAAACATGTTACAGATTTGCAATATAAATTGATCAGACAGCCACCCAGATATGAAGCAGATAGAACAAAAGGAAATACAAATAGTTCAGAAAGCCGACCACCGTTTTTGCAGTTGAAACACTTGAGTACCTCCGAGAAACAAAACGCAAAGGACGAACGCAACATTTGACAGGAACGCAGAAGACAGACAGCCACCCGAAATGTAACGAACACTGGATAATCACAAAAGCCGCCAACACTCGTCGCTTCATAGGGATAAACGGAGGAAATATTAAAATGCGAAAACAACAGGTCGATGCAGCGCAATGCTAACCGCTCGTGTCGATAGAGCACGCGTCAAAGAACGCTTCCATAGACACACCCCAAGACCGGAGCGTCAAGAGGGGCTGAGTCATGAGAAGACATGCCCGCGCAGAGCAATATGAGACAAATCGCTGGGTCATGCAATTTCTCACAGTTACCGAACCTGCGCCTGAAAACGGAAACCAGCGAGAAGAGGGATCATTAACATAACGATGCATCAAGGCAGAAAACAAGAGGAAAACGAAGCCGAGGGAAATGTCCATTAGTGGGTCGCCCCTGTGGTTTATATTGCGGCGGTGCTCGTGGAAAGACGATGTTTGATAAGTTAGAGAAGTCGAAGAATGTGAGATCACCGACTTTCTCAGTATAAGCAGCTGTCAAGAGAAAAACCCCCGGCAGAAGACAGTCATGACCCTCAATCCCAATGTCTGATTCGTGGAATTCATAACACTCTTGATTCTCGTTTCCATGGACTCGTTTCAAGTCGCGATTTTGATCATGGCATTGCTGTGGCCAAGTCTCCTCATTCACACTCTTCGATTAAGAAGCCTCCTCTTCCTAATTAACTCACCATTTCACGCTCTTGCCGCGCGTAAATATTTCTTGTCCGCCCCCCAATTCAACCTGCCTTCTCCGCCTCGGTAAATAACTCAACCAGTATGTTCGCCGATATCCGATATTCCTTGGGGACCCGTTGTCTCAGGAGCATCACCAGAAAAGAAAAAAGCAACGTGCCACGGAGCATTTCCAGAAGTTTCGGAACGTAACGGGTTCGGCCCATAAGTAACCCCCTCTTCTAGATCAACTGAAGATCGATGCAGCCCCAAACGACAAAAGAAAGATCCATCTATGCGCATCATATGAAATCGATGTGACCAGCACGAAATCCTCCTCGCGAACAGACATCAAAGTGGTATCAATTTTATCCCGTCTATGCGAGCCTTCGGACCCTTGTCAACCAACCCCTCGAGAATTAAAGACCTACAGCCAGTAGGTTTTATAACTCCGTTCCGGATTGAGTGCTTTACTGGTTGAGGCCCCGGCGATTCAGCGCATTTAGCATATCGCTATCGGTGCTGGAACGACCCTGGCTGTCACCGGGGTTCAACATATCCCGAACATTCAGCCCACCTCGAGACGAACTGACCGAACCTCCAGGAGTTGAGGTCGGTGGAGGAGTCATCGCAGTCGGAGCGGTGTGCAGAGGAGGATATGGGGAGCTGTGTGGGGAAGAGGAGTGACGGCTATCGTACGGGTAGGCAGATTGCGGCGAGGGACGCCGATCATGCTGCGGCGGAGGGGGTAGTAAGGACTGGGAGCGGCGTGCGCCTGATAGGCAGGCGCTGATGTGGCTGGGGTTACCGGCGCAAGGTTGGTCGGGTCAGGATACTCGAAACCGGAACCAGAGCCGCGTCGGCCGGCAGGTCTCTGTATGATATTATTGGCATCCCGAGTCTTCGAGCTTTAATGAATATGGGAACTACTTTGCAACTTACGTGGTCTGCGGGCACAGCGGATGCAAGGGGTGGCGGTGCGGTTCCGTACGGATGTTGGTACATTCCTTGAGGCGGCGGAAGGGTACTATCAGCAGGGGGTGAGGCTGCTGCTGAGGCGGCAAAGGCTGGCCGTGGGCTCCATAGAGCACCACTGGAGGACCAGCGCGGCCGTTTTGAGGGTTTCTGAGATGAGGATAGGCAGCGTGTGCCGGTACAAATGCCTGTGCTTGGGACGAAACCGGAGTGAACATGCACTCTTGGTTGAAACGGATACAGTTGCTGCAGCGCCCATCCTGAGAACTTTCAAATCCCGAGCATCGAATCTGTTGGAATCAGAAAACGACTGTCAGCAAGGTTCTGTCAAGTGGGAACCGAATGTGCCAGCAATTATTCCTCGGGCAATGAACGCACCTTGCGTCTGCGGCAGTAACGACAGGCTATCGCGGTCCGCTGTCTAGGAGCCGCGGCTTGGTATACAACTTGAGGCTGCGGTGGAGGAGCTGGCTGAGCGTAGACATCCTGAGGACGGTAGGCGCCAGGAGGAGGAGGGAGTCTGTAAGGGTCCTGGGTACCTTGCACATGAGGGTGGATGGTGGCCATGTGGGAGGTAGGCGGGTACTGTGACGGGGGTGGTGGTGGATGCGAATACGGGTGGTCTGCGTTTAGAGGAGGAGGATAGGAGGCCGGAGGATACTGAAGCGGTCAGTTTGCATATAAAGGAAGAGCTTTCGTCAAGCTCGGTTGCTCAATGGGAGTATATGTGAACAGGAACGAGAAACAGTAGCTCTTAGTGGCAAGTCGTCTGGCCAAGAATGTAGCTAAATAGTGCAACGAAAGCGACGGGGAAGGATAGGCCGAAATATATAAAACTCACAGGGTATTGAGATGCTGGCGGATAGTGAGCTGGAGCTGGATTATCCTCAGGCTGACTAGAGTTCCACTGGGGAGGCGGTGGATACTGTCCCTGTCGATTAGGGTCGCCAAATTCGTGGGGGTTGGTGGACATTTGTAGGCGAGGACGAGGCGAGGCTGCTTAAGAGAGCGGGAAAAGGACGGGAAAGGCCTGAGAATAAGAGGCGAATGCAGGATGATGTGAGTCGCAAGTCACGCCCAATGCTGTTGTTTGGTCAACTTGTCAAGGAAAGACACGCAGGGGTCTTGGTGACGGTGCGTGTGCCCCGGTCGTACGTATGAGCGAGTATGTATCGGTAAAATGTATGTATGCAGCCGTATGTATGTGTATCTGTATGTACGTATGTCTGTCTTTGCGTGTGTGGATTCGTAAATGTGTAAGATGACCAGGATAATGACGGAAAAAGGAAAGGAAAAGTGAAAAAAAAAAAAAAAAAAAAAAAAAAAAAAAAGAAATGCGGAGTCCAAGTTCTGGTCACAGTACACGCAGGTTACGACCAAATCAGAAGAGTTCCAGTTTCCGTCGGGTGATTTGCAAAGCTAGCATAGCCTCGTGGTCACGCTGAAGCCGGAGAGGCGAATGAGCGAAGGAAAACCAATCCGTCAAGGAAAAGACTTGAAGAGAGGGAAAAAGCCGACGGAAATATTAGGGCGGGTCGAAGAGGAGAATACCTGTCCTCTTTGCAAGCCGAGAGCCGGGGAGTAAGGGTAGATAGAAATATAGTCGAATGGTTAAAGAAGAGGAGCGAAACGGGGAAGTAAGAAGAAAGCGCAATGGGAAAAAAAGAGATAGAAAAGATGAGAAGAGGATTGAAAATAAGTCGAAGCGAAGAGCCTCGGGGGATTTTAGCTATGACGTGAGCGTTTGACTGATTCCAATGATACTCAGGAAGGGAAAGAAACTGTGGTTCTTCCTAGGGAGTCAAGGTACACAAATATGGTACGGATGGGGACGTCCAAGGTGCTGTTTGTTGGATGAAAAGAATAATAATAATAATTTCATAGTGATAGTGGAGAGGAAAATGGGAGAATAAAAAGGGAAAAATGGAGTAGAAAAGCAAAATAATAAAAATAAGGATGAAAATAAAATAAAATAAAGCCTGAATAATAATTTTTTAGTACTGTCCCGAGTATGTACTGTAATTTATTACCTATAAATCCGTGTGGGGACCAGATGCATAAGCAGCCGAAATAAAGGGGGGATGAAGCCAGGGAAAGTGCAAGGAAATTTGGCAATAATAATACAGAGTATGTTCACAACAATAAGAAAGTGAGCAAGAGAGGCGACGTATTAAATTGAAAGGAATAAGGATAGACAGAAGTCGTTGACCCCAACCGCAGTAAGCACTTGGCACTCTGTAGATAGTTGCTGGAAAAAGCGAACAGGAAGGAGTTAGAGCCCCGAGGCTGGCAGTAGCGCGATGCAAGTGTCGGTATAAATAATAAAACTGCAAAGAGGTAAAAAAGCGCCAAAGCTACCCGCTTATGTGAAGGACAACCTGTCAGGTCAGCTCATCAATGGGGCGAACAATGCCTTTTAAAACAAGGAACGAGAGAAAGGTAGAAGAGCGGCTGTGGTTGAAGAACACACTGAGAAACCTTCCACTATTCAACATAAGCTATGAGAAGGAAGGCTGGACGAGAACTGTTGATCACTCGATCTTCAAGGACACCAGAAATACTTCGTAAACTGGCAAGAGGTTACGTATAAGGGCCCGGAAGATGCATAGCATTCAAGTGCGCCCTCTGTTTTAAACCGTAGCTACCTCTTCAATATCTTGTCTTGAGATGTCTCGAGATGTCTACCTTAACCAGCTCCATTCTTTCAGATTAATGGTGGTTATGCTATCATAGCCTGAGCATACAGCTGTGGCGCTGCAATCCGAACGATATCCTCATTTTTCAGACGAACTATCTACCTCGCTAGAAATATGAATATCTGGATCGCCCCCTCAATGGTCTGTCCGAAGGCAAAGAGTGAGAAAAAAAAAAAAAAAAAAAAAAATTGTCTGGATCACCGTTTGAGGACCGTCAAGCAAAACACGTGACGAACACAGGGTGACCACGGCTGGGCGGAAAGCGGACGGGCGGGAATACTCGAAGATGGAGATCTGAGAGGGTGAGACTAAGATGAAAACTGCATGAAATCCTGATTAAAAATGACTGCTAAAAGATTTTGCTCTAGATTAGTGAGCCGTGCTGCAATATTATTAATGAAGCTATGTGGAAGCTCCAGGCACGCCAAGAACTTTCGAAACTTGACTGCTAGCGTCGGAGCCGACATTGGCCTTCAACCAAAGGATGCAAGTACTAATTTTTTCATCCCAGCGAGACGTCAATCACAAAGCAAGCAAAGATGAGTTGATTACGCAGTTTATTGGAAGTTGATAAATATTGTGGATCGTTGAAGGCCGGAATCCTTTGCGAATTGAAGTAAGGCCAGAAATCAAACCAAGCAGCGAATAACACGATGTAGTGGGCTTATGAGACTGATTGTACCTAGATACTAGGTAGGTACTAAGGGAATAGGGAAGTCCAATGAAAGACGGACGGTGCGGTGCGCAAGACAAGGTGGGCCGTCCGAATCAGCGCGCCAGTGACCCATAGACATGGACGGGGACTCTCCCAAGACGCAGCTAAAGTATTCATGGTTCCATGGGGATCAGCTGAATTGCTGTAAGCCTTCGGGTTGGGCGTTTGGCAGTCCCGCCAGCCACTCAGGTAGCGAGTTTGGCACAGGCTCGAGCCTGAAGAGGGGGGAGCCCGGCAAACATAAAGTTTGACCTGGGGAGTTGGGAACTTGGGAAACCAGACTAAAATGGCGTAGTGCATAACTCCAGTGGTACTACCGCAAGTACTAGGATGGTAGGCTGGCCTGGCTACCTGGCTAGAGGATACGCCGGGACGGGTAAAGGCGCCGTGACGGGACTCCACCAACCCGTTGCTTCGAGTCTTTCCGTCTCTAGGTAGGTGGATTATTGCCACATACGGTAAATACTGTATCTTTGGTAATTTAGCAAGTCTTTTGATTCGAAGTCGGATCTAGAGCCTCAAGAAAATTGTTCAAATAAAAGATATCTTCACAAGTTGTATTCCTACTACACCACGCTGATTACTGCAGATATATTCAAGACTAACAATTGAAAATGATTCAGATGACCTCTGGTTCGAATCATGGGTGCAGGAACAGCGCTAAATTCAGGCGTGAGAACTAGCCCCTTTTAAGTACCTGAGCCGATGCTCTGTGCTTAACGGAGTACATAAGCAAAGTATGTACTTGTACCAGATGGGAAATACCTGCAGTAGTCATATGTACCTAGATACTTGAGTATCTGCATTCCATACTCGTCCAAAGTATAATGAGTCATTATTAAGACTTCAATTGCCTGAGATAGTGTCTGTGGAATCAAAGTTTCTTAAGATACTGAGTACTCAGTTCATTCTTCGAATGGCGACAGTAAGCAACAGTCCAAAATTGAGTTCAGGGAGGATAGCTTCAGGTCTCTGGAGATGACCATAACCTACACAGTAGGTCTGAATCCAGTCGCAACTTGTAACATGTTTAGCCCACTGAGTCCTGGGAGAGGGTCAGAACGGCCTGTAAAAGGGAGACGGTCATAGAAGCCCCAGGCTAATCGAGGCGGTCGCAGTCAAGCAGAAATCCCATGTTAGGTAACTTCATCTAACAGTAGCGACAACCATCCACTATACCTCGCGGATCATCATTGAAGGTCGACATCGATCCTGATTACCCTCAGTAAACTCAACCTCTCTGATCCATTCGCATCATTTGTAAGTTGATCTAACACTCGTGATTTCCTACTAATAATAATGATTGGTCAGATGCGGTACAACATTGTAACTTAGGCCCAAGGGAGCGACATGTACCTACCAAAGGCCCGGGAGCGATGTGCCATGCAACGGCTCATCGCGACCCAGCGTTCTCTGATGGCCTCAACGTCCCGCAGACTCGTTCCGTGTCCTTTACAGTCTGCAGGCCAGCAATCTGAGCCACCTTCTTGCATAGAATACCAAACCCATGGGTTGTAAATTTGTCCTCCAAGGTACAGAACGCACCAAGGAGAAATGAACCGAAGACAGAAGACCAATGGTTCTCGCAAGCCTCGTTCGCGTTCAACCTGCGGTCGTCACCCTTGCTATGCAGTCTTTCCGGAAGCATGGAGCTTTGTACCATGGTTGACCGGAGCTTAGTCTACCAGACTTCAGATGAATCTTCCTCTTCGAGGTTTAATATGTCTCTAGCATTACTCCGATTTCGCCGAGGAATTCACAGCCCGTTTGGTTTGAAAACAAAAAGAGAAATAATATAAAATAAAAAATAAATAAGAAACAAATAGAATAAAATGGAAAAAATAAAGATTTCTTCCTAGGAGTCTGAGTTCTGCCCTTGCGGTTTCTTGTTGTTTTCAGATCAGGAAAGTAGCTCACCCTTGCTTGCAGCTAGTCTGTTGGGTAGGCGAAAATTTAAGATTGTCTTACACGGGGAGTTTAACCTTTACATTACATGATCCTGAAAGACTTCCTCATCCTGCAATCGACAATCTCGTTATGATTGCCCCAATAGGAAGTCGATATTGAAAGTCTGAATGTCTCTCCGTTGCATATCGGACTGGGTAGAGGTAACGGAGTATACAGGCCCTGTATAGAACCCGAGCCAGCAATCAGTTTCGTTTTTTCAGATTGCTACCTATCTATAGGTACCTATCGAGGACAACGACATAGTGCCAATATAGGAAAGGTATTGTGTAACATAGATCGATTTCTTCAGCCCAGCTTCCAGAAATCTTCCCCACCTCTCATGCATGGGATTCGGGCCTCGTCTCACCTCATCGATCGGATTTCGTGTGGCCTTGAAGAATCCTCGATCGATCAGGCGCAAAGACCAGAAGCATACTATGGCTTCGTGGCCTGCAGCTTATTCCAAGGCGATTTAGGAGTTATGATTTACGTATGCACCGTCTAGCACCGTCTAGTCCGTATCTAGAAAATGGACTCAACACAGTACGGAGTACCTCCACATTCCAGCATCCGGTAAAGGGAAGGGTCGATCCCTTGCCTGCATCCGGCCAACGGCTCGGCTGAGCAAGCTTTCTGTAGGCATGTTCCCAATGCTTTCCTGTAGAGGTACATTGCGAAGAAGCACAGGCAAATAGACGGGAATGAAGATTGCGTATGTAGCGCTTCAGCCATCACACATCCTGGACCATCCTACGTACTTCACTAGCATAACGGGAGGATCCCTGCCCGGTACTTTTTCAATATTTCCACATGGAGGCTTGTATCGTACTTCTCTCAGCTGCTCAAAAGCACTTCGCAATGCGGGAATAGTGGAGAACTCCTTTCTACACTTGATAACAGTTCAGGTCTGCTGCTGAGTGCGCCTGGTTAATATTCCTGTCTGCTTCAACCATCAGTCTTGAATAACATTGAGAGTAAACATATAGACATCACAATGCATGAAAATTAAAGAAATCTTCTGGTTTTTTCTAGAATACGAAGAGAAGACTCCGCCCCAGAAAGAGCTGTCCTTAGAGAGCCTGAAACTGGAAGCTGGTCAATCATACAAGTATGGTAGTGAGTAGCGACAATCATGCAAATAGTGTACTTCGTATGGAGCATTTACCAAAAGAGAACATCGTAAGGTAAAGCCGGTACTTGTGGTCTTGCGCGGTTCGGGTTTAGGCCCAGAAGGAAAGGAGCGCTCCGAACCGCAGCCAGCCTCTATAGCATCAGCCAATGATTGGCTTCTCAGAATTCCTCGTCCTTATTCCGGCGATGCTCGGTTCCGACGATGCAAACGCCAGCTGAAAAGTGGGTAGGAGAGTGTTACGCATCATAATTACTGCTGGATGCATGCTTGAGTTACAAAACTTCTTGTCTGTTAGGTCAGCAGATGCATTTTTAAATCCTTTTATGGATCTGGTCTTGCTAAATCAGTACACGAGGAGTTGTTTTATCTCACACAACAGTATTATTCTAGTCATACATGGTAAGGTCAGTGACATCACAGTTCTGAAGTATGGGAAAAGGCCATTAGTGTAATTTAAATATTATCACCTATACATCTATACCTAGGTAGTTAGGAGCATTCTAATGGAGTCATATATGAAATCTTTGAACAAAGTACTCTAAGAGTATGTTTACAATGATGATGAGGCGGTGAGTATTGTCCTTGTTGATGGTGGGGCCTCTACCAACGGATATCAGAATGGAGATCTCGGACAACCTAAGACTTCACGTTCAGCTGAAGGCGTGATCGAGAACAGGCTGTCAAGGTATCCACTTCTGTATCGCAGTACGTACATTATTGATGAGTTTCCACAACAGGATCTCTGTCTCGCAGGTTTTCGAGACATATCGGTTGGGGAGTCGTTGATTCGCCCATTGCGCAGCCAGGAATTGCAACCGTCCACCAATGGTCAAGCTTTTCTTCTCAACTGCGCCGTCTGACAACACATCAAGAGGCACTTTGGCAATCTGATTGGCCCCTTAGCTGAATCACGGACCTGATCTAAACAAGTAGAAATGAGAGATGACAGCCAACGATATGGCGTATCAACCATCCGAGCTTAACGGGGGTTCCCGGTGGAGGGCTCTAAGTTTCCCAGTGCTACAGCCTTGGGACCACGCCAGTGCAGTATTTTTGGGCTTTTTATTTGGACCGATCGGTGGCACTTCCAAGGTAACTTGCATTAGCGTGGCTCGGACAAGGTTTCTATTATTGTGGGTGGGAAGGGTTTGCCACCTGCTGGCTCCCATCGCACATGCTTGAACGCTGAAATGCATTGGTGCCTGCGGGTTTCGAAAAGTAGGCCGCAAGTCAAGATTACGCGAAACCCTTGCTTGGTGATATTCATTCCGATAAGAAGACCTTGCTTAGTCGCAATTTTGATGGATCAATGGCTATTACCATGACCGTCAAGGAGGGTACTAGAAGACAAGCGAAACTTACAGGCATAAGGGGCCAAAATACACAACGGAGCAAACAAGTGAAGAGAAAGCAATTAGCTATCATTATTCTGTCAGGCTCGGAACAGCCCGGTCAGCCAACGGAGACAGCGCTTGTGTCTTGACTCTGGACTCACGACTGTTCGCAAGTCTCTGCAGGTGTTCTGCAAAGTTATCACAATTGCTATCCTAGATTGGCAAACGGTTCTGTCCCCCCGCTTCCCTGTTTGGATGATTTATAATGAACCGTTTCTCTAACCGAAAGAGGTACTTATGATGCTTACAAAGCCAATCAGGACGTCTGCAATCTTGTCACGCAGAGGTACACACCCACACCGTAGATCAGGGATGGATCGTGTGACTCGGAATATATTAAGGCCCTAGCATGGTATCAATCCTGTGGGTTCGACTCCGACCTATTGAGTACCTATTCAGTCTCACCTTGCTGATGCCATTCGCCGCTTTCCCGCCCCTTCGTGCGACACTGAAACACACGACGCCCCTTGCGAGGCATCGGGAGGATACCGCGTCATCAGGGAAAATGCAAACGAGGGCGGGGGTAGAGGAAGAAGGGGAAAACGCAGCGCTCAATCCTCATGTGATATTGAAACAAACACCGCCAAATCAGCAGGAGTTTGCGATCGCAAGCAGATGCTTCGGCCCAGTTAGTTACAGTGTAGTGCGTCGAAGAATGTGACTGGATGCATGTGCGATTGTGCTCGCCTCGAGCCGTTGGGCACCATCCTATCACTCGACATCGCTAATCATCTCCTGGACATGTCCAGGACGGCCCGCCCCGACTTCCCGCCGATCTTATGCATGAAGTGTAAGGTAGTGTGGCATGCTCTCAGAACCCGTTGTCATCATTATTACCATAGCAGTGGCAGTGGGCCTCGGCCGTGATGAGCTACCATGATAAGCATGCCTCTGTCCTTATTTTCCTTCGCGTAGGTCGGTTATCATCACTTAAACGTTTGTTTGCTATTGCTCCATTTCAAGTCATGGCATATTACTTCTTAGGAGCTCTACTTTGCCGTCCGTCCATCTCTTTCCTTAATTTTGACCTTACTACGATGCATGAAAATCATCACCAGTGTCAACCTGCAAGCCACAATGACATCGGAGATATTCTTCCTGATATGTGGGAATCTAAGGTAGAGAGGTCTATCCTCCGGACGCTCTCTGTCCAGCGGTCAATGACAGACGCAACGCAACGGACACTCAAACCTCTTAAAATAAATCAGTTGGGATCATTACGACTGATGTTTCACATGACCGAAGGTCACAGCCAGCCTCACTCTGCCCTAGCGATTAGTATCACCCCATATAGGTCCTTGACAGCCATGAATAATCTGACGCTTTACTTAGTGTCGGGGTTCTCAGGTGTCTGATACCGTACATCAAATACGGTAATAGAACAGTGGTAATACAATAACAGTAAGTTATACTGCGTTTTTCCTTCTTTTATTTTTACCGACCATGTTTTTCGCAGGCTGATAGGCTGGGCTATTCTTCTTTGTCCCAACTTGTTGCCACGTTTTTTTTTGAACCCGATCGGCGCGGTGCATTGCCGTCCGCGTCTTTCCGTTGCCGCCAAAACCCACCGTCAGCTGGTGGGCTACACATTATTGGGCTCAGTGGGCTGTCCTTGGCCCCCCTTTCCAGGCCTCCAAGGCTCCAGCTCTGGGTGGTCAGTGGTCAGGGGTCACTAGTTACTCCGTCACTGTGGCCTTGGTCTCCGGGCTCGCAGGATGCAGTCTCCACCTCACTAACGGCCGCTTGTCCAGTAACCGAGTTGCTTTGGCTAGTGACTCTAGCAAGATCTTACCGTTCCATGGTTTCTAACTGACTTCTTGTCTTGGGCGCAAGGTTCCGGGTACAGCATCCCGTTGCGCAGCCCAACCAAGTCAATCAATTTCCCTGTCCGCATTGCGAACCTTGCCAGCCATCGGAGTATCACTAATTTAGGAAGAGTAGGGCAGCGGCATCCTGCAAACAGAGAATTGAGCCGGTTTCGATTGCTCACTCTAAGGCCAACAGGCTTAGAGCCATGTTCATTGGTCTGCAAACGTATCCACCGGACTAGCCTGCTTTGGGATCGACGGGAAGCCCGCATACGATTTCAGTCACGTGATCACATGCAGCCCAATCAGGGTCAGGGACTGGGCCGGGTTCCTAGCCTTCATAGGTTGGCTCGATGATGTTTCCTATTGTGGCTTGTCTGCGCGCTTAAAAACGTGCTTTGGATGGTTAGACAGAAGTCTAGCAGTAGTGACAGGCATCTCACCCACTTCTGTTCGAATCTTGAAAAGGCAAAAATGCAAGTCTTTCTGATTGCCAATGTCCGTGCTTACTGCTTACCCGACTGCAGCACTGCATTTTGTGCACACTTACACATACAAGCATGATCCTCCTTGATGACGTGGCAGAAAAGGAGGTCTGCGAGGCAACATTATTCTATGTATCTTGCTTGACGTGCTCATTCCACCAGTCTCAAGTCATGATCCAGTACGCATCGCTACATGTGTCCTTGTTTCTCGATTCTCCTTTATGGATCATCATTTGAGTGCGAGTCGTCAAGCATGTCTTGGGCATCGCAGCTCTTCAGCCTGACGTGCCGGCTTAATAATATCCTCTGCATCGCGTGACGGGTCGGGGAGATTAAACTCAGAAAAGCGAATCTCACGGAGTACCTGACTGCGCAGAGTTGGCTCACTTGACTCGTCAGGCAAGTCTTTGATCCCTTTCGGCGAACTCGACGAACTGAAAAAGAGCAGTGTTCCGACGACAGAACGCTCGGACAAGGAAAACCTTGGGTCAAGTCAGCTTCGCAACCACTCATCGAATCGCATTCCCCCTGTACGAAGGTGTCTTAATTTGAGCGTGAAGTCATTCATCCAAAAGAGGAAGTACTTGACTGTGACCGGTACTTGCGTCGGGAAAGAGACCGAGCATCGAGATTAGGTCATCGGATCATCTGTACGCCTAAGGTTTGCACTGAAGATCATCCCCTCGGCTCTAGCTATTTGGGGCCTTGGGCAGCAACAGCCACGAAGATCAGTGCCATCCGTCAAGCGTACTCCAAGATCTCGATTGTCTTATTCAGGTTAGGGCTACGGATAACTGGCATGCGTTCGCTGTACTTGGAAGAGACACTAGGTGACAAGCCTACAGCGTACACGCCAGATGCTGATCTATCACATTATCGCCCACATTCCTCGGATAGAATTAGCCGGGGATCACCATCAGGTGCGCTGTCTAGCCTATCTCATGCAAGGAGATGAGCCTAGGATCCAAACAAGGTTCTTCTACGACGAGGCCTCTCTAGAAGCGAGGATGCCTTGGGCAGCAGGGAGGCGACAGGTAGGCCAAAAGAATGCAAACGCACACTCACCTTTCACATGCGATCTATATTCCCTGTGTTGAGTTAATCCTAGACGATGCAGGGTACTTCTGTCTGAGTAAATAAGTCAACTCGCTGCAACTGTCTCGACGATATGTAGTTCTCGAGGCAGTTCAAATAATCCAGACAAGTCTAAAGGACAGATTAATCTCTACTAGTCGACGTTATCAAAGTCTATGCGTGTCATTGCCACTCCCCCTTCCGTGATGATAAGCGAACTCGTACAAAGTCAAATTCCGTAGGGCAGATATACTTTCACAAGCGCAGTTTACACCTCACACTTGAAATGGATACGTTCATTTCAATTGCAAGCTGCTTTAACCAGTATATTTTATTGTATTTACTAATGAGCAAATGAATAGCGTTTAAGTGAAGACAATTCGTGATGCTACTTTGCAACTGGAAGGGTCCTCCTCAGAAAAATATATCATCTGTTCTGCTTCTCTTCTGGAACCATCACTTATCCGTAGAACGAGATCATCAAAGCATCGAGTACACAGCAGAAATAGATGGATTATTTATCACGTTGTTGTTGTTGATTTACTTGCTTATAATTATTCTTTTATTTTGTTCTTTGTATGTAGGCCCACGAAGTCGTTGCGGCATCAAACTCTGATACCTGGGTCTCAATGGATCTCCTCAACAGTATGAGAGTTTCGTAGAAGGTAGAGATATTATTGATAATACACAAGCAGACCTTCACGAGCGCTTGAGTGCTCAAGATGAGAACTGACCCCTCGATTCGAGGGGAAAGATGATCATCTTTTGTCTGGATTGAGAAACCAGACAAGGATCGATAGACGCATTTATTGAACAGAAACTTCCGCCAGGATCTCGGCGAGTCAAACCGGAATCGATCCATCCAATAGTATGGTCTAGATGTAGGGTACAAGGAATCTAGGTGGAGAAAGGTAAGGTGTGGTTTGCAGGAGTCAGGAGGAGCAAGGCAGCCCTCCTGTTTAGTGGCCACAGTCCCAGGGTGATTTTGCCTTTCGCGAAGGTTGCTGACTTGAGTTAACTAGGTGTCAGGCACCAGCGAGGCGGATGCTTGGCCTTTGAAGATGACACCATGGCTCGTACAAGACATTGTGCGTCGCGAATGTTCAGGCACCGATGCAGAAATCGTTGCTCCTGTGTCCATGGAATAAGTACCAGAGGTGGTAAGCGGCATCGACGAATTCGCACGCCTGCAGAAGTGGATAACTCCCATTGACGAGAAATGGGCTGCACCGTGGAGCTAACGGCACGTCCCACGGGCCGGGCAGCGGCGCGCGGACAGCAGGCCATAACATGCAAGTCGGCGAGTGTGGGCAGTGGCGTGTCAATTGTTCATGGATTTGACCCAAGAACAGTTCTTACTGGAAGACCGAGACTGGCGGTCAATGACAGAGATAAGAGAGGGGGATGCATGCCAGCTTGCATTCAACAAATTCAGATCCACGGTAATTCAGCGTCGACAAAAATGCGTCTAGACTCTTACGACAAACTCACCCAACAAAGAGTGGATAGTATATGGTCGTATGTCGGTGCCAGGCCAGCAGCCAGCTCAGCGCCAGGGGTCCCGGGGTCCAAGTGTTGGAATATACTGATGATGTTACGAAAAAAAAAGATGCTGTGGCTCTTGCCACAACTAGGGAGTCTTCAATAGTGGACTTCGTATTTGTACGCCAAAGCAAAAAAACTACACCGCAAGATCGACGAGGTCATCGCGAGACGACCCTGGGGCGTCCAGGGAGGGAGTTGGCCTGCAACGAAATCTGGTTATGCGGAGTCGGACTCGGAGCCTGAATCCTGGTCGACTGGATCGGGCATAACGACGCTGTTCAAGTACGTAACCTGTGAAATGATACCGTTGTCAGTAAAACAGCGCTCATGAAAGAACTTCATTGACCGTTCTCATATGATGGCATGAAGCATGAGTGTACTCGATGGTGGGGACCATTGTGTCTCAGAGGCTACACCGCTGAAGTGGCTGGGAAGGGCATGACAAAGAGGGGAACAAGAAACCAGACAAGGGCCATGTATCTGATACGGGACGGTAAGATCCAATAGGTAGAGACGCGGACGGGCGGGAGAAAAGCCAATGAGGCTGCGCAACAAGGGTGGCTAGCATGGCTTACAAAGGGTTCCATGACACCAATGATGGCGGCAATTCTCTCTTGCACATTCGAGGCCATCAATTCCGAGTCAGAGAGGGGCTTTCCAATGGTGAAACTGCGTAGACGAAGTAATTCGATGTTTTCGTTGTTGGCCTCGTAACCCTACAGAGGAACCAAGTTTGTCAGCTGTCAGTACTTACAGACTGTGAAAATGAAATTAAGGCGCGGCAGAAGACCCGCCAGTAGGCAGATGCTGAACCATGGAAACAGATGAGACGGTGCAGAAAACTCTTCGACACCAAAGCAACTCCGGTGGGACAACGATGGCATTTCCGCGCTGGTTCTCGGAACCAAGTTTCAGGAGTCCAGAATTATGAGCAGAAGTCTTTCTGGGGCGAGCGAATATGGTCGTAGGCTCGCAAGGCTTGGGTGTGAGAACGCGACCTCCCAATACGGGTAGCTCCGGCTACCCGAGCGCGGCTGCGCTTCTTGCTATCAACAACCTCGACACACACACAAAGCACTGAAGAACAACTGCCATCAATGCTGTGATATCATTTGGCTGCTCCTTTTTCTGAACTGACAGCCAAGAGCATTGTTTGATTGGCCAGAACGTGTCTTTTGAGCCAGCAGAACTTGTCATCCCATGATGGAGAGCCATCACTAACCAGCAGTACCACCGCGCCCAGGAGTCGCTCTGAAGCCTCTGATTATGGCACCGTCACCTGCACCAAATCTGCCCATCTGATAGAGTACTGCTCGAAAGGATTCGATGGGAACGCTTTGCGCCCGTGACAGTGGTGGTTGGTGTGTGCCAGATGATAGGATGAAACATCGAGAAAGAGCTGTACCTACCTTGGGCTTTGTTTTGAGCGCGCTTTCTTTATTTTGACTAACAAAGGCTTGGACAGCCTTCTTTTCGTCGTCAGGAATCCCATTGAAAAACTCGCGGCGCATCTCCGGTCTTCGCAGCACAGCCTTCAAACGATGCGAATTATGGTCGATATCTTCTCGAAGAAGAGCAAGCTTATCAGCTTCTGGGTGCCAGAGTCCCGAGCCTGTGAACGGCACCACTTTGTGAGCTTAAGGCATCATGGCCTAGAGATAATGGGGGAAGAGGACAAGATTCTGGAAGCAAGGTTGTCACCAGTTCTCGAAGGAGCCGTAGTCGTCGACGGAGCCCCGTGAAATGGTGCAGACAGAAAGGTTGCCCAGAGTCAAATCGGAATGAGGGTAAACTGGCGATGGTGCAGAACCCATTGGAAGCGGAATTCACTCTGAGCGGCAGAGGCCCATGAGTGTTAGGGAATCACTCACCGACAAAGCAAGATCCGGGTTGCAGATGCACATAGTAAGCGGCATAGGGGCCTTTTCTGCCGGTGCGGGACCTTATGAAAGGCGTTCAGGCAATGAATCTCTTGCACAAGGGCAGAGAATGAACCTACCATGCAGCTGAAAAGTGCGTCTAGTCAAAGCAATCGTCAACCCACCAACGATCTGAAGATGGGCACGCGAAACGCAACATGCTGACAGGTCAAGCTTGAATATAATACATACCTTGTACGGAGTGGGGTCTTTGCTGAATCGAATGTCTCTGTGGATGCGGAAGACCTGGCAGGACACGTCAGTCAATGCATTTGCTTCGTTCCACCTCATCGGTTTTTTCGCCTTTCCGGGTTTAACGATGACAAAGATGTTTCGGAAAAATGACACTTACGATATCCTTTGCAGGCAACTCAGGGATGGTGTTGTCCAGCTCTGATATCTTTTCTGTGAGACTCTCGACGAAGGTTTCCCAGTCTCTCTTCGAAGCACGATAATCCGCGTCATGTGCTGCCCAGGTTATAGGTGGTTAGACATGTTTTAAAATCGGGGATATCATATTCTGTCGCCAATACCTTTGAGCCACTGTCTGTCGTTATGTTTCGCTAAATCTTGCAAGAAAAGCATGGTGTTCGGATGCAGTGTATGGTCCTGATAGGGGATATCTCCGGGGTCTCTGGCTTTGGGTTTTTTGATGAAGACTTCTTTTCCGGGTCCTAAGCCAGTGCTGACACCCTCTCTCCATAGTTCTTTGTCCTTTAGCGAAGCTGCTATGTCCTCATTAGGATGGCCTTCTTCCTCGTTTCCTTTGCCTCTTCTCGCCGGTGTCTTCCGACCTCCACTAGGGTTAGCCGTCTTTGTTGTTGATCTTTTCTTTCTCTCCTCATCTGTAGATAGCGCCTCCGGTCCCTCAGAGTCCGATTCAGTTGACGGGGAGGATAAGTTTGTATCTTCGTAGGCTGAGCCTGAGTCTTCTTCCACCTCGAATGCATGACTAGATTCAGGGTCTGATTCTTCATTTCCCTCGTCTTCAAAATATTTGCTCTTTCTGGCGGTAGATCTGCCGGCCATCTTGGCGGCTGTGCTGTTGTACCTTTGTCTTTTCGGATCTGTTTTCGAGGCTGCAGAAATTCTGTCAGACGCGCGCCTTTTTGGAATCGGCGCTGGAGCTGCCGCAGGCGCGGGAACGGCCCGAGACGATCGACGAGGCATTGGATCCGAAAGAAGGCAAGATAAGAAATTGCTTTTGAATATACCGTTTTTCTTTTCAGAGCAAGCTATTATCGGAGACGAGTCTCTGATGACATATACGTAGCTACGCAGGATAAAGAGGAGCCGAGCGGGAGCAGGAATTGTGGGTAAGCGATAGTTAGTCTATGACATTTAAGAGATTGTCCGCGGTTTGCTTCGTAACGGTCTGACGGGACAAGCGGGCTACGCAAGATTTAGTTAGCGATTGATTGACTTTGAGACGGTTCAAGCGGATGACGGGACAAACCAGGAGGCTGGTAACTTATGGGGCGCTTTTCGCGTGGAAAAGGCGGACGGGCCCTTTGCTCCCGTGCCGCTAAACTTAGCGCGCGCTCGCTTGATAGACGACAATCGCTAGCGAAAAGCTTTAGCGATGCCGGGAGACTGGAGGACATGTTGACGAACAAGACATACCGCATCTATAAATTCCCAAGCTTCTCTTTGTAACCGTGCTGGGGCCTATTATACTGTTAGAGAAAACGGAAAGACACTCGCCATTTCTGCAACGGACCAATTCCGATTTCAGGTGCACTGCCGGACGCCTCGGTCGTCTTTTGCCGAAACAGACCGCGATCTTTCAGGGTGATTCAGCTGCAGATAAAGAGTGTCATAGCGCGGAGGCGAGTCATGAGCAACCCGGAGGTAGGCACGATTCCAGAGGTCTTTGAATCTCGAAAGCGCAAGATCCTCGCGGAACTGTCTGTCCCAGACACAGAGTATACGGATCTCTCACCCAAAGGATCGGTAGATGAGGGTATCCGCGACTTAATCCACGATATCAATGCTCTGCCCGGTCTGGTGACCACCAGTAGTTGTGCTGGGCGAATCAGCGTCTTCTTGGAGGGGAGAAAAAAGCAAAATGACCACCAGCAGGAGCAACGGCAGTTCGCGCCCTCCGGAGGCAAAGGCGCAGGGAAGTGGCTGTATGTCTCGCATGATCCTCTGAAAAGCTTTTGGACAGGTCGTAACAACGATGATTCCGATTCGATGCAAGGCAAAGATTATCCGAGAAGTCTGCATGAATTGTTTGGGATGGTTCCTGGAGATGGAAAGCCTCCGGGGCTGAAAGAAGGAGGTCACGCCCCGCGTCTGGTGCGCTTCCACTACGATCCTATGGTAGGTTGACAGTCCTTTATCACTTGACTCTCAATATGATGCCGGTCAACGTATATCGCCCTTTTTCTGGCTCTACTTCCAGGACAATCTTTTCAGAATCTTCCAAGGCCACTATCACCCTGTTCAATTCAGAGACCGACAAATCAGAGAACTTATACTGATACCATCTCTCTCAACAGATCCTTCATATTATGGCAGCCACACTTCACCACGCTCATCCTGTATTGTCAGCTGCTGCAACTTCTGGATTTCGGGAAAGTGGATTACAGAGTCTCCGTTGCCTTGAAGGCGAAAATGGCCCAAGTCCTATTGTTGCCGTGCGCTCTGCCGGGTTGTCACTCGAATCTGTCATTGGCTATTGCGAATCTTCCGATGAAGAAGACGATACGAGCAGCAAGGAGTCTGTCATCCGCAGTCTGGTCACGGAAGAATATCTTCAAATGCTGGTCGCCATCTCGAACGAGAGGTTTTCAATCAATGCGGAGCGCAAGGAAAGATTTCGGACAAGCCTGCTCAATCTTTGCTCGAGGGAGCAACCTTGTGGCTCAAGGACAAGGCTAAAGGCCAAACCTGAAGGCTGGGAAGATCCTGCGGCACGCAGAGAGAGGAAGAGGGCGGAAGGGCTTATGAGGAAGAAGGTTCTCGAGGCTCAGGCAAAATCTGCTGACCACGAGAGTACAGGGACATACGAGTTGGGATGGGGGACTGATCCAACGCCTTTATGAGAATCCTAGATACATGATCGAGAAACAAGTCATCTAATCTAGATCAGTGATTTGCCAGTGAAGAACAGGTCATGGTGCCGCCTGCACCGCCAGTCAGCCGCATGAGTGAGATCAAAGAGGAATCAAAAGATAAATGATATTCGTTAACACGCAACCTCCCAAGGGTTCCTCGAAACAAGCTGAGTTGACACTGCATGATATCTTAATCGATATCGACCGTGTCAAATTGACTCCAATTCTGCGCATCAGTCACTTTTGAATTCAATATCTTCCCGCTCGAAAGTGGGCACGAAAGATGTACAGTGCTAGGATGAGCCAAGCACTCGTTGCCTTTCAAAGTACCAAATCGATACAAAGAAGATCTCAAACTGCTGGCGGCAATCTACAACGGAGCCAAAAGATGGCAAGACATTGTTCGCCGTTCAAGAATGGAAAAAACCTGGAAGTCTGCAGTACCGGCCGTCCCACGACCCTGACGCGCTGAACCTTAATGGTTGCCTGCGGACGGAAGACAAGTGGGAGAAGACAGGGTATTCCGATGACCTGGAAACCTACCTCGTATCCCGGCCGAAGAATGCATATACATTGCACGGCGCCAGCCGTCATCGCTGCTCTCAGCGAAGGAGCTGCGGCTGCCAAGTTGAACGCTTGCACGGCGAGAAGGTGTCGCGAAAATATCAGTCCTGGAAGATGTCCGAACATTGACTGGACTATTATCGCTTCCAGAGGACACGATGGTATTGGCATGGGACTCGCGGCTGCTTCCGGTAGTGGACTCGGACAGTAGGCCGGATTTCTTTGTGTTCTCCTGATCATTCTTCATCCAGCCCGTCAGGACAAGATGGCTAAGGATGCTCATCTCATGCGAGGAAGCATCTTCCCAGGTCATGGTTTTAGCTATGTTGGACGGCCATTCGAGCCAGATAGGACCGTAAGGAGACTCAAGGTGAATGTTGGTCAAAGGGAAATTGTTGGGCAGCTTCATGTCAGTGCGATCATGGAGGGTACCTTTCGATATCAACTTGACATAATACTGAATGCTCAAACTGTCAGTGTGTGCCAAACCAGGGCCCGAAAAGCTGCAAAGCTCGAGACAAGTCAAAAAAGGAGGACATACAAGCAGCGTGCTCTCTTCGGTCTTTGGCAACTTGACGAGAGTATCAAAAGGGAACCATTTGCCCATATCTGGGAACTTCAAGATCTCTGTGGTATCCTCCGAATTGACACAAAGGGTGAACTTCTGGCGCTCATTGAAGGCAGGACAATTCAATCCAGCATAAAGAAGTTCTCTCAGCAGCCTTTGATCAAGACCAACTGTGTTCGACCTCTTGACTCGCGCAACGAGAGAGAGGATGTGACGATTAACCAGTTCAAACAACTGATTGCGGTCATGAACTGTGTACAGCTTGGTAGCGTACCACGGGAACTAAGCAGAGTGGTGTATGGTTAGCATATTGTCTCCCTCATGTGCGTCTACGCACAATAGCATCAGACGAAAAGGGTTTACCTTGTAGAGTGTGCTGATGGTGGACTCGTAAGTGCGCTGGGGACACTTCGCACAGAACGGAGACTGACAATCTTGTTAGTGCCTTGAACAGACAAGCGAACAAAGACCGAACTGAATCGAGTGAAGGTTACTTACACGGTGCGGTATCTCTGCATGGCGAATGGCATTGACGATTTCCTCGCTGGTGAAAAAGCCCGAGAACCCAGTAGAAAAGGGGTCATCATTGGGGATGGCGGTAGGCATAGCATCTTTCCAGATGATGCACTTGGCACGGGGAACAGGTCCTTGAGCAGAGCGTCTTGGTTACTGAACTCAACATCAACAGAACGATTACCCAGACGAGGAGCGCGGCCAGTCTCATAAATTCGGTTGATGCGAGTAGCAGTCTCCTGGGCATCAGTCGTGGACTGGAACTCCGCATAGCAGTCCATTGTCTTAGCGGTGGAACGCTCCATGATGATATGGATTGCGCAGCCCTGTTGCGGAGTAACAAGGCGTGCTTGGCGGCCTAGAAACTGAACGATTTCCTGCCGGGTGACTGAGTAGGGAATCTTCCTTGCTTGTTAGCTGAAGGCCAGTGGACGTTACAACCGAAGGACTGTCATGCTTTTAGAGACATGCGAAGGCTTTGACTTACGTTCGCGATCTTTACCACTCCCCACTGAGGGGGCATTCTCTTGTGGACTTGGCTCCCAATCGGCATCTCAGTGGGAAGGGCCACCGTGTCGAAACTCTTCTCACAGTCAGCAGCCTGGGTAGCTATCTCACGATGCTCAGAGTCATGCTCCAGGAGCTGGTGCAAAGAAGAGCGCGGAGCCCAGTGAGAACCAGCTGGGGCAAACCCCGTCTGCTTGGGACGGACTGAGAGCTGGAGCTGAGTGTTCGCGGCAGGCAGCCCAGCTTGCATCCCGTGAGCTTGTCCTATGACGCCAGGAAGAGCGTGAGCCATACTTTGCATACCATAGAAAGGGGAGTACATGAAGGGGCATTCCTGCTGCAATGGCTGGGACGGATTCGGATTGCCTGGGGCCATCATATACTGTCCCTGCTGCGGAGCAAAGCCCGGCATGCCAGGAGCTCCGAAGGGAAGCATGTTGTAGCTCTGTGGGTAAGGAGGTGTGAAAGCATATCCGGACTCATGACCGGAGACTTGACTGTTGGTTTCCTTGCCCTCCATTGTAAGATGAGATGGTTAACATGCAAGAAGGTTGAAAGAGAAGAGAAGAGACGGGAAGAAGCACTTCTCATAGCAAGAGACAAGATCTTATTGTTAGAAGCGTCGGGGCAGATGAGCGCCATAGTAACAGAATGTTGGGATGAAAAACCCGCTTTTGATTCAGGATTCACTCATATTCACTATTATATGCTGTCTCCACAGTGAAGTGTTGCCTACATCTACAGGATTAGACAATGAGCTCTGTTAGGAGACAATACAATATCTAAACGTGAGGCCATCAGTGGTGGGCTTAGACACTTATGCTACATAATGAGCTCTCTATCAAGACATCATCAAACTGAACGGAGAAAGAGATCCGCCGAAGGTAGTGCCAAGCTCATGAACTGACATCTGAATCAGAATATCATCCGTAGAGGCTAGTCCTCAGCAAGTTAGATGACCAGTGAATGGAATATCAGCACTTGATGTCTGAAACATAGCATCCCTCATAATTCACTAGGAGCAGTCACCATCCCTGCGAGTATGGGAGTACGGTCACACGGATATGTGGGGAACTAAATGTTGGGAGTATCCCTTAACAATGAGGTACTGACAAAGTGTGATATACCTCATGGATAAGTGAATATAAAAGTAGACTTGGAGAGAAATTTCGAGCTGTACTGCCAATTTAGCTGCGCTTCAGAGGCGGCTATAGAGTGTCGAGATCGAGACGTGTCGGTTGAGATTTGTGCATTGTTTTATCGCAGTGGAGGTAATCGGGCAGTGAGTCAAGAGGAGTCACAGTCCTGATGAATTGCCGTAGATACATGGATGAATTGTAAAAGTGAGCAAGCTCACTGGTTTGATTCAAGAGTGAAATTGAGGATCTAAGGAGGGAATGGGGGATCCGGCGGACTGCCCGAATGTTTCCCTTTAACTGCCTAGATCGCCTGTACAGAGGTTTTCATTGGACGGAACAGAGGTCATGTATAAGTCAAGGAGAGATGTAGGTAATATCAATGATTTTCTAGTCAAACTGTAGCATTATTAGAAACGCAGTGATCATGGGAAAGAGGGGGAGGTCTCTTACAGGTGTCAAGAAAGACTCGGCGACAAATCGAGCACGGGCATTCAACTGGATAACGTTAGCCTTGAACCATCAAGTGGGAGCGAAGAGTCTGAGAACATACGAAGAGCTTCATCTCAGATATCTCCTTGTCCACTTCCTCCATGAATTGGATGATAAAGTCGACCAGCTTGTGCTTCAACATAGCTTCTGTATGGAAGTTCGTGATCAAGAACGAGATGTCATATCCCTTGAACAGATTAGCAAGTTGTCGTTCCTGCGGCTTTGAAGGTCATATGGTCACTTACCTTGACTGGTTTCCTCCGCAAGATGAAGAAGGATTCCGCGCGTTGTGTCAAGAATCTGGTGAACTTGTGGACCAGGATATGTTCAATTTCATCTGCTTGCTTGATCCTGATGCTCACACGAACGCTGTTCACGCTGGGCTCAATCAAGACCTTTTCGTTCTCATTCCGAGAAATTGTGAGGGGGTTAAGGAGGAGTTCCGGGGAGCTCTGAGCCTCGATTTCAGGAACATTATGCCTTTCGGAGGTTTGCGAGGCGAAGTTCGAGATCGCAAGAGCGGCCGTAAGCGAGGACCGAACGCATTGAAGATAGGGGCGCAATGATTGAGACTGCCAGATGATCGATATCAGATTCCGCCAGGTGTTCACGGGGTACGGCCTACCATAACGGGGATGCGAGGTATGGTGATTCCACGTCACTGTTGCTGTTCCCCACTCCAACTCTGTCAACGTTCGGTTTCAGCCAGGTATGATGATTGTCAAGATTGCACCAATTGACCACACACAGATGCAGCACTATCAGAAAAGCTGGACTAAAACAGGATAAATGATCGTACTCGAGCACATGTACTAGGCAGTCGACTTCAGGAGCCGACGACATCCCGCACGGCTTGCTTGGGCGGTGATGTCGTATGTGATTGTTTGCTTTGTTTGCCTTGTTTGTAGCTTCCGCCCCACGCTTCTCTGGAGTCATCTCTCGCACCTCCGTTGATTATGCGCCACCCGCCCAGTAATCTATCAAGTGAAGCTCATCTGGAAGACTTGAAAGCATCTGTTGAGCTCTGACAAGATGGCTACAATACCAAGTATGACTACCCGCTCTGCTGAGATGCATTCTGAATATTTTTGAAGCTTGTACTGATATCATGTTCTCAGTTATCGTGAAGCATCAAGGCAAACGTCATGAGGTCGAGCTCGATCCATCTGCGAATGGCGAAACACTCAAATATCAGATGTACTCCTTGACTGGAGTCGAACCCGAGAGACAGAAGATCTTGGTCAAGGGTGGCCAGCTCAAAAATGAGACGCCTTTGTCCGCCCTTAACGCTAAACCGGGTCAGACATTTATGATGATGGGTACGCCGTCTGGCGGTCAAGATGCCGTAGACTTGGGACGGCCAAAGGAACCAGTCAAGTTTCTGGAGGATATGACCGAAGCCGAGGCTGCCAGAGCGGAGGGAGCCACCCCTGCTGGTCTACAGAATCTTGGAAATACTTGCTACCTCAACTCTACCCTACAAACCCTGAGGAGCGTCCCGGAGCTTCAACAGGAGCTTCTAAACTACAGACCCAGCGCGGGCTCTTCAGCAGGTTCAAGACTTTCAGATCTCAGCAGCCTGGGCCTTGGTGGTCTTGGTGCCTCCATGGATCTTGTATCCTCCTTGCGGGATTTGTTCAAGCAGATGTCCGAGACGCAAGAAGGTTTCCCGCCACTTATGTTTCTCAATGCTTTGAGAAGCATCTTCCCTCAATTTGCTCAGAAAGACAGAAATGGACATGGCTATGCTCAACAAGACGCTGAAGAGGCTTGGTCGCAAATTGTCACTCAATTGCGAAGCAAACTGGTGATCAAAGAGGGGGAAGGAGACTCCGCTACCGAAGTATCGTTCGTGGATAAATATCTTGCTGGTCGATTCGAATCGGTCACCGAATGTGACGATCCGGCGGCAAAGGCAGCTGGCGAGGAAGCGACAAAAAGCTCCGACATCTTCTACAAGCTGGATTGCCACATCGGCAAAGAGACAAACCACTTGCATGATGGAATACTGGCCGGTCTCGAAGAGAAAATTGAAAAGCGATCACCTACGTTGGACCGCGACGCCGTCTACACTAAACGATCCCGCATTGCCCGGCTGCCCAAGTATCTGACCGTGCACTTTGTCCGCTTTTTCTGGAAGCGTGAGACCCAAAAGAAGGCCAAGATCATGCGCAAAGTGACTTTCCCTGCCGAATTGGATGTGGTGGACTTTTGTACGGAGGAGCTCAAGAAGCAGTTGATCCCTATCAGGGATAAGGTACGAGATATTCGGAAAGAAGAGGTCGACGTTGAGCGTGCCCGCAAGCGCCAGAAGCTTGCTCATCAGCGGGAGGAGGAGCTGAAGAGAGCCGCTGAGTCTGATGCGGGTCTTGAACCCATGCAAAAGAAGCAAGCCACGGAGGGGCAAAAAGAGGCTACAAAGAACGGCGAGCAAGATGGGGACACAGCCATGACAGATGTCTTCAAGTCGGATGCAGAGTATGAGGCTGAGAAGAATGCCTCAATTCTCGCTGCAAAGAAAGAATTGGCTGCACTGATTGACCCCAAACTCGCCTCAGATGCCGGTACAAACAAGTCTGGCCTCTACGAGTTGCGCGCAGTCATTACGCATCAAGGCGCCAGTGCTGACAGTGGTCATTACACTTCGTATGTGAAGAAGCAGCCAAGTGGCAAGGGCGAAGAGGACGGAAAATGGTGGTGGTTCAACGACGAGAAGGTCACCGAGGTGGACGGAGAAAAGATCGAGACCCTTGCTGGTGGTGGTGAGTACATCGCTTGTTTCTCTCTATTGATGGAACTTTGACTGACATCAGGCAATTTCAGGCGAATCCCATTCTGCACTGATCCTTCTCTACCGCGCAGTTGACTTGCCCACTGCGGAATAAGAAGCTTCAACGCTTACTGATACCAACTCTACCGTGCCTTCGGTCTACATCTTAGAGAAATGAAGTTCAGCACATAACGACCACATGAAGCATCATTGAATCAAGATTTCGCATCGGCTAGACTCCTGCAGTCTTCCTTGTCCTTAGCGTCCAACTTTTTTCGGTGACTCCGTGAACATTGCATGCGTGCTATTCTTACGAAGAACCTTTAGATATATGAACCCAGGGACGTTCCCGAAGTGTTAGACAGTACTTCAGTAACATTTGAATCTGTATAAGGAACAATGACATGGCGTAGAAATGCCCTCCTCAAAGTTAGTTCACGTGACTTCAACCTCGGCATCGGCGCTTTGTCTCCCCCTGCCGTTGAAGGTTGCTTATGATAAATTGTACTGGAAACGCGTATCGTCTGAACCGCAGCAATACCTATCGCCAGGTTGCGATGTGATTCAGATCATCATGCTCGGCCCTCGCAGAATCTTTCAATCTCGACCGCGCTGTAATGCAACTCAGTTGAAGTCAGTGCATCTCTCGAAGACCCGTCTGTCGCGCCATGCCAGCACTATTGCCCAAGCAGAGCTACCAGCAGCCAAGTCGAGGTGGCCACGGCGACTGGCCTACGCAGGAATATTTGGTGGATTAGGGGTCGCCGCTGGCAAATGGATGGATGAGAAGGTCTCGGCACCCGCAGTGCCAGGAACAGTGGAAGACGCAGCCAAGCTAGAGGAGATCAATCACGTATTCGAGCACGGGCTGCCTATCGTGCAAGAACTAAGAAACAATCCGGACTACGTGGAATCGAATGCATACGAAGGATTTTCGGAGGAGGACAAGGCGCACAGATTGACGTCTGGACCGCTGCGTGGGAGTCGGGGGTTGGCACTCCAGGTTCGTATCTTTACCTCACGCAGCATCATGGCGGAGACGCCAATCAATTCGGGATTGAGAGATTTCTTGGCCTGCATATTGATATCATTACCGAGCGACCCTGCCTACCGAGCACTCTAAATGCCGGCATGAAAGCTCGATCAACCTCGGAAGTACTGGACACTCGCTAATTAATTTATTGTTGTACAGAGAGTTTTCTATAATGACAAGGAGAAGAAAGTCATTAGTGTGGTATACCTCGGATCGGGTCTGGAGGGTTGGCCAACGGTTGTCCATGGTGGCGCTCTCGCTACTGTGCTTGACGAGAATCTGGGACGTGCTGCTATACGCCAATTTCCGGCACGCACCGGCGTCACAGCCAATCTTGAGATCAACTACCGCGCTCCGGTATATTCAGGCAACTTTTACACATTTCACTCGCAGGTAGACCCAGAAAGAAGCACTGAGCGCAAGGCGTACGTGACTGGTGAGATCCGCGACCCGGTCGGGCGAGTGTGTGCGCAAGCCTCTGCGATTTTCGTGGTTCCAAAGGGATTCAGGTTACGGGAGATTGGAGAACGATTCTGATTTTCTGATCCGGTTGATTCGTCGGAGACAAGACTGGGACATGCCGTGATGTCGACGAGACCTTCAAGCCCGTACAATTGGATAGATGCTCAGTCAATGATCGAGATTTCCCTGCTCGATATAATTGAATACTAAGTCTATCTCGGGGCTATCGAAGGCGGATTGCTCGACTTGTCGCCTATCTCTTCTCGCTATGCATAACATGGCGCTCAATGGTCCACTAACAGGATATTATTTTCAGTACGTACATATCTAGCTCGATAGATCGCGATCGTATGACAGGTGAGGCTGTTCCGGAATATTTCGAATATCACTCAATTCAAGTTGCATGAGCTCTTGGAACAGGCATTTTGACACCTTGGGAGACATTAATGGGGCCGATAGCGGAAACTGGGGAAAGTCCGGGGTATTGACTTTTGGAGTGGTCCACTTGGCCCGATCAAATGGGCAGACAAATGAAATGACCGATTTATTTTCGCTGGCTACTGGCTAGCTCGACTCTGGTCATATATCCGTTTCTCTCCTCCCTCCCAATCAAGTAGCATAAACTCAATCAACACATGGCCCAGTCAAAGTTAATAGGAGCTTGTTTCCCCCCCTATCGCCTGCGCCACGCCTGCGGGTCCAATCCCCCGCACTCTCCACGGCCCAGATGAGCCCTCGTCGGCAATCACTGAAGCACTGTTCGCACCAGAATTCTGGAAAGTGCCTCGGTTCTGTCTCGATATGGAAGCACCTCCGTTTGAAACATGGAGATACTCTGGTAGAGGTGGTCGACGAACCTGGCTCGCTTGGTCGTATTGGGGTCAGTTCTCCGCCTAAGATCATGATTCACTCAAACGTGACTCCGCCCATGAACCTAAGCATTCTCGTCGTGGAGGCTACCGAGAGCTTGGTTTATTATTGAACTTTGTTATTCTGCTCGACCATCGACACGTATAAAAAGCGCAGACTTGCTGGCTGATCGACACGATTATTTTCCTTGTTTCTTCCCCAATACTACTACCAGGTCATTGCTTTCTGCGGCATTGGACCGATCTATGGTTTCTTTTTCTCGTTTTCTCTCGCCTAATTGAGTCACTTTGCGACATTCTGTGCGATGATGGAGGTCGCCGACCACTCAAGTCTGTCTCAAGTGGATGACAAGGCTGCAGGACAGACAAGCATGGGAAACAACCAGGAGCAGAAGTATAGTCATGAGGAGATTGTTGGACTAGAATCAGGAGGTTCAGATACGGCAGGAGGTCAAGACATTCCCGTGAGTACCGTGCTTTATTCTTTACTAGTTTGGTACAGCTCATTGAATTGACTGCTAACTCGATTCAGTTGACCTTCCGCCGTTTCATGGGCTTCACGGCCATGGCCTTCTTGTGGACTGGCAGCCAGATTCCTGTCTATCTTTTCGGTGAGTTCCTCATGCCTTGGGCTGATCTTGCGCTTGGTATAAGCTGACGATGCCGGTTAGGAGGCATCCCACCCTATATTTATGCAGACATCGGTGGTGCGGACAGGTGGATCTGGTTTGTGGGTGATGCCCTTCTGAGTCTGCCTTTATCCACCACTAATTCATTTTATTATACAGGTCCTTGCAAATCTGCTAGCTCTAGCCGGTGTATGCCCTTTCGTTGGTTCGTTGTCAGATCTGATCGGCCGTCGTTATGTTGCTATCATTGGCGCCTCTCTCATCTGTCTTGGGATGATCGTTACCAGCACAGCTCACACAATGAACATATTCATCGGTATGTTGCAATCTACTACCTAGACAGTCAGGGTACATGATAACAGAAATTAGCTGGAATGGCAATTGCCGGCGCTGGTGCTGGCGTCAACGAACTGACAGCACTGGCTGCGACCTCTGAAATGGCGCCAACCAGGCAGCGAGGCAAATACGTCGCAATCCTCATCTTTACTATTCTGCCATTTTGTCCATCCGTTCTATGGGCCCAGCTCATTGCAGCGCATAGCGGCTGGCGTTACGTTGGAGCCTTCTGCGGTGCCTGGGGTGGATTCGGCTTGCTAGCCACCGTCTTCTTCTACTTCCCACCACCAAGAGTCAACTCGCAGGGACTCAGCAGGAAAGAGGTGATCAGGAGGATTGATTTTGTCGGCGGTCTTCTGAGTATCACAGGCTTAATCCTGTTCTTGGCTGGCATGCAATGGGGAGGTTACCAGGTACGCATCGCCTTCTACATGCAGACTTGAACACATCCCGACCAGCAGCTAACCCCGTCATCACATAGTACCCCTGGACATCCGCACACGTCCTCGCCCCCCTTATCATCGGATTTATGATCCTCATCGCCTTTGCGGTCTGGGAAATCTACGGCGCCAAGTATCCTATCTTCCCGACACGCTTGAAGCAGGAGCCCCGCACCCTCGGTCTGACCCTGGTCATCACATTCATCTCGGGAGCAAACTTCTTCTCAATCATCATGTTCTGGCCTACGCAGTCATTCAACGTGTATGGCCACGACCCTGTCCAAGTCGGCCTCCGCAGTCTACCTGTCGGCTTCGGCATCATGGCCGGTGCCTGTATCGTCCTGTGGCTTCTGAGTGTCCTCCGCGGCCACAACAAGGAATTATTGATCGTCAGCAGTGTCCTCATGACAGCAGGTCAGTCATGCTCCCCAACCCCCCAATACCTTTCCTGAAATAGTCGTGTGGCTAACGCTCTAAACCAGGCTGCGGCGCCATGGCAGTCGCCCGACAAGACAACCTCTACCAGCTCTGGGGAATCCTCGTCCTCGCAGGCCTAGGTATCGGCGGGATCGTCGTCCCCGCTTCGATCATCACCACAATTATCTGCCCAGACGTATGTTTTAACTAGTCCCCTCTCTCTACTTACGCGAAAGACTAACAGGCTCGTGCACCAGGATCTCATCGCGACAATATCGGCGCTCACGCTCTCCATCCGCGTCGTCGGCGGCAGTATCGGCTACACGATCTACTACAACATTTTCATTTCCAAGTTCATCCCTAATGCGAAACACTTCATTGGCGGCGTGATGGTCACCAAGCTCAACATCACCAATCCGGCATACATCGGCGAAGCCATCGAACTCACCGGCGCTTCGCTGCTGGAGGAATTGAAGACAATTCCTGGAATCGCGGGTAGCGAGGCCGCGTACAATGCCGTTGTGACTGCGGGCCAGCTGGCGTACGCTGAGAGCTACAAGTGGGTGTACTACGTCAGTATTGCGTTTGGTGGTGTTTCTATTCTCGCGGCTTGCTTCTTGGGCAGCATTAGTCAATACATGGATGACCATGTTGCGGTGGTCATGCATTGAGAGAGGGTATTCTGCACCATTGTTAAATAGGGTCGATACTTTACATGATATGTGAGTAAAAAATAGTTTTGATAACTCCGTGATATTCAATGGGGCCATGAATCAACCCTGCATGTCGTGCTCGTTTTGTATATCGTGCATAGTAAAGCAGAAAAGAAACTAGCGCAGCCGCACGAATTGGTAATGTAAAGTGCCAAAACTCGGAACCTCCACGCCTATAATATGCATATGGGAATAAAAGGGATGGCCCTATACGTCATAATTCAGGGGTATATATGTATGAAGCAACAGAAATAATTCACAGAGCTCATGCAGTGACCAATCGAAGTCATGTCACCTTCTCCACTTGGTTCATCGATGACTTTTTCGGAATGAACGCGGTGCTGGAGGGTCTCAGTCTTCGCCGATCTTCTTTCGCACGAAGACCTCGACTGAGACCTCCTCCGAGTCCGCGAGCGAGGGATGCAAATGGTGATTCTTGCCAAGGTCCAAGGAGATCATCTTCATGCTGGCCCACACCAGGTGACAACTCGCTCGGTCGTGCTGGCAGCTCAGACCGTTTGAGACGGGTGCTTGTTGGTGAAACATCCCTCTCATGCGCTGGAGTTGACGGTTCCAACGGTGTCGGGATATCAGTGCCAATATGCTCAGAGCAATGACACCCGCAGCCGCTAGGACAAAGCTGAAGTTCTTGCTCCTCATCAATCCCGTTTGTTGGGATGTCATTTTCCCGCTGTGTCGCAGATAGAGACACCGAGAACCAACTCCTATGACAGTCAAAGCAGGTAACGTGGCCGCACCTTAGGCATGGGACAAGCATTCCTTCAACCACTTCGCCGCATATCACACAAGGAAGCTTGAGAAACAGTGGTCGGTGGGGTTTGCAATTCTGGCAGGTAATAGTTACAGGACTCATGTTCAGGTGGTTCTTGACGTTTTCCTCAATAGCGGTAGGCGCGAAGATAGACATCTGAAGAGCTTGGCCGCATTTGATGCAGTGCCGCTGAAGGCCAAGCCCCTGATCTTCCCTGCCGACATCTATAAGTCGAGCGTCCTCGTGGCTGCGATTCGAAACGATCAATGACGACTCCATGTTGTTGTGGCTCCTTTTCCGCGAGCGTAGTTCATCGGAGCGACCCCCAGCTGTGCCAATCTTGAGTACTTCGCTGTGCTGAACTGGAAGTCCCCAGATCGAAAGCAAATGAGCGTACGCCCTGCGGTAGGGTTTGTACAGCCCTTCTTTATGCGGATCAAGCATCGGGGTCTGGCTGCTTCTTCCGCCGTCAAACTCATCCTGATTCTTCAAGACAACCTTGAATTTTGCCTGCGGCTTCGGATTCTGTTGAGGCCTCTCACTGTCGGTGTCAGAGTGAGTTTGAGATGTAAGCGCAGCTGAGGGTGTGAGATAGTCGGGAACTGCCGTCGCAGGCTTGCCAGCAAAAGCACTGGTAATCAGACTGCCACTAGGACTTTGCTTTTTCTGGCCTGAGGGAACTGCAGTGGGGGAGGCTGACGAAGGGCCAAAGGTGAAAGACCGCGAGAAGGAAGACGCCAGGGCGGAACCAAATCCTGACCCGCTGCGTGGCTGGGACTGCTGATCGGGAGAAGCGGCTATCGAAACATAGTGGCTCACAGTCTTCCTTTCTGCATTTAGCGCACCTACGCGAGATGCTAACGGCGGAGTGGTGCCAGTTGAATATGGCGGCGTAGAGTCCGCACGCCAGATCTCGGAAGATGATCGCCCGGAGCTTTGGGTGATCGGTGTCGGGTGGCCTTCTTTCGGTGTGGATGCAAGGGGCGTCACTGCCTGCGACTTGTTCTGGGTAGCTGCCTGAGTAGGAAAGATATCCATAGGAAATGATTGCTGCCCCATCCCATTTGATACCGGTTCGTTATTCTGGGTTGCTTCCTTTGAGATCTCTTCGCTTTTTGGCTGTTGAAGGACGCAGGAGAGCATTGCAATCATCTGCACGTCACCAATCCTTTCGAAATGATCAATCAGAGACGGTATCAGCCAACGGCCACCATAGGGGTGATCTCCCCATTGAGTGGCGCTGTTTGCTGACTCCTTACGGCTTTGCTCCTGATTATTCTGATCGAAGCTCAAATCCACTGCACTATCCTTCCGCTGTATACCCGAGGGTCGTTCCATCATCTCTGAGCGCGTCGGAGACAGTGAATCATTTTGGTTTTGCAAAATCAACTTGACCAGTTCCCAGATCCGAGATAGTTCGTGATAGCCCAGATCCAGGGCTGCCGAAGCATTGTGAGCACATACATCAGTGACCTTGCCACAGATGCGATATCTTCGGGCCAATTTACGCTTTGCTGGTAACAGATCGCTGAAATCATGTATAGATATTATATTTTGCGCAGAATCGGACGACTTCGCAGTCATCGCCCCAGCCGTTGATCGCTGCGAGTGGTCGGTGGACCTGGGCCGATAGATACCCAAACTTCCAGCGCTGCGCCATGTCTGAGATGTTGGGAATCGTGCTTGCAAGCCTGACAACATGTCAGACGAACCAGACGAACTTGAAGTCTCAGCATCAGAATCATCGGAATATTCCGAGGTACCATCGTCCGTGCTCGCCAGTGTGCCACTGATTTTCGGTCCCGGGGAGCTTGTTTGGATACGACCAAATCCTTCAAAGACTTTATCCGCTCTTGATAGTCTCGACATCTCTTTGAGTCCCAAATTCTCAATCAAGTTTGATGACTTGTCCTTCTTATTAGGAAAGAAACACACTAGTCGGCCATCATTGGCCCAGAGCGCACCGCATGCCTTGGCCACGGGAACCATGACATTCGCATTGTTAACCGGACGAAGTAGCTCAGAACTCATGCCCAGTTCTTGACTCTGGGACATTCCCACTTCATCTTCATCGCTGGATTCGTCGTCTCCTAGATCGCCATTTATAGGAGACTTGATTGTCTCGGCTGTCTCGCCCAGTATGTGAGCTATGCTCTCTTCTAGGGTGCTTTCCCCTAAAAGGTAACGGACAACCCCTTCGAGACAGCCTCTCTTATGAGACAGATAGGTTTCCGCGATCGTTCTCAGCTCGCTTATCAGCTTATCAGCAAGCTGGTCAGTAACAGCGGCAGTCCGCTGCACACTGAAAGTCGGCATTGAAGTCTTGGGATAGTCAGCTGGGAATTTGATGTCCACTTTGAGAAACAGAGAATCCCCCTCTGCACCCCATGGCCCATGCAGCGATATTGTTGCTTTCCGTTGTCTAACGTCCACCGATTCAAAAGCAACCTTGGTGAACTTCTCCCCGACGTGTGTTATCTCGTCTCCCAGGGTTTCAATATCCCATCCCGAGATCTTCACACCACGCATCCACGATATAGGGTTTGTATCCGCCCGGAAGTTCGACCTTCTTTGCATGCCAACTCTAGAGTCTGCGTTGCCTCCTTGAGTCCACGGACGGGAGTAAGGAACAGATATTGTATTAATACCGGTACCACCAGCAAGCTTAGGGTTGGGTGATAGAACAGAATCGGGTTCGCCATATACGTCGTCGCCATTTCCGTCGCGGAAAGTCTTGTAGACAGCGCCTTGCCGTGTGACGTTCAACGTGGAAACGAAAGACTTCCCTCTCTCGTAGCCAACACGTTGGAGAATATCGGGATCCACTCGGTGTAGACGAAGTTCCCTATCAGTGCCCCACGACACAAGCTGAAACTCCCTGTAATCGATTCCATCCGCCACACCTCCACGTGCTCTCCAAAGGAATTCCTTCACTTGGCCTTTATGTCCCGGAAAACTGTGGACCAGTGGAAGGTTCTCTGTGAGATTAGTACCGTCGCCTGACCTGCGACTATATAGATGAAGGTCGCTGTTGCCCCTCTGTGGCATTGCCAAGACTCCCCATCCGAACGGGGTATTGCGTGCCCGCCATACTGGGAATGGAGTGGTTATGACCTTCTCGGGTACTTCGTCGTCTACCGTGTAGTCCCAAAATTTGATTGTTTTATCCAATGAACATGTTACCAAAGCCCCTGGCCTGACTCTGTTCCAGTCCACCCCATAGATCTTAGTATCATGAGCCTCAATGGATTTAATCGGGTAGGCTCCCATTCTCGTATCCCATATTCGAAGAAATTTGTCATGAGAACTGGCGATAACATTTGGGTCCTGTCTGTTCCATTTGACTTGCGTTGCACCAGCAAACCAGTCAGAGAATGAGATGGCGGGCTTGGAAGGGGTTCGCAGATCCCAGCAATGAACAAAACTGTCTACCGCACACGTTGCCAGAAGGTCGGGATGGTGAGCGGAGAAATTGATATCCGTGATAGCTCGCGTATGAGCGTGCAGGACATGTTCGATAGAATTCTCCCCAGTCTGCATTGCCAGATTCCATACCAAGGCCTTCTGGTTGGAAGTGCTCACCACCCAATAGTCCCGCGCAGCGAACGGGGACCACTGAACGTCTGCGACTTCCCATGGCGTGTGATGAGGAAGATACCGAGGAGGAGAATACGGGGAATCCAGGTCAATGACATGCAGGCCTTCCTTCGAAGCCAACACAACGTCTCTTCCACATGGAGATATGGACATGGATCCGACGGGCTGCTCCACATGAAACGAACTGTCTTCCCCGAAAGTGGGACTTTCGAAGGCCGAAGCCAAGGGCCTGGGCTCCATCATGTCGATTATTGCTGCAACCCCGGAGAGATTGGTCGTTCCAAAGCGCTTCCTAAACCGTACAGTCTCGCGTCCACCTCGGACGTGAGCTAGAAGTAGAAATTAAAAGATCGCACGAGGACAGGATGAGCGGTAGGGAGATCTGAGGTGCTCTCATCTCGGAAGAACTTGGCAATTGGCCATCAACTGATTATGGGAGATATGACTGTATGAGACCATTTATTGCGCGCATTATCTGAGGCCCACTTGCTCGAGAGTTGTTCGTAAACTGGTTGGTGTTCGCGACTTCCTCAGCTGCTGGGCTGTGGTCAATTCGCTGTGAGCATGTGTCTGCACTTTATAATAAGAGTATCTCACGTACCTTAAATTTCATGTGAGTGCAAGCGAGGGCCTGCAGCATGACAAGTATTTAGCCTGTAGCTCTGTGCAGAATAATGCAGAGTGCAGGGCCCAACTCCTTCCTTATCTCCGCAATTATTCAGGGTTGTGGAGATAACTAACTTAGCAGTGCCATATAATAATGACTAAGCAAGGAACTGCTCAGGTTGTCTTTATGGAGTACCGTGGCAGATCAACAGGGAGACGTCTAATAGAGAAGGCGGTCACGCCTCGGCAGGTAAATGCCCCTCTGACGGTTACGTCGGTTTCTAATTTCTTCTACTGGATGATACTCCGACGCAAGTACCTATCTGATTCCTTGGTGTTTTGGTCACTTCATCCCTGGCTCTTTGCACATTTCCTGGGTCTTAACCCAAATTTCTCTCTTTATCAGCCTTCTAGAGAAATAAAACTGAAGTCCAGTAGACCTGTCAACCTTACCTTGGATATCAGAAAGAGCGGAAACTCGGATCGCGATAAGCTTTTCCTTTTTGGTGGTTCATCATGGCCCTTCCAAAGCGAATTGTGAAGGAGACCGAACGCCTCATGGCAGAGCCGTGAGTTACAAGTTATCTCCGGAAAGAATAAGTTATCATCAACTGACGCTTTTTTCTCTCAAGGGTCCCCGGTATCAATGCTGTGCCTCATGAAGACAACCTTCGATACTTTGACGTGTCGATCCACGGACCTGCTCAGTCGCCGTACGAAGGTTTGACGCCGTTAGAGAACATTGTGGGCAAATAGCGGGTTTCTAATAGTATAACAGGTGGCATTTTTCGTCTAGAGCTCTTTCTGCCGGAGGATTATCCTATGACCCCGCCAAAGATCCGTTTCTTGACCAAGATCTACCATCCCAACATTGACCGCCTTGGGCGCATTTGCTTGGATGTTTTGAAGAGTACGTCGTTCTGTTTCTTTGGGAATAGCGCACAAGCTAATAATATATCAGACAACTGGTCCCCTGCTCTACAGATCCGCACGATTCTCCTCTCAATCCAGGCCTTGCTTGGAGCTCCTAACCCCGATGACCCGCTCGCCAATGATGTTGCACAGCGTTGGAAGGAGGATGAGCAAGCTGCGATACAAACTGCAAAGGAATGGACGAGAACTCATGCAATGACTTAGATTCTGGGACACCTCAGTCAATTTTGCTACGACGAATATGAGCGAGACTGCTGTTATGTGACCATGAAGAAATATCACGCAAGCCCAAGCCCTGGTGGCTCTCCTGTGGTTCCAACCATGCCGTATAACATACGCTATGCCTTTCACGCGGGACGAGTCTCCTTGGTGTACTCTCCGTTTCGTTGTTTCTACTTCCTCTCTTGCTGAAAAGCAGCGCGATTTTGTGGCTATGACTTGTGGAATTTCCGGCTTCAAGCTGCTGACTTACACTTTGGCATGTCTGTCATCTCACAACCCCATGCTGCCTAGACCTTCCTATATAGAACTATCGGCCCCCAAAATGATCACTTAGCGAGTATCGAGTTCTAGCTACTGCTTGTGGCTTCTCTTCCGACTATTTACCACTTTTTGTCTCTGTCCTGAGGGTCGGATACAACACGTACTTAAGCGAATTGTCGAGCGAGTCTCCAGTTAGCTGAGAAAGGCAGCGATGTCCTAATTATTCGCAATGATATGTAGCGGCATAACCTTAGAGCTGTCAGAAGTGAGATTACAGTACAAGGCAGGATAATCATCAAAGTCATGTATATGGCATAGGTGCACAAAGCCTGAGAAACCAACACCAGATGATGAAAAATAGTTTGATTGTCAGGGACTTTGAAAGCTGATCCAGATGAAGACCTTGTGAATAAAAGGCCCTGAGTTTCTGCCACTGCTGGCTACCCTGTAGGTACTATAGAACATTCACTTCCCTCTGTTGGCCGGATAGAAAACAACTTATATCCGAAATGCTGTTGTGAAATGGTATAGCCTCAGATTGCTTCACAAGCCTTTGTAGTCTACTGTGTTTGGAAGCTTCTTCATTAAGACCTTGATATTGTGAGCTTCTGAATACCAATCATAGAGATTGTGGGAAAAATTGGCAGCTTGATACTCAGACGTGTCTCTCTTAAAGGACTGTCTTTCGTCGATACTGACACTGCGCATTTGACCATGAGTCCGGACCCTCACGCTGCTGATCGCAAGGCTCAGAAGCAGCGTGAAAAAAAGCTGAACGCCGAGAGGCTAAAGTACCAAAAAAAACAAAGCGAATACTTCCCTCTCACTGACAGTTTCATCGTCCCCAAGAGTCGTGTTGCTCGTGCTTTGGATACTTGTGTCAGGTATTTGCAGACAAAAACCCGCGTCGTATCTTCTCCCGCTCATAGTTTCGTTGTTAGCCATCTCAAGAATTCAGGGGAACAGCTCAAACTCAGAAGGTCTCGCTCCTTCGAGACTGAGAGCAGAATCTCGTCTCGCTCCGTTACGTATCCCGCATTTGATCTACCTGCAGTGCCAAAAGCATCCCCAAAGGAAAGTTCTTTCAGAAGAAAGTTCAGCAGAACGATGACTGGTGAATCTGTCAAGAAAGTCAGCAGCATGGACAGAAAGAGTTGGCAAACCCAGTCCACCTCCGCAGCCAGTGGAGCAAAAACTCGCTGTGTCCGCTCTGTCCGCTCTGCCTCAGTTACGGCGACTGATAAAGATCTGGCTGGAGGAGATACCGCAACACCTCTTGAAGGAGACCTCGAGAAGATCAAGATTACTGAGGGCCTGAAAAGAGAGGGAAAGCCTGCTGCTATCTCTACTGCGCAGCCAAAGGTCGTCAAATGCCTCAGATCCCCTGGTGGTAAGAGCTATTGGATTTCTCGGTTTAGTCTTTCAATGAGCAGAATGCTGATTCAAGACATGAACAGACTATGTATTCCTTGATCTCGAAACCTCGGGAGAGAAGAGCAACGCAAACAGCGACTCCAGTCCCGGTATTTCCCCCAAGGCCAGGAGTACCGAAGTCGGATTTGGTGATGACGAATCTCGTGAGGACGAATCTGGTGAGCACAAGGTGTCTGAGGACTAGAGTGGATTTTGCTGACCAGTTAAGGCGAAGCTGCAAGCGACCAGGACCCGAGAAGCATTGTCGAGAAAAGAGTAAGAGCTGTGGCTATCCTGTCAACTTGTTCGTGATGGTTCGAGATAGCTAACACAGTGACAGCTCGAAGCAATCCGCCACATCGTGAAGAACATATTCCAGGGACAGTCGGACGAGGATACCAAGTCTGGAAAGGCTCCGCAGAATGCCGAAAAATGGGACACAAAGAACACGAAATGCATCAAGTGCTTCGGAGACTGCCCAGTCTGCGACAAAGCATGCTGCGTCTTCGACGTTGCTCGCCGCACCGCTGCCAAGGCAGACTCCACCTCTGAACATGCTGAAGCCGCAAACCAGATCCTTAAGCTCATACAGAGACTGGGCAACAGCGTCTTGGAGGCGAGCACTTACTCTCTGTGCACCACGCCCGGAGGCTGCGGACGGTATGTCTGCGCCGACTGCTGGGGTATCTGTCCGGTCGAGCTATGCCGCGATGTCCAGTGCAAGGTTAGCAGTGACATATTCCTTTTCTCGCCCTGTCAATTGCACAATGAATGAATGCTAACAGCCCCTTCTCTGCGTAGGACTGCAAGGAAGATCCCTGGGCTGCGTGCGACTGGCATGATTACTGATGCTGTCATGGAGACTACTCGATGCAAAGTCACTCTGATAATGCAGATTCTTCAATTGCAAGGGAAAGTTGGTCTCTAGCTATCATGCCACTCGAGCATCGATTGAGATGAGCTCCTTTTTGAGACATCATTGGTATGAGAGCATCATAATTGGGGACGATGGGGAAAACCAAAAAAAAAAGTGGAAAAAAGAAAAAGGACAAAAAAGGGATTATGAACTACATTACGATGCACAGATAAAGAGCCAACATATAACAATTCCCCTGCAGTGATTCCCTTCTTTGATGTTATCGTAGTCGCCGTAGAGGTATGGGAGACTTGAAGTTGTAAGGCGGCCGCCCAAGGGCAGACGAGGTCACGTGTCGCACTTTAGCGAGGCTCCGCACCGCACCACAATTGTGTCAGTCTCACGAACAGCTCGCCGCAGCGACCGATTCGACTTTACCACCCAACGCCAACCGACAAAACCTCGTCTCGACCGGCTGCGCATCTCCAACGTTCAAGATGCGTACCTACGACGATTCTTTCAGCGGTCAGAAGATCTACCCTGGAAAGGTGCGTTTTGTCCCTTCCGGAGTCCTCAAATAATCCAGCAATTTCCGCCCCGATTCTCTACGAGCGCAACGCCGATTCATGAAAAAGTCCCTCAAAACTTCTTCTCTGGATATGGGTTAACATAGTGTTGGATTTGCAAATTATAGGGTAAGCTGTACGTCCGTGGCGACAGCAAGATCTTCCGCTTCCAGAATGGAAAGTCCGAGTCCCTGTTCCTCCAGCGCAAGAACCCTCGCCGGATAGCCTGGACTGTCCTCTACCGCCGTCAGCACAAGAAGGGTATCTCTGAAGTCAGTACTATCGATTTCCTTTGAATGATTTGTCGTGGAAGATCTCGTGATTGGTTCGAAGCAGGAGAGTGGGCAATGGAGCTTTTATACGTTGGAAAGGCATGGAAGTGCCGTTGAATGAGTGGGCAAATGGGGCTTGGAACAATCACGAGTGACGCGATATAAGATGTGGAAGAGCAATTGCTGACAGGGTGTTTTTTCACCATGAACAGGAAGTTGCCAAGAAGCGCACCCGCCGTGTCGTCAAGCACCAGCGTGCCATCGTCGGTGCCTCCCTTGATGTGATCAAGGAGCGCCGCAGCATGCGCCCTGAGGCTCGTGCCGCCGCCCGCCAGCAGGCTATCAAGGAGGCCAAGGAGAAGAAGGCCGCTTCCGAGAGCCGCAAGAAGGCTGAGAAGGCCAAGAACGCCGCCACCGCCGCCAAGGGCACTGCTCAGCGCATCCAGAGCAAGCAGGGTGCTAAGGGTTCTGCTCCCAAGGTCGCCGCCAAGTCTCGTTAAACGGATTGAAGGCGGTTCGGCTTGGGCTGGGGAGTAGATAGGAGGATCCTTGTGGCTGGACTTTGGGAGGTTTCCGGAGCTGGAATTTTGTTTCCCTCGCAAAATCCTAACAACAACAAATCGGCGTGCGAGCGATGGGCTCTTGCGGATGAGACAACCCGCATGGTGTTCAGATAGGCTTTGTCATTATCGCGCCATGGTAACTACCAGGAATGGAAAAATGGATGTTATAATGAAGCCCTTGTTCTTTTTTTCTGACAGACCTCCTCTCCTGCTTGTAAACTCCGGAGCCCGTTGCTTCTGCATACACTCAAAGCATCCTTCGATTTACTACAAATTCAGAACACTTTGCTCTGCGTCAGACTATTTCTAAATGGCCCTATCAGCGATACGTGGTAGAGAGGGTACCTAGATGTACTAGGTATTTCACAGCCACAGGTGAGAGCGACGATATTCGGAGGTTTTAAATCGTACTTGACTCTGTACTCTTCAGATCTCTCTAGGATTAACACCCTGATCGGCTGAAGGAGAGAGCACTTCAGTTGCATCATAGGTCTGAGTGCCTGCCATTGTGATATCAGACTCTCAGTGCAGCTAGCTTATCTTGATGTAGCGGCATAATGTAATTACAATACAGTATTCTAAATGGCCTGCTAGCTGATTATGGAGTAGGGCTCAAACCTAACCTATTCCTTTTTAGGCAATCATATTGGCTGAAGACTCCCACCCGCATCTGCGTACAGCATCAGCAAGCATAGAATGGATGAAATTGACATAGACATAGCAGATCATGAATATCAAATAGTGTATCGTTATAAACTACAAAAACAGAGCTAGCTGGGTGTCAACTCGCAATCCATATAGCGATCTGTAGGAAGCCCTTGCTGCCTGAGGCAGAAACGATGGGGTGACTAATCATGAGTCGCCATCTCGCTTACGGAACAGCCTAGCGCGCTTTGCCCACAAGAGTCGATCGAATCCCACCCGCTCCAGAGAAGCCCGAAAGAGTTCAACCTCAGTCAACTTACCATCTCGATCCGACAAGCTACACATCACCAGCAGCCATGGGTAAGGTTCACGGATCTCTCGCCCGTGCGGGTAAGGTCAAGTCTGCGACTCCTAAGGTGAGTTCTTCTTGTTCTTCCTTAAATGAAGTTTTGATCTCCGCATTTCTGCTGGGAAGGGTTCATCGTCGCCACCGAAGAGGAGGGATTTTGGGGGAAGATTTTTGCAGCGATCCGACATGCAGAAACGGCAGAGGAGATATATGCGAAGACGATACGATGAACCGATGGTTTTCCAGGGAGATATTGGCTGAATCGGAGTGCTGATGGGTTATGTTCTACTGTACAGGTCGAGAAGCAAGAGAAGAAGAAGCAGCCCAAGGGCCGTGCTCTGAAGCGCCTCAAGTACACCCGCCGTTTCGTCAACGTTACCATGACCGGTGGCAAGCGGAAGGTACGTTGAAATCCAGCTCGATACAAAGGATGCACATATGCTCTTGGCGGGGAGTTCGGGGTTTGTTCTTTAGAGGAACCCGTTCTCCGTCTAGCCAGTAGCTTTTGCAGGAGGTCCTTGGCGTAGAAAAGGCATCACAGACTGACAGGGATTTCGTTACAGATGAACCCCAACCCCACTTCTTAAGTTGACCGCGTCTTTTCCGGCGGAGGAAATTAGGTGATGAGAAAGGGGGATCCGACGACGATCATCGAACATAAATCACCATCATCATCTAGTCGGCGGTTATACTGGACAAGTGACATTCTGGCCTACCATCAGTATGGTGCTTCTACGGGAACAACCAACGGACGACAAATCTGACTCTAGTGGAAGGAAACTGGGTTCATGAATAGATTATGGGCTTGCAACGATCATCATATGGGGTTAAAGCATTGTTTGGGAAATCAAAAAAACTTCTTCATTCTTGCAAACATGTTTATCTTGTCAAGCATCAACCCCATCAAATGCTCAAACAACGGATGATGGTGCACAGCTTCTGGCTGCAGTGGCTTTCTGCGCCTTGTGTTTCGCGGCGGGATTGGTATATCTGCATTCCGTCATTGATACGTCGCGGTCTTTCTCGATCAATCTACCTCTTTTCACTGCGTCGGATTCGCTCCTTTTCCGCTTTCATGATTATGCTTGTTGTATTACTTCTACGGTCGTAAATTGATGCCCTACGTTTTTTCGAAGTCGCCCTGAGTCTAGTTGTAGTGCCAGACTTGTTGCATCTAACCAATTATTAATAGGTGTGCTTCTCACAACGAGGCTGTATTATACTAGTAGTTCGTCTAGCATATTGAATGAAGCTCTATCCGGGTGTTCAACTCTAACAAATGATGTACCTGAATGACAGAAAAACGTAGGGCCCAGGACCAAGTGCCTCTCAACGGTTCGTCACGGTGATACCATGACTTCGTGATCAGCATCCCAAGCATTCGCTTCTAGCTCGGACGGCTCAGAGCATCCGTATTCGGTCTCATCGGTGCACAGCACAATCAATCCGTTCGAGAGCGACGCTCATCGTTGACGCTGAAACAACGACGACCAAGCATGCCACCGTGAGATCCTTGATGTCAGTTCCACCCTCAGATAAAACAGATCAACGCCGAAATACCCCAAAGCCCACGGATCTAGCCCACGGATCTAATAACACTGTCCAGCTCAATCTCGAAACTCAACTCCACTCAGTAATAGTGCGCCATCTCCAACCCAGCACGCTTAAACCCACACTTGATATAGAACCCCTCATTCGCCTCCGAGCAATCGAGAATCGTCTGTCCGTCCAGAGTCAGCCCCATCCCGACGGGAACACAGCACCCAAGAAGAAGATAAACATACCTTATAACACCCCACCTTCTCAGCAACATAATCCAATGCCTGAATAATCCTCAACCCCAACTTCTTCCCCTGCTGCCCCTTCTCAACCGCAATATCCTCAATATGCCCCACCATACCCAACGAATGGATGAACTTCCGCTCAACGATCAGACTCCCCGTGCCGACGATGCGGTCCTCCCCATCGCACACAACGAGCAGGTAGTACTCGTCGCTCCGGGCGCGGATCCACTCGTACCGACTGTTCCACTGCTCCTCGGTGACGTCCCCGACGGTCGTCAGCACGCGGAGAACGTCGAGGTAGCCTCTCTTGTAGTCGGAGCGACACAGCGGGCGGATGGTGTAGTCTGCTGGAAGGACGGCAAGGACATCGGGGGAGATGAGCGAGGGGGAGAAGAGGGGGGTGTTCTCGTCTATGGTGGGGTGTCGACGGACTTGGTGACCGGGGCGGTGGTCGTCGTCGGAGTAATGGTTGTGTTGGTCATTTTAGTTTTGATTCTGTCGGAGATGGTGCAATTAAGTATAGATGAGAGGAGGAGAAGGTCAGGAGGTAGTCTGGTGGTGAATAATTTGTTGTACTTTGTCCACCTTCGGGCGGGGTGTTGATTAGAGAACTATGAGGGGTGTATTTGGACTCGGGAGTAAGGTACCAAGGAGTTAACGAGTGACCGAGACAAGGGATGTGTATTGAACTTTTCAGAGACGGCAATTGCGACGATAGCCCAGGAATTGAAACGAATGAGAGTAATGTTGTAGCCAGGTGTCGTCAGTTCCTCAGCGCGGAAGAGCATAAATAAAGGGCGGTCCGTGGTTGAGGCTTGGAGCATCTGAGACAACTCTGCTACTATAAATACTCCCGACGGCGAAGTTTGTTCAGCTCTAGACTACACGTCTGACGGGTTGTACATTCTTTTTTCCCCTTCTTTTAAGAGTAGACAAGAGCACTGAATTTTTCTGGGCCATTTTGTTGATACCGGCTTTTCAAGAAAAACCAGAGTCCTGCTTGTCCTATAAATTGTCACCCGAAGCGCGCCCCAAGGCCTGCCAGAAATACTCATTCTAGCAGTAAAGAGAGTCCGAGTTGTGAGAAAATTTACGAAAGAGGGGGAATCAATCGGTCTAAATAGTACAATAGATTTTCAGTAATACAGATATAGTGAACCGCTACCTTACAGCGCTCTAAGATAACCAAGACCTTAAATCATAGCTCCGGCCACCCAAACAGCTTTTCATACCTCTATTTCTTCTCCTTGGGGCTCAGCATCAGCTCGGGGCGAACATGCTTATCAAAGTCCTCCTCGCTCAGAGCCTTGAGCTCCATGGCACTCTCCTTAAGGGTGATGCCCTTCTTGTGAGCGTTCTTGGCGACCTTAGAGGCCATGTCGTAACCGATGACGGGGTTCAGGCAGGTAACAAGCATCAAACTAGGACAGGTTAGCGCTTCAGATATAATGATTGCAAAGGATTGTAGACATACCTCTCGTGGAGGAGAGTGTTGATTCTGGGCTCGTTAGCCTCGAGGCCTTCGACAAGGTGCTTCTCGAAGCTCTTCATGCCATCGGAGAGAATGCGCACGCTGTGCAGCAGGTTGCGGATCATCAGAGGCTTGAAGACGTTCAGTTCGAACTGGCCGTTCATGCCACCAACGGTAGCCGCAACGTGGTTGCCCATGACCTGGGAGCAGACCATGGTAAGGGACTCGCACTGCGTGGGGTTGACCTTGCCAGGCATGATCGAGGAACCGGGCTCGTTTTCGGGCAGAATCAGCTCTCCGAGACCGCAGCGAGGTCCAGATCCGAGGTAACGGATGTCCTGGGCGATTTTGAAGAGAGAGCAAGCCAAGGTGTTGAGGGAGCCGGAGGCCTCAACAATGGAGTCGTGGGCGGCAAGAACCTCGAACTTGTTGGGGGCGGTCTTGAACTCCGTGCCGGTCAGCTTGGTGACCTCCTCAGCAATACCCTCAGCGAAACCCTTGAAGGTGTTCAGACCAGTTCCGACGGCGGTACCACCCTGGGCAAGGTAGCGGAGGTGGGGGAGGGAAGCCTCAACGCGCTCGATGTTGCGGTCCAGCTGAGCGACGTAGCCAGAGAACTCCTGGCCGAGAGTCAGGGGGGTGGCGTCCTGCAGATGAGTACGACCGATCTTGATGATCTTGTCGAACTTTTCGACCTTCTTCTGGAGAGCGTTGCGAAGACTGCGCAGGGAAGGCAGCAGAGTGCTCTCGAGCTCGAGGACGGCAGCGATATGCATGGCAGTGGGGAAAGAGTCGTTGGAAGAGGCGGACATGTTAACGTGGTCGTTGGGGTGGACGGGCTTCTTGGTGCCCATGGTACCGCCAAGGATCTCAATGGCACGGTTTGAGATGACCTCGTTGGCGTTCATGTTGGACTGGGTGCCGGAACCGGTTTGCCAGACAACCAGAGGGAAATGGTCCATCAACTTGCCCTCGGCCACCTCACCGGCAGCCTGCTTGATGGCCTCACCGATCTTGGGGTCTAGAACATGCATGAGCATTTTCCTCCACGAAATGTCTTTCGCCGAAAAGAAGAAAGCTTACCAAGACCATAGCGCATGTTGACCTCAGCAGCAGCAGCCTTCAGGATACCGAAGGCCTTGACCACAGGCGCCGGCATGCGGTCCTGGGGCTGGTTGATGTCGAAGTTGGTCAGGGAGCTATCCTCATCTCGATCAGCAATTTGTGGTAACCCTTCGCCAGACACTGGCCGGTGTTTGGGATGTCGTTTTTCTTGGTCGCTTACCGCTGGGTCTGGGCTCCCCAGTACTTGTCCGCAGGGACCTAGAAGACAGCCGCGTTAGAACCTGTAACAGAGGAAAGGATCTGTCTGTCACCCACCTGAATTTCACCGAAGGCATCGGATTCGGTTCGTGTAGCAGAAGCCTAGAGGAAGATGATCAGCACCATGATTCACAAATATTCTACTGGCCGCGATCGCAAAGTCCTGCGGACAACATGAATAACGCGAATCTGTCAAGCCAGCTTTTCTTCCATCAGGAAAAGACCGCACACTCACCATCCTGACAGTTGTGCCAAAAGCTCTCTTGTTGGAGATGGATTGAATGGACTGAAGGCGGGGGAATTGAAGGAGAGAACGGGTATTGGAGCTCAGCGCCCGACGGCTACTGAACGAAGCGGGGGAGCGGGCAGCGAAAGCCAGAGCATTGCGGGCAGCTGCGGGGGCGTTCTTCGAGGTGGTACGAGTCGCTGCATGTGTCAATGAGGCCATCGAGCGCACCGCGGCTCGGGACGAATTGGTGGATGAAGTCAGCATATTGGCTGCTGCCGAAGCTGTTGATTTTCTTCAATTGGGATGCCGTGAGGCTAACAGGAGTAAAAATGGGAAGCAAAGAGCGCGAGCGGAAGAAGAAGACGAGTAGAATGAGACAATTAAAACAGAGCTTCTGCCGGTTTCCGTCCGGCCGCTTTTTTTTTGCCCTTTTGTTTCTTCAAGAGAGCTATCTGAACAATTTCCGAGCTTCCCTGCCGAAAACACCCGGTCCGGTATTCCAGAAACACAATACAACTGGGCAATCTTCCCAAAATTCGATAGATTCGGGGGTCTTAGTGGTAATGCATGGTAAATATCATCGTCGGATAAACAATGATCCTTCTTCTTCAATTGTCTGGGGAAGTGAACAACACTGGCGTCATAATAAACACTAGTATCATAGCACATCTTATTCTCTTGAAGATAAAGTGTCCTTAGACTACACCAAAAGCTCCCTCCGCAGCGTGGCTATCACCTTCTCGTTATACACCCTCCCCGACTCCAAAATTCCATCTAATAGTGGAAAGATGTGAGGTGCTCCGGCAGCACGGGTCAGTTCCACACGGACTCCGGCATCCTTCAATTTGGCAGCATAAACCTCGCCTTCATCCCGAAGAGGGTCCATCTCCGCTGTATACACCAAAGCAGGTGCTAAATCTTCAAAATTAGGAGCCAGCATAGGAGAGATCTTCCAGTCCTAACTCCTTGGTCAGCATCCCCAAACAAACATCGTATCCGGGCGGATACCTACCTCCTCGGATCTGGGAGGTCGAGGGTTCCCAAGAAAATGCCTATGGAAGTATGCCATTCGTGCTGCTGGGAGCGCCGGCGTAAATCTCATTTCCCGGTATGACTTGTATGGGCAGTTCTCACTGTCAAACTGTCCGTCTGGCGTGAAGACACTGTGCAAGTCACAGGCTGGCACAGTCAATAATTGCAAGCGCAACGGGATGTTGGCATCACGGCAGAGATGGGCAAGAACGGCCGACAGGTGCCCTCCCGCAGAGACGCCACCGACTGCCATCCGATCCGGATCGATGTTGAGTTCGTCTGCTTTCTTCAATCTAATCTGAACCGACTGTCAGGCCTCTGGTCTCAAACTTTACTATTGTGCAGTGAAGGAATTGATCTAACCCAGTTGAATGCTGTCCAGCAATCATCGACAGCAATAGGGTACTTGTGCTCAGGTGCCAGTCGGTAATCGACGTCAAAAGCCACCAAGTGTCCATCGAGGCCATGTACGAGTCGTTTGCAGAAATCATGATCGACGGAGAGGTCACCAAACACCCAGCCGCCTCCATGGAAGTTGACATATGCTGCTCTTTTCTTTAGATTGCCCTGGTCATCGGACGCTGAAGCAGGTTCAAAAATCCGGACAGTGATCTCTCCGCCCTTCACGGGGCATTTCTGCTCAGTGATGCGGAACACATCTGGTCCGGCTGCGCGGCCATAGATGATGGTGTACTTGGCGGGATTTCTACGGAAGTCTTCGATGGGTACCTCATGAGTGTGTAGCCGTCCAGCATTATATTTATTGTAGTATTCCACGTAGACCGGGTCGAAACGAGGGAGTAGTTCGGGAGGGATAGCATTGTGAAGAGGTTGATGAATGGTCTTCGGTCGAAGAGCATGCAGCTCCTTGTCTCCGGCTGATGACGAGTGTGTCATTGTAGGAGAGCGATGTTGATATTTGTACCTTTTGTTCTATTGTGGTGATAGTATTTAGGTGTGCTATGGAGCAAACCAGGACATAAGGTAGAGGAGTGAAAAACCAGAGAAGGGGAGGCTTCTCCAAACCCCCTCACAACCCCTCTTTTATACAGTCAGCTTATCATTTCATCTAGTTCTCTCGGGGCTCTGTGTCTATCTATCTATCCATGGCTTGATGGCAATCTCCATATATCAACTCTCAGCATGGTAACCACTAAGATTCCCTGTCTGCCTCACGGGGATATATATGGTGAATCGCTCCCGGTCAGCTGAAAGTTGCTGTGTCTTACCACTGGCCTTCATTCTATTCCAAGCTCTTCATCTATCAATCATTCAGTTACTAGACTAGAACTGAAGCTGAAGGTCTGAAGCTGTTTCATCATGGTCTCCATTTGTCACAGATTCAGTGAGTCCTTACTAACGATGCACTCAAGCCACCCACACGACCTGGGGCCATTTACCAACTGCGTCTGATCTTCAATCGCATCCTCGCAAAGAATCCCGAGATAGCCTTGTCTATATCTGCAGGTGCTAGAATGGTACTAGTTATGTGATGGCAAAGCATGTCATCAAGAAAGGACCCACTTTTGAGTACTAAATCCTATTGCCGTCGGCTAAGTTTACGCAGAGGCGGAACATGAGGAGGGAAAAACGCGGTGAAAAGCCGCGGAAACCGAAGACTGCGATATCGGGGTCCTGGAACATTTATGCGAAGAGATTCACTAACGGACGATTTATGCTCAATTGCGCATTCTTGTCACTCTTTTACTTCAGTCTGCATCGTCTCGCGCATCTGGCCCCTTCTTACCGTCTTGCATATACCGATTGTCGCAAAGACACGATAAATTACCTCAAATTCCTTCTAGCGCAAATCCCAATAATTAATTTTCCGCCACAATGTCTGTTCTCAGTACTCTGGCACCCGTCCCACCGGATGAGATCTTCGCCTTGAATCGCGCATATGCCACGGATCCTTTCCCGCAAAAGGTCAGCCTGGGAGTCGGCGTCTACCGTACGGACGATGGCAAGCCATGGCCTCTTCCATGCGTGCGCGAAGCCGAGAAGCAATTGCACGCCGAAGACAGCCTTACCAGACACGAGTACACCGCCATCGAAGGCGACATTCCCTTCCTCGAGCTGGCTCGAGACGTAATGTTCGGGTTTGACTGCAAGAACGCAGCGGAGAAGCACAAGAGTCGCATTGGTTCCGTCCAGACTGTCGCAGGCACTGGCGCAAACCACCTCGGAGCCCTGTTCCTGGCAAGGCACATGAAGCCCAAGAACGTCTGGCTCTCCAACCCGTCCTGGGCCAACCACATGACCATCTGGGAACTCGCAGGCGTCCCCCGCAAGACCTACCCTTACTACAACCCCGCGACCCGCTCCTTCGACTTCGACGGCATGATGGCGACCCTGGAAGTCGAGGCGCAACAAGGCGATGTCATCCTCCTCCACGCATGCGCACATAACCCCACCGGCCTTGATCCCAACAAGGAGCAATGGAAGGCCATCGCCGACCTCTGCGAGCGCAAGAAGATCTTCCCCTTCTTCGACTCTGCCTACCAGGGTTTCGCGTCGGGGTCCCTCGAGGAGGACGCCTGGGCGGTGCGCTACTTCCTCAACGAAAAGCCCAGCATGGAGATGTGCGTTGCGCAGAGCTTCTCCAAGAACTTCGGGCTCTACGGACAGCGGGTAGGCGCCTTCCACTACGTCTTGCCCCAGGGCAGCGACAGTCTTCGCGACACCGTCGTTGTTAATCTGTGCCATTTGATCCGAGGCGAATACTCCATGGGCCCTACAGCGGGTTGCAACATCGTCAAGAAGGTCCTGACGAACGAGGAGCTCACCGCACAGTGGCACGAGGATCTCAAAGTAATGAGCTCGCGGATCCGCTCAATGAGAAAGGCTCTCTATGACGAGCTTCTGCGGCTGCAGACCCCGGGTTCCTGGAGACACATTATCGAACAGGTATTACCTTCCCCCTTCAACAGACACACAACCAGTCGCTTAGAGACAAGGCTAACCACTCATCTAGAATGGAATGTTCTCCTACACCGGCCTTACCCCCGCGCAGGTTCATTCCCTCAAGGACAAGTACCACATCTACCTGCTCAAGTCCGGCAGAGCTTCCATCAGCGGCCGTAAGACAATTCCAATTCCTTCTGTACATCACCAGTCCGAATTCAACTAACCTCTTTGCTACTCAGTGAGTAAAAAGAACGTCGCCTACGTCGCCCAGGCTATCGACGACGTCGTGCGGAACGTCTAGTCTTGCATTCCCGCATCTGCAGAAAACCACTACACCATACCGTTCGATCGCATTAATTGGGCGTGATACGAGATTAAAACATAGACGGAGCGATGTTTCGAGGTCCCGGTGACTAGGAGTACATCACATCTTGCATTTCGTGGCATTTGCCGTTTTTACATACACTTAGAATCATGGAGCATGTATGATACGATACGAATAGAGTCAACGAGCTTTACGAGTACTGCTTAAGCGAACCTTGGGTTTCCTTATAGCCAGATGTAGGGTGAGTCATACGGCATTAAGATTGGCTATATACTGTACAACGAAGTAAAAATGCATCAGATAATGGCAGAGCGTACATTCGGAAGTGAAAGTGGAATGCAGAATCAAGTGCCGTCGACTTTGCGCTGTTCGCCACAATGGTGTAGTAATGCACGGGACAACTAAGCAGACGCAGGCACTGTTCAGCACGAAGCATCAGGGATGCAGAACGCGGTCATCACAGAGAAATCTCGCTAAAGTCCCCCTCGCCTTCCTTCCCCTTACCCTTGACGTCACTGTCGTTTGTCGTTGGTTCTTCCTGTTCCTGCTCTTCTTCAACCTGTTCGTGTGCGGTTTCATCTTCATCCTCTTCGTCGCGTTTCTCGTCACTTTCACTCTGTTCCTCCTTGTCTCCGGGAGAGGCAACCTCCTCCGGGCTTGTCGACTCGGGCTTGCCGTTCACTGTGGGTGCAGCCTCTGCAGCATCATCCTTCGGGGAGGGGGCGGCGGCATGTCCTCTTCATCCGACGAGACCTCTCTCTCATCCGCTCGAGGCTGGCCACTCATATGCGCGCCGGGGAAGGGAGTCACGGGCGGCTCCCCGACGCTCAATTCCCTCTGATGCGCAGGTTGAGGCTGGAGGCTCAGTCTACTCTGGGACTGGGACTGGGGCTGAGATTGAGACTGAGACTGAGATGGCGCATTGGTTGCCATTGACACGGAGGATCTGGTATGTTGATGTGTTGAGGCGTGAATGGGGCCAAGCTGTCTGGCCTTGGGGTCTGCGTTCAGGTAGTAGCCCCGGACTCCAACGATGGTGCCTTCCGCTTCACAGGCATCCACCCACTCCGGAACCACAACGGGAATGTTCATCTCCACCGCTTTCTCCCACAGCGGGCCTCTGCCTTCTGTGCATACAAAGTGAGTGGTATCAATGCGCACTGTGTCGATCATCTTGCCACCGATACGTTCCAATGCCGCGGCGAGCGCCTCCTTCTGCTGTTCGGGGAGGATGCCAGGGGTAACCGTGATACCGGACAGGTCGGTCATCTTGTGTGTCCGACATGTCAGTTTCTCCGATTGGTATGTGCCGGCTGTTGTGCGCAGGACGAGGTGGAAGGAATATTCCGTGTCGATCGCGAGGCCGCTAATCTTGGTGCTCCGCGTCTCGAGTGGCCTGGGTATCGAGCCAGCTTTCGAGCCATTACGGTAGAGAGAAAGCGACTTGAGGGACGCGGTGGCCAGGTCGATTGGATCCCACTCTAGGACTAGGGAGGTTTGTGTTGCGTTACGGAGCCGGAGGACGGGCGGGGCGGGGGTCTTCACGCCGTAGGTGTTGAGAATCCGCTTCTGTAGCGCCTGGAAGGCAGAAGTGCTCGCAGCTTCGGCGGCGTGGTTGCGCGATACTGTAATATCGACAATGCTGCCGGATGTGATGTTGTTCGGGAGAAGGACGGAGGGGAATTCGATCTGTAGATTGCCCGGATTAGCGACTGTGAATCTTCCAACAGCCCCTTACTAGTGCGGCAATAATCTTGCGACTCAAGGGCAGGATTTCGAGATGTGGAAGAGGCGCAAGTTCTAGTCGGGTGACAATCATTATGCTGGGAGACTGGGGGAGCTTACGAGTCGGTTGTCCTGCGTCAAGAGCACAGCGACTCCTGCGTCTACCTTGCCTACTGTCAAGGAGACCAACATTTTGAGAAATAGGACAGCAAACCAGGAGCAATCAGGGATGGCGCAATTGATTCTCGTGCAGTAGCAGATAGATTCAGCGGTAGAAGGGGAACAGAGGTGGATGCCTGTCCGTTGTTGACTTGATTATTGAGATGATCGAGCCCCATTAATTTACTTGTCAACATGCCAAGAAGGCACGGCCTGCGCGGCCCAGAACTGGGGTCGGGAATGCTATTTTTAAAGGACTTAACAAGCTTGATTATTACGACTTTAATGTTGAAGGTCTTTATTGTCTCGCATGGTTCGCATCTCCCTCATTTTACGTCTTTCTTAAAATATCGGGTGCTGCCAAAGCCCCAGTAATGCCAGTGCATACCTACGGTCTCATACACCGTGAGCGAGAGCGCATACTCGCTTCACGTCCCAGAGCGACTTGCCATTGTTCCATTATGCTTAACTAGTGTTTGTGGGCATCCTTTTATGATCTTGCCCCGCTTGCGAGAAGTATTTGTCTCCTTCTCGCCGTCTCTCAAATGCCTCAGCAACGTTCTTAGGAGATAATCCACCTCCTTCCGAACAGTGTCGTATCCCATCTTCACACTCTGCGGTAGGACAGCGATCTCGAGGCTACCCTGGAGACCTTCCTTTGGTGATCTCATGGCAGCGGATCCCGAGGTCTCTGACACCAACCTTCTACCGTCGGTGTCGAACCCTTGTGCTGCCAGGGCCTGTCGGAACGCCAACCGGACTCGCCTCGTAGCCCATGAACGAACCACTCGCTTGAACGACTGCAGCGGTTGTGGATTCACCCTCCACCACAGTGTTCTAGGATCCCGGTCCGCGTACAGATGTTGGATCTTGGGCCGGATGGGATGTGTCTCAGAGAGGATATATCGACTGGCAACTGGTGGTAGGACTGTCTTAGGGTTATAGCGCATGTAGAACTGACTTGTGCCTTTGACAAGCTTCCTTTGTACAGGCTGTCCAATCATGATGAGAAGGTATAGGTCCGGTTCTGGGCTTTGCCTCGATCATCGGGGCACAGGCTGTTGGCACATCAATATAGCGTTGAGGCTAAGTCACATAAGACAGCAAATCCAATGATGAGAGGTGACTTGTATGAGTAAAACGCACTATCTTAGCCGTCAACGAGTCCAACTTCTCATGGAAACAATTCGAATCAGCATCAATACGGGTTCCTTGCAGATATTGTTGTCCTTCCATTGATTCCGTGGCTCTTTTTCTGCCACAAAAAGGTCCAAGTGCCCATGCAAAAGGCGGTGTACACAAATGATCTCGATCGGCAAGTACCTGTGTGGCGAGCCTTAGGCAAAATTCAGGCCGCCACGCCACCCGGTGACTGCCCACCATATATTGAACTGCGTCGAATTTGATCCCAGCGGTTCTCTCCACCCAACTCGACACTCCCCCACTTTCACCTCGCTCGATCCCTAGGAACTCCTATTTCTACCAACTTACTTGTCATCGTATCAAGAGGAGAAGCCAGCGCGGATAGCGAGTCCTCACCATGCCCAAGAACAAGGGAAAGGCAAGTTGTCGCTATTACTCTGTTTCCCCCCGAAAGAGTACCCCGCTCGCGAAATTTTTTCACTGTCATTTTGCCGTATCAGCCCGTTTGGCTGCGCTGCGCAAAACGCGGTCACCGCGGTTCATGAAATGACAGAAAAGACTTGGATTTTGATATTGCCACGAATTTCTTGATATTTTCCGATCAGGTGCTAACTTTCGTCTACAGGGTGGTAAGAACAGACGTCGTGGAAAGAACGAGAACGACAACGAGAAGCGTGAGCTCGTCTTCAAGGAAGAAGGCCAGGAGTATGCGCAGGTCGTGAAGATGCTCGGCAACGGCCGACTGGAGGCCATGTGCTTCGACGGTGAAAAGCGACTGGCACACATCCGAGGCAAGCTGAGGAAGAAGGTCTGGATCAACCAGGGTGACATCATCCTTCTCTCGCTGCGTGACTACCAGGACGAAAAGGGCGACGTTATCATGAAGTACACCGCCGACGAGGCCAGAAGTCTCAAGGCCTACGGCGAGTTGCCCGAGCACGCCAAGATCAACGAAACCGATACCTATGGCCACGAAGGCTTTGAGGACAACGTCGAGTTCGACGAGGACCGCGAGTCTGAAGACGAGAAGGAGATCGATGTCGACGAGCTCTAAATACCCTTCATCCCTGTGCAGTCAACCCTGCGAGAGCCCACCGGGGCCCCTTTGCCGCCAACTCTGTTCTCCCGACCCCGGGAGGTTCTGTCGATTCTTCTTTCCCTTGCGACCAGCGGTTGCTGCCGCGCACGGGAGGAAGTTCGACGCCTGGGCTCTTTCTATTCTTGTGTCGCCTGTTTCCCGAAAAGGTGACGCCGAGGAGGATCAGAGTTGGCGGTGCCTCCCCGCTTCGCGTTCGAAACCGCTTCAAGCGCCACCCGGTGCCGTTCCCATCTGTCAAGGTTGATAGGGGAATTTCTGAGATCGTGCATGCTACTGAGCTGAGTCGGCTGTGCCGTAACTCAGTCTCCGTCGTGGATCGTGATTTCGGGTAATTCTGCAGAGAAATAGTTGCCGATGCATGTAATGAAACTGGCTGCAAGCTGCATGTTTCGTGTTAGCAATTCGTTTGTCTGTCATTTCGTTCCTTTTTTCCTTTTGAAAATTGACGATAGACTCATGAGAGGTTTATGATAAATAAAATATTTCAAAAGACTTCTTTCTGATTGTACATGTAGCTGGTAATCGCCCTCATTATTTGTATAAACTGTGCCCATAATGCGACTGAGTATAGACAACTTCAACTATTGTCGAATAAATCTTTACGGAAGAAGCCAACGATCTTCCGCGCGGCCTCCCTTCCAATCAGAGGATCAAGCTGCTCAACATCCATATTCGCAATCTCGCTGATATTTCCCGTCTCGAGGATAAGTCGCTCAAGCACCTTAGGCGTCACGCCTGGAACAGCACGCAGCATGTCCTGAGGGAGAGCATTAAACGTACGATGCTCAATACCCGCCGCTGCCATGACATCGCCTGGATGTGATGATGCGACAATATCCATATCAAGGCCAATCTGCACAGCCCGGAGAGGGTCCGGTTCTGGGTTATTCTTCTTCAGCTCAGCGAAGATTTCGGCGGTCTGATAGGGTGAAGAAGACCATATGATCTTCAGGCGTGGGAAAGTCAGAGTAAGAAGCACGAGGAGATGTTGGGCGGATTTGGGGCTGGATGGGTTCATGAGGGAGCTGCTGATGGATAGGGAAGTGGTTCCTGTTCCGGATGACGAGAACCCATAGTCGGTAAGGAATGATGTGCCGGGTGTCGATGCGGATGCGAACGCATCGAATGTGAAGGATTTATGCTGGTCAAATTCGATGAGCAGTAGAGGGTTCTTGTAATGCTGGAGCATCGTCTCGGCCTGGTTGTAGAGGCGCCCATTTCTCAGGGAAGTGATGAGGTCACGGACTGATTTACGCTCCACGCAGATATCGGGGGTCAGGATATAATCGCCGACTGTTAACTGGCACGGGACGATGATCATGTTGTTTCCGTGCAATAGAGACGGCAGAGCGCTTCTGAATTCTCGAACGTCCACGACTACTCGAGGAGGTGACGCTGTTGCGGCTAATCGACCCCCTCCGGCGATACGCGTGTTCACTGTGCGAAGGAATTGTTCCTGAGGATCTTCTTGACTCTTATCATGGGTGAGGGTGACGGCCATGCTCTGGGTGATGCATCAATTAGTACAGGGACGGATGAGACATGATCGAAGTCGCTTACCCCTTTCTCTTTTATAAGCTTAGTAAACGAGTCCTTCTCTCGTCGGACTGCACTCAGGTAGCGTTGCTCTTCCACAGAGCCCCCGTAGTAGATGAAGTATACCCTTACATTCCTTGCAACATGCGAGCTGCGATAAACTTCCACCCGCCGAATGAATGCTGGGTCGGGTTCGTACATAATAATGTATCGCGGCCGTACTTCTTCCAATATATGCTCGTCCATATCGCCATCGTAGGGATGCACTATGACCAGGTCGTCCATGTCATATAGCTCGAAGAAGTCTTCCATGTCTTCCAGGTCATCACTGATGATCTCCCCTTTCTGTGTCTCTTCAATATCAGTTGGTTGTAATTCTTCTAGTAAGCTGGAAACTTGACCCGGCAATTCGGTGTCAGTCTGCACGCTAGCATTCGGCACTCGCGCTGCAGCCGATGTTACTGCTCCTCCACCGCGGACACGACGTCGCTTGTTCGGGGGAGCTCTGCCCTGTTGACTCATTGGCTTCGGTGACTCCTGGCCTTTTGCGTTCTGGGTGTCGTCGCTTGATTTGGCAGATAGATTCCTGTTAACATTCGCCAATGAAGTCTTCCAATCAAGATAGTCGCGTAGTCTTCTCCGCAACATCACTTCCGCAGAAAATTTCTTTTCACTCATGGCATCAAGGTCATCATGATCTTCTGCCTTATCTTTACCAAGTCCGGCATGCATTGTTCCGAGATACTCCCTGATCTGCCGGCAGGTCCGTTGGTCGGTACACATGATAAGGACAGTACTATTCGATTCATCCGTGCTGACAGGATTTAAATAAGCATCTTGTTCAATCTCCTCCAGCACTTCTGCTAGAACGGCCCATTTGGGCTGTTCCTCCAGAACAGGTCGAAGGGTTGAATCCAGAGTATTGGCCGCATCACGGGTGATCTTTCCTTCGTACACCCTTGACTTCGCGGTCTGGAAGAGTACGTGAGCAGCATCGAGAAAGAGCCAGGGTGAATAATTATGCCTTGTCGAACCAGGCGGTGGAGAATGCGCGGTCACAATAGTATCCAGATATTTCACGAAGGAGACCGCATCATAGGTAAGCAACGCGCTGTACTAAGAGTGAGTTCCTATGCGGACAGCATATTGTGCATGTTTGGGTGATCAGACGTACTGAAGAATCGCGCGAAGATCAGACAGGTCGCTGACGATCTGTCTGGTCCTAAAACTCACTCGATGCCAAATGGGATCGAGCTGACGCCTTATCGCGATATCAAAGCTCTTATGCAACGCGCTGTCCAGGGTCCAGTCCGCCATGTCAAGTCCAGTATTTGCTTTCTTCAATTCTGCAATACTGATTTCCACACACTCCAGGACCGCATTCTGGATTTCGCGCATTTTATCCGTCATCGGCACCTCAAGCTCAATCACCTCGGCCTTTCTGTGTCCCTCTAATGACTCGGCAACAGTGACGTGAAAACGTGGCCATAATGATGTTTTGCGCAAAAACAGGTTACGCATATAATTTGCCAGAGGAGCAAATCCCGTCGTGAACGGCTCTGGCGAGTCGGAGAAAGCCTTGAGAAAGCCCGACTTGTTGATTTGCCGATAGATCCGAATTATGAAAGCTTCAGTAGAAGTTGCTACTATCCTAGGGTGCCTTCAGCAGACGCTCGTTGATGATTCCTTGGCACTAGGTTATACCTGTCTGCGTGGAGCACAACCACGCCTGTGATCTTTTCCGGGTCGAGGAGTTCTATTGACATGTCTTAGGAAATAACATCCTGGTGATCAGAAAGACAGGCTTACTTGACAGGAGATCAACCACAAGTATCCTGGATGTTACACTCAGAATACCGCCTTGGGCGTAGATCTTCTCTCTGAAGCGTTATCAGTGACTCAATAACCTACTCCACTCATATAGCACGTACCGCATGGGAACCGTCGCCCTTTCCGTGTTGATGACTTTAAGGCCCCTGGCCAGCGGGGTCTTGCTAATAGCATAGTGTTCCGCGAGAGCTACAAGCCTTAGTCTCGCAACTTCTGAAAGACCTGTAAGGTATTGCTATCCGCGGACTACGTACCTTCACCGATCCATTCATTCTCCCGATCATCAGCACCCACAACCAATACTAAGTTATTCCCTGCGGCATCGTAGAAGTGGAGTAAATTGGTCACCAAGCGCAGGAGGCCTAAACCTCGGGCAAGGATGACAAGCTCGTCTTCGCCGCGTAGTTCGTTGAAGATGTCCTGCTGATATTGCTGTATGCGATGCCGTCAGCATGTGGATTGCGGCCCAGGGATAATCTTCCAGGTCTAGTAAAGCGCTTACCAAGGGCAAGGACAGCTTCACCGGGACATTGGCGCGTTCAGGTGGCATGACGAGCCTCTTGACGCGGAAAAACGTCCTTTTTGCGACAAAGTGAGCATTAAAAGGACGCGATGTCACCTGACTATGATGTAATCGTTCCAATTGACTCAAGTAGTTTGAACTACCTATCTCGGCCTAGCGCGCAAGAAATGGTCTCATAGATCAGCATTATTCATTAGCAACGCCGACAGTAACTTCATAGGCAATACAGCTGGACACCCTCAGCCGGTGATTCAGAAGCATAAAGGTTTTGTCAGATGCGCATGTCGGATTATGCACATCGCGCCACACAGTAATGCTCTGTGATTGCCGCCTTATAGCGAGGAATGACATGGAGCATCTGGTGTTCCGTACCCTTGCTAGAATCGGCCCAATGCTGACTCTGAGAATCTACTAAGCAAAGACAATAGCTGTGCGTAAGGACGGACATATAGAATGGATCGAGTCGATTGATGTTTGTCTATTGAGTTGGTGAATACAACTTTCAAGCGGCGGCAATCTACTGTTTCGCTCAAGGAGCGGACCCTGAGACCTCAAAGCTGTGAAGATTGGACTAACGCCACTGGTCTCCAGAACTCCCATTCTACAAGAAGCCCCTGTGATAATCAGCAGTCCATGATGAGTTGTCCATGCCCAAACATGGTGCTCCTGATTCCTGAAATTCTTTGGCTCAGGCAGCTATTGCTCGAGATCTGAAATAGATTTCAAGATTTCAAAGTTTACCAAATTTGTGAAACAAGATTTGCAGGTTGTTTGGTACTATTCTGAACAATCGTCGCTCTGGTACAGTTGGGTAGTGTGTCATTGCGGTCGTTGCACTCATTAATACAACATAGAAAACAAGTAAGGTGGATGGAAGGAGCTGAAAATCACAGCGACTTTGTCCGAGAAGACGGCATGATACTGAAATAATCATCCACAGCAGAATACATCATTCTACTGGTTCAGTTCCTTCTTGCGCTGTTCGATCTCCTCCCTCGAGGCTTTGGGTGGCATGCCTATATCGCTATCAGTAGGCGGCATAATGTTGTCTTTGTGAATTTATCCTCACTATCAGGAATTTGGGGTCCCTTAGAGATATGATCAAAGACAGTAGCCTTCTTTTGCTCATGCTCTGAGCCCTTCGAGGAGTTGTCTTTGGGGTTATTGCTTCCCTGAGCCGTGGGGAAGTTGGAAGTGTCTGACGGAATGACAGGCATGATGAATTCCAGTGAACGGATATTGCTTATCTTCTTGGATTAGCTGGCAGATAGTGACTTTGGAATGTTTCTGCAAACTCAGGGAGATAGTTGAATAGATTCAGGAAATCGAAAAGGCAGTAAGCAAGCAGCCCTACTTTATACTTGGTGTAATTTGTGGTAGGCGGGATGACGTCGTCGTAGGTATACTTCATGCATTTATGTTGTGCAGCAGGCCACAAGACCAGGATTAACTCCTTGGATGGATCTTGTTGACGGACAATCATTTCTAATGACTATCCTAATACTTCATCGAATTTAGTAGGTTCTCTAGTCCCTAGTATCTGAGATTCAGTGAAGCATCCTATATATACGACTGAGCCTTTGTACTGTTAGTCAACTATAGCAGGTGAAGCAAATGTATATTAGGCAGGCATTTCCTCGCTTTAACAAATGTGGGGCCTAACCAGAGTGAAATTACCCAGAGAAAGGAAAGATAGTTATTGAGCTAAGTAATTGACATGGTTTCTAGATGTTGATAAATACATTCTATTGACTTGCAGCAGATGTCTGTGTGATATCAATAGTTAATAGGTGCTGCTACTCATGCTAGTACGGAGATAGTGATGGAAGTTCCCCACCTCTGCTTTGGTTTAGTGCCCCCAGTAGGTAACCACCAAACTCCAGTGGCCGAAGTGACCCAACCCAACAGGCTCATCTTCTCTCTCTCCTATCTCCTACACAATTACTACATTGCCTTTTTCGCTTCATAGACTCCTTCACTTCTGATAGAGAAGAAGCTGTTTTATCTCCTCCCTCCAGCCTCTTTATTCAATTCAGATTCTATCATTCCCAGCCCCTCTTATAACCCCGTGGTTGCCGCAGTGTATCAACATCCGTGCCTAGCACACGAGCGCTCTTCGATTCTCATTGAAGCATCCACACCTATCCTCATGCGATGAATCTGCGACACATAATATAAGAAAAGTTATTGGTGCCACCCATTCTTCGTGCATTTATTCCTCTGTCGTCCTGTCTCGGCGCTCTGAGTGATCCGTCATGCCGTCCATTCTCAGCGACGCCGACAAAGAAATCGTGAAGAGAAATGTCTCGAAACCTTCGAACAAGATCCTTGCTGTAGCCGTTGCGCGGCTGTATGTCGCATACCCTGATCCCCAAAGATGGACATACACAGGTCTGCAGGGTGCTGCGGTGCTTGCCAACGACCTGGTCGGGCGGACTTTCTGGCTGAAGCTAGTGGATGTATCTGTGAGTAGTTATTTCTCGGAACAAGGCTGGAATTCAGGAAACAGACTGCTGACGGTTTCTCGCCACTTCGGAGCATAGCCTTCTGGGAGAGGTGTTATCTGGGACCAGGAAATCTACGATAATTTCGCATACAATCAGGACCGCACGTTCTTTCACACATTCGAGCTCGAAGACTGCGCGGCCGGTTTCTCTTTTGCTGATGAGAAAGAGGCAAAGACCTTTATCAAGAAGATGCATGAGCGGGAGAAACATGCAAGCAAGGAAACCCGTCAAACACCGTTCGCATCAACTCGAGGCCAGGGTCCCGCCCCTATGGTCAATGGCAAATCCGGCGTGGGACGCTCGCTGTTCGGCAGTCTATTAGGCCATCGGTCACCCTCTGGTTCGAGTGCACCACCTCCTGCACCCGCACCTGCAGCACCTTCCGCGCCTCCAACTCAATTAGCTCCTCCGAGCGGCCCCCGCGCAAGGAGTTGCCCTTCGATACTAGTGATCCATCATGGAAGGGGCTCCTAGATGAACTTCTGCAGATGGGAATTACGGAAGACCAGATTGCGGAGAATTCCGACTTTATTAAGGCCTATATAGAACAAAGGCAAGGCAACGAAGCCGACCCCACAGCCTCTCCTTCGGAAGATCAGAGGCGAGGTAAGGCTCCGCCTCCTCCACCTCCATCCGCGCCTCCCGCCTTGAAGGCCACCCCTATCAGTCCACAGAACACCGGTAACAGCGCGGGCAGTCGACGGGGCGCGCCGCCACCTCCTCCCCCGTCGCGCAAAGCTCGTCCTGAAGCCGAAGAGGAACCGGCGCCTGCGGCAGCTCGTGAACCATCACCTCCGCGACCCAGGTTCCGTGCGCCGCCTCCAATAGCAGATGCCGGGAAGCTCGCTCACACCGTTGGCCCTCCCGTTCCTGGCCGACAGAGAGCCATGTCCGGTACCAACCCTGGCCCGCCTCCTCCTCCGCGACCTCCCAAGACTCCTATGGAGGATGGTGGTGGCCCGCGTTTCGGCGTTCCTCCTCCATTCCAGGGGGAGCGGAAGGTATCCGCCCCGCCAGCACCGCCCAGCCGTAGCTCGGCACCTCCAGGGCCGCCTCCTCCTCCTCCGCGAAGCCCTGCCACCCCACCACAGCTTCCTCCCAAAGTTCCTCATGCGCCGACCTCTGCGGCAGGTCCTCCGCCTCCTCCACCGGCCCGCAATCCTGTCCCACCTCCCGCGCCTCCGCCAGTTCCTGCTGCTTCACGGCCAACTCCTCCCCCTCCAGCCACTAGTGCTGTGCCTCCTCCGCCTCCACCCCCTTCAGCGAGTGTTCCACCACCTCCTCCCCCCCTCCTCCTCCAGCAAGCGCAGGACCTCCCGCACCTCCCCTCCTCCTCCTCCTCCTCCTCCTCCTCCCCGTCAAGCGCAGGCCCTCCACCACCCCACCGCCTCCGCCGCCTCCTGGCGGCTTTGCGCCTCCTCCACCTCCGCCTCCTCCTGGTGCCGGTGCACCTCCCCACCTCCCCTGCGGGTGGCGCGGCTCCACCTCTACCTAAGCCAGCGGGTGGCAGGGATGACCTCCTGGCTGCCATCCGATCTTCTGGAGGCGGCGGATTACGGAAAGTCAAAGATTCCGAGAAGAGAGATCGGAGCGCTGCCCTTGTTCCCGGATCTGCTGCTGAGTCGACCGCGCCAACTCCAAGTAGCGGAGGTGCCGCTCAGGGAGGTTTGGCTGGCGCTTTGCAAGACGCCCTTGCGAAGAGGAAGCAAAAAGTTAGCGGTAGCGGTAAGTTTCTCCCGCATCAGTTGTTCGCTAGCGAAACAAGCTAATAATTCGTACAGATGATGAGAAAGACGATGACGACGATTGGTGATCCCATTCGTATGCTTGTAGCTTCTCTGTTTGTTGCGGAGTCTTCCAGTTCTATTCAATGCATGAGTTGGCGGTCACAGGATGGGTTCATCTTCTCGTTGATACCATGCATATCTGCGGCATTTTTCATTCTTTTTTTTTTTTTTGTCGCTTTCAACTAGTGACGAAGACTTGTTCGCCAGGGAAAGTGGCGCTCAACATCCCCTTGTAGGTTTTATCGAAGGGACGAGAACGAGGGTGGATTCTAGAGACTCGCGGAAAGAATATCTATGCAAAATCACATCTAAATTCCCTTTAACCCCTTTAGAAGGCTTTTACGATCACGCTACCAACAGTACGTCAGTTCCGGGACATTGCTCTGGCTCTTTGTACTTGGCAACGGATAAGCTACCCGTACGGATACGTTAAGTAAGTTATCTTGAGCGTTGCAGTGTAGACCGACCACCAGTAGATAGACCACGTTCTAGGAGGCAATATCTACCAATGATGGAGATAATCGGTGATGACGGTGAAAGTATACGGAACATTGTTGATCCGCTATCGTCTTGCGGAAACACTTCGAGCAAGAAAAATAGATAGAAGTATCTGATGAACTCATCAATTTTCAGGAGAAAACAATAAAGAAAGGCGACTTTCAGTCAATCTGGTTGACTGCTCGTTAAGGCAGCCAGATATGCTGTCATCGTCGCATCTGAAACCCTCAGCCCCTTCAGCGACGCTCCTCCGATTTTTGCGCTCTCAATCCGATTTTCTCAGCGTCAACTCATCAACATGCGCACGTCCTCCCCGAAGTAAGCCATATGTACATCAGATCCTTCCCTGCAATGCATCCTCAAGAGCTTCGTCGACCTGGACATGCACTGCTTCAGCGCCACGCCGAACGGCTTTGCAGACCAGTCTAGTCAGAATCCCTACCCTCGCGGCGAGAAGTCATAGCAGTTCGCGGCCTCGAATCCGGCTCTGTACCGGCCAAGCTGGACGCTCGTCTTCAATCTTTCCCTTATCAAACGCACCGTACTCGCGATCCGTTTCCACCAAGAGCCGTCCACTCCTACGCAGACTTTTAGATCTGAGGCGTAGCAACGCCTCAGCGGATAAGCACAACCGCGGCGGCGGGCCCGTGCTGATTGACGATGGAACAGAGGGAGGTTTCACTATTGGCCGAGGGCTAGCAGCGAAAGCAACGAACGAGCCACGGCTACGGTGTACGGAGTTTGACAAGAATGGGAACGTCACTCTTGTGAATGGCGAGTTTAAGAAAAGCGAGTTGATCGCAAAGGTGCGTTTCTTATCTCCATGACTTTGCCTGCCGAATATAAAATTAATGATCGATTGAAGTATGGGCTTCTTCCTAGAGATCTTCGCAAGATCGACTCCTCGACTCTGCCGCACATCCTTGTCCGACCGAGCGCGATCCTCATCAACCTGCTGCATCTTCGCGTTCTGATCAAGCATGATCGGGTCCTTGTGTTTGACGCGTATGGATCGACCGATTCGTATATGCAATCGTTATTTGTATATGACTTGGAGGGGAAGCTACGGCAGAAACAGACAGGAGGATTCGGTGCTCTACCATACGAATTCCGCGCCCTGGAAGCGGTGCTGATCAGCGTTACCACCGGTCTGGAGGAAGAATTCAATGGTGTGAGGGAGCCGGTCGTGCGTGTCCTTCGTGCTTTGGAAGAAGATATCGACCGGGATAAGTTGCGACATCTCCTGATTTACTCCAAGAAACTCGGTACCTTTGAGCAGAAAGCTCGTTTGGTGCGAGATGCCATTGATGACCTCCTTGAAGCGGACGATGACCTGGCTACAATGTATTTGACCGAGCGTGCGAATGGCGTTCAGCGGGAGGAAGATGATCATCAAGAAGTGGAGATGCTTCTGGAATCCTATCATAAAGTCTGCGATGAAATCGTCCAGGCCAGCGGCAACCTGGTGACAAGCATTCGCAATACCGAGGAAGTGTAGGTCTTCTTTTCCACCGCCTTACTGGTCTGGCTACGCAGTTACTGACTGTTGCAGTGTGAAAGCCATCCTTGACGCAAACCGTAACTCTCTCATGTTACTCGACCTCAAATTCAGTATTGGCACCCTGGGCCTCGCGACAGGCACTCTTTTCTCCGCTCTCTACGGTATGAACTTGAAGAACTTCATCGAAGAGTCCGATCTCGGATTCGGTGCTGTCTCTGTGACTTGCTTTTTGATCACCGCGGTCGTTTGTGTTTACGGACTAGCGAAGCTACGGAAGCTCCAGCGTGTTCGTATGTGGGGAGAAGCCGGTGCAGGCGGCGCACCCCTCACACCTCTCACGGCCAGAAATGGTCTCCTGTCCGGTCATCGGCCCAACTGGCGGGCGGACTCTATTGAACCAGTCTGGGGCAGTCTTCCCGGCGAAGCTCGGACAGAGAGAATCAAACGTCTTCGGGACAGCGCGGCTGCAGCCGCTGCCAGGTCTGCAAGTGCGGACGCAACAGCCCAGAAGGCATCTGCTTTACGAAACTCGGGGAATGCATATGGCGGAGCGCCAAAGGGCTCCGAGCATTATCCCACGCGCGAGACTGAGGCCAGTGGCAGTTCCGCTTAGATCGCCAGTTGTGCCACTGCCGTTGATACACGGCTTTCTTCGGCGTTATCGGTCTCGTTATTTGTTGCTATTCGACGAGTACATTCGTCTACTTTCTCAATTATGAGGCACCGTCCTACTCCAAGCGCTTGTGTATAGTTCACCACCCAGCTCATTTTGAAGCTTGTATCTGCGATGCTTAGAGAGTCCGCTCACATGTTCATGATTCATCATTATGTTAATAGACTAGATAGACAGAATCGTCGAGGTTACTCATGTTATTATAATTTCCTCGGCTTCTTCCACTACAGTATGCCCAACTTACAATTCATCCTTCTTGTCGGTGGCACGCAACCGCAACATAGCCACACCATGCGGCCGAACATGAGCCGTGACCGTGCCACTAGGCTGCACCGACCCAACCTTGGAGCCCATCAATACCTTCGAATTGGACGGCAGAGGGCGCGAATAGACCTCGTGCGCCCCACCCATAGCAGTCAAGTTATACGGCGACTGCCCAGTAAACGTCCCATTAATGATGGCCGCCGCATCCTCATTGCTCATCCGGTTGGCCCACAGATCATACACGTCCCAGTGCTGCTTGACCTGTTTCGCCGTTCCCTTGGGCCCACTCTCCCAGAAGATATCGACAAGCGTGGCGTTCATCTCGCGAGCCTTGGACGCCGCGTTCAGCAGCAGCACCAGCTGGTCGCCGCCGCTCAGCGGACCAGAGTACATCTGGATCTCGCCCTTGCCGTTCTCGTCGACGTCGTCGACGAAGTAGCGCCATTGGCGGACGGGGGTGGAGGCAACGGGATCCTGCGAGACGGCGAGGACGGCCGGGTTCTGGAGGATGGAGAGGGTGGGCGGGTCGATTTTGGTCATGACGTTTGTCATGAGGAGGGGGGATTTGAGGGCGGCCCAGAGGCTCATGTGGGCGATTGATTCGTCGTCGGTGAGGCCGCCATTCCCGACCTCTGCGGTGTGTCAGCGTGATTCCATCCTTGGGCAGGTGGATGTTGTGCATGGGGTTACTGGGATGTGGAACTTACGGAGCATATCGAGATCGTTCCAAGCGCCCGGGATCGCCTTGGACGGGTAGTAGACGGCCTTGTTGAGGACGTTCATGATGGAGCATTTGTATCCGGGTGTCTTGCAGTCCAAGCCCTCCAGTTCGGAACAGGGGCAGTTGACGTCGTCGCGGTCCCAGACGTTGTTCAGGTCGCCTGTTGTGCGCCAGGAGTTGGCGATGGTTGGGGCGAAGTTCCAGGGTCCGTCAACGCCCCAGTTGCACAGGGAATAAAGCATTGGGCGGCCGGTTGCATTGAGGGCCTTGAACATGGCGTTGTAACGGTCAAACGATAGCTTGGGAGTTCCTTCTTCTCCTTCGTTGTAGCAGTTGTCGTATTTGAGGTAGTCGATCTAGTTTTGGGTTTTGCTGTCAGGCTTGGACAATATCAGGGGATTGAGGAGAGAGACATACACCCCAGCTTGCCCAGAGGGCAGCGTCCTTTTCCTCGTAACCGAGCGAGCCCTCATACCGCGCGCAAGTCCATTTTCCAGCGCTGGAATAGATGCCGATTTTCAGACCCAGCTCATGGATTTTGTCTGCGAGATGGCCAATTCCCTTCGGGAACTTCTCGGAGTCGGCGATGAGGTAGCCAGACGAGTTCCGGCCGGCCGACCAGCAGTCGTCCAAGACCACATATTCGTATCCCAGGTCTCTGAAGCCAAGAGAGACAATTCTCTCAGCGGCATTGAGAATGACTGTCTCGTTGAGATCACAGGCGAACGAATTCCAGGTGTTCTGTATAGCAACGAGGTAAGCGATCCATATCGGCATGTCTGATGCAAGCGCAAAGAACCCAATGACTTACCCATCCCATCTGCGGTGTCCGAGCTAAACCATTGTTCAATGCAGTGGCCTTGAGGCCGAAGAGCGCCGCGGTGAGCAGCAGCGAAGAGAGCCCCATTGCACAGCGACGAAAGTATTGTCAGGAAAACAGCTATTCTCAGTCACTGGAAGTAATTGGCAATTGCAGATATTCTTCCATATTGCCCTTGATTACCGGGGATTTTATAGCCCGCGATATGCATCTCCGGCTCCCCCGCATGGAATCGCATAGCAATTGACAAGGAACGGTGTTTCTCCGTGTCTGCAGCTTATTTACGCCGTAGACTTTTCTCGAACTGGAGAAGCGGGAGTTTAAACCTGCATAGAACTGTACATGGAGTGGTTAGTATCCTGGTTGACCATGGATAATGACATCAAAGAAGGAGAAACCTCGGAGATATTGTGAAATATTCCCCGCATTCTCATCGGATTCCCATTCCCGTGGAGATGTCGATCACTCCCACGCCTATACACTGAACTTGGACGAAAACTAACTGCGGTGAGTGATATTTATCTATCGAGTGGAGTTGCGAAAAGGTCAATGCCTCTTTCTTGGGTTCTCCATACAAGATTACTTTCATCACACACTGGGGACGATTGAAACATGGCCACTGATGACCTTCGCTTCATTAGACCCCTCAAACTGCTTTTTAAGAATGAAAAGCGGATTGTGCGTCATCGTTGAGAGCAACAGGGGTTCAGCATAGATGATTAGGTCACGTGACATTAAGAGTTAACTCGAGTAGGATCATTGCGCCAGGCGGAAGAAGTACGATGGGTATCCTCCTTAACAACGTGCTAAGCATCGCAACCATGTCCGAACCAGCATGCTTGGTAGGCACCGAAGCTCCCCAGATCGAGTTTTTGGTTATGAACTTATGACTCGGCTATAGATCGAGCTTGCCTTAGTCGATGTAGCTCATAAATCTCCTCACCCAGACCTGGAGCAGGGCCGTCAACGGTCAGACCCGGCGCAACCTGATTAATCGGGAGCGGAACGACTGGTCCAGCTTTCGCACCCAACTGCGTCTTCCACTGTACAAGCTGAGCAGACGAACTAGCATAGACGATCCGCCCCAAACCCGCATACGCGTGGGCAGTTGTGCACATCGGACAGTGCTCGCCAGAAGTGTAGACAGTGGCAGCGGCGCGGTCGGCGGGTGTCATGTGCTTTTGGGCCCAAACAGCCAGCGTAAATTCCGGATGCATCGTGATATCTGCTTCGGTCGTGTCTCGGTTGCGGTCTTCTCTGAGGATCTTGCCCGTGGCATCCACAAGCACTGACCCAAACGGGTCATCGCCGGCATCAAGCGCTTCGCGGGCTAACTCCACACACCGACGCAAGTAGCCAATATCTGTGCTCGACAGCATTTTGCTCTACTATCAAGGAAGTTGAAGGATATTTAACGCCTGAAAGGGGCAGAAATCGGCAGTTCCAATGAACAGCAGTTCCTGGGGCGTGAAGCTCAAGTCTGCGGATTGATTGTTTACAATAGGAGTAGGACACCTTATAAGTGCTTGAGAGATTAAGAGGTGGAAAGCGAAAGCGGAGGCGGGAAAAGCGATCGTATCATTGTGACTCATACAGTGGGGGCCAAATACTTTTGAACCTACGCCGTGGCTTAGGCTTCAAGGAGAGTACTGTACAATTTTTGACTCGGAGCTTAAACACGAGCCAAGGAATGGCTCTCTTTTGCAAGGTATCTTGGGTTTCATCGCAATATCATCAATGAGCTGGCTGGTTGCCCTTTCCCTGCCCCTTGTGGAGTCCCTTGGCACGTTCAATCCATATCTTCGCTGCGACCTCGACTCCTCCTTCTCGAGCACACTCCCGCTGGACAACCGCCGCGACCCTTTCTAGGACCTGCTCGGCAGCCCGAACAGCATCGGGAGCACTACATTGGACTGCCTGCGAGGCCTGTGCGGAATGAACCCTCGAGGTCCACTCCTGCGTTGTCCGTCTCCGGCCACCGATCACGCCCATATTCCTTGTGCTAGGAATGCGTAACAGCGTCTTTTCCACTTTGTATCCAATCTCTTCGGCGATACCCATTGTCTTGGCGGTAAGAGAGCCGTACATGGAATTGACCGCGCCGGTATCGGTGCGCTCCTGCTGTTTAGCAGCCCGGAGCGCTTTTAAGTCTCCGGCTGCGGGTTGGCTATTCTGTTCCACCTCTTGATCTTCTGCTCGGTCAGCAGAACCCTTCTTGTTAGGCTTCGGTGGCGGGTAGCGATATCTAGCTCCGGAGAGCGAGTGAGAGCAGCAAGGTATTGAGATGAACGGTAAGGGGGATGTCGGGTTCGAGAGGGCAGCCATAAGCGGCGTCCAGACTGTGAGTTCGTCGGCATGATTCGAGATGATGAATGTGCTCTCTGGAAACATGCCTGTGTGCGCTTTCACGCCAATGTCCATCTCCGAGCCTGTGCACACGTCTGCAAAAGGCTTGGGTATGTATATTTCCTCCCTGAGTCTCTCCTGGATTGACGACGGGAATATACTCCAGGTTTTCCTACGACGAGCATCAAACCCCCAGCCCTGGTACCCTTCTGAGATAAGCACATAGACAAGCACTCCGTTTCCACAAGCGACATCCACAAATCCGGGGAATTTTGAATCGTACTCTTCTTGCGCCTTCTGGTCTGGGCTTCTCTCATCGGCGGGTACAACTCCGTACATACTCCTCCACAGCTCAATAAGGAAGGCCGTGATCGAGAGGTCTTCGAAAACATGCTTATTCGGTTCAGTATCCTCGACCCAATTCTGACATAGGTCCGCCGCGTACTTCAATTTGAGTCGTGCGTAGGTGTCCTGCACAAGGTGCCTTGGTATCACGTTATCTTTGTGCGGGTTGTAGTTTCCTCCTTCTGGCTTTTCGTCCAGGCGCGTCTGACGAGCAAGCCGGATCTGAGTGCTCAGAAGTGCGAGCAGGGTGCGCTCTAGACGGTTTTGGATTGGTTCTTCCTCATATGGCAGGAAGTGCACCGACATTATCCCTGTCCCTTTCTTCCCTTCGGATGAATGTAGAGAAGCATCGGGTGTGAAATCATACAGGAAGGCCAATGATCGTAGCAGGGGGTGGTACCACGGCATCTCCTCCTTGGACGAGACATGCGGCAGGTAGATGACCAGGAAGCGTTGGCGCGGCGACTCAGCCTTCGATTCGCATTGCTCGCTTTGAGGAATATCTGTACTAGTAGATGTCGGAAGGAGTTCATCCGCCTCGTAAAAATGACAGGTCTGTTCCAGGGGCCGGTCCAGATTCTTATTCCTAGGGATGAGCCTCCTCACAATGGTCCTCTTCAGGTCAAATCCAGGTACACTCCTCGCGGCAAGAGGCTCGACATGGTCTTCTTTTTGAGTATCCTTGTCGGTGCCGCCGCTGCCATGATCTTGGATATTCTCCTTCGCATGCGGGGCACTGAGAACCCCCAGGCTATCATAAAGGATGTCCGCACGGAACAAGTGGCTTGAATTCAAATTGGGATTCGCCAACAGGAATACCGTCATATTTTGAATAACCTCCGGATTGAAGGAGAGATCTCCCTCTATCAGATCTGGCGAGGTTACCCATCCCTCCTGCAGGGTTTTCAGAACAGGTGATGACTCTATCGTCTCAGCCAGAGGTTTCCCGGAGAGCTTAGTGACATCTCGTGGGTTCTTCTTCACGTTCCTCGGCATATTGTGATTGTTGAGCGGCCACAGGCCTTGTCTCCCAATGTCTTGGTCTGTTTGCTGATTATAGTGGCGGTTTAAAGAGCGGCATGATATGGTTAAATATTTATCGGTCTTGGGCGGTTGATAACAAGCTTACCGCAACGCCGTCAGGATTCTGAAGCACACCTTTGTGATCCATGACAAATAGAACTTGCAATTTTGCTCTCAAATACTGCATATTACCTGATCAGATTTGATCTCGCTTATTGATCTGGTTAGTCATGTGACACTATTCCTGCTCTTTGCAGCACCAGCCCTATTGGGCGTTTAGTGCGCCTGTATCATGAGCCATAAAGGCTGAAACTTTGTCTCTACCATATTTTCTCTGGATTTTATCATAAAAATATCCCTATGAACAATCATTGGAGGGGCAAAAAAGGAATAAGAGGGAAAAAGAAATCTCCCCGACAGGGAGTCGAACCCTGGTCTCCCGCGCTCGTTCTCTATTGAGTGACAAGCGGAAATCATGACCGTTAGACCATCGAGGATTTCTTATGTCCAAAATAAGATTATTTAGTCATATCTGCAAAAAACCTCAACCCGACCAGTCGGCATCTTCAATCGTCGGATGGTTTTCATTGTTTATTATTCACGGAGTACCTCCATAGTTTCATTACTACGTAACCACAGAAGCTATCAGCACATTTCTCTTCACAATATCTTCCCAGCACGTCGTCTGTCGATGTTCCTGATCCGTCCAGTCTCCTTCGACATCTCCTTTAACATTGCCATCGGCTTCTACTGCGACTTTGAGCTCTGCCTCAAATGAAACGCCTACTTCTCAATCAACATCACACGCTCAGGGATCAGGTCCCTTATTTAGGCCGTATCATCGGTGTTTCGATCGTTGGATGACTGTCAAGCCAACTCATCCCTATATGATCTGCCTGATTGTGTCCAGCAAATGTGGCCGGCGTTGTGAGAAGTGTGCTAAGGCCCATGTGATTTATACTCCGGTAATGTCTTCCTCTTATCTTTACTACCACTACTAATTGATTTACCTAGCTACCGGACGCGGTATTGCAGAGTCTCCCGCATCTTCTGCATCGGAAGTCTCACTTGGAGCGGGAATCCCGTCGGTTTCTAAAGGAGCTCCGTAAGGTTGCCGATTCTGTCTACGGCCATGATTAATGTATATATTTATAGGTATATTTTCCTGCACCCGGCTCCACCATGCTGGCTTGACTCTTGTCGCCTACTCGATGCACTCGATGCTGCATCGTCGTCTGCCGTTCACAGCATTACATCTGCCGCCGATTTGCCGCGGTATCGAGATCTCTAGTCATATCGAAGGCATGAGTTCCCCTCAACAGTCAGTCGATGCAAAAGAGGAGCTGACTATAATCCATTGCTCTTTATTGTCTAGCACATACGACCATAGGGTGTGGAAAAACAGGGCTTCCCGTCCGCTCAGCCGTACTTAAGCCACACGCCGGCCGGTTAGTAGTTGGGTGGGTGACCACCAGCGAATCCCGGCTGTTGTATGTTTTTTGCTCACCTGGTCTTTTCTTCTTTGCTTCATTGTATGCCATTGCTGCCCTCTGAAGCCTTCAAGGCACATGCAGCCGCTGCCTGTGCTGCCCAATTACTGCCTTGGCCGGTGCAGCAAGCAGTGCAACCACTATGAAGTGCTTCACTAGTCCAAAGCCCAATCCTCAGTTAGCACTAGTAATGAAGGCAATAGTGGGAGCTATAACAGCAAATTAGTTAGTACACAGCAAGAATTGAGGGGAATTGATCTGGAGTTGATCGCTGTTTTGATAGGCACCTGGAAGGTTGATTACCAATCTCGATTACAATGCGAGGGATAATGGTAAGCTTTTGACAGGGGTTTGGAGCTACTGCATAATGGCGAAGCGCAACCTGCATGGCCTGTGTGTATATGCAGGATAATCATGCGTTTAACACGCGTGTTCGCACGAGATAATCTCACATCGAAAACCAGTTTACGACGATGGCTGGTGGCGAGGGCCTGGAGATAATAAGTTTGGAGAGGACACACCCTCAACTGGCTGTATGGACAAGCGCGTAAGCATCGTCAACGTTTGTCAGTTATATAGTCAGTATATATGGGAATGCCGGAGAAACAAATGCTTCAGTTCACACTTTATTCCCTTCTGTTGTAGCAGTCCATACCCGACAGCAACTTATGTGGACCCAGTCAGACCTAGGCCCGAGTTTCCAGGAGATTCTGGGATGCTGGACTATAGATTTCAAGGCCAGGATCTGACCTCCCTTGCAGGAAAACTTCTGAATTGCTTATTGTTCTCCTCTTTGGCCGAGCCATTTGGGTGGGCGGTTTGTTGCTGTATGTACCTGCAGTATGGCCGAGGGCAGGCTTTTTTTGATAACATCTGGGAACCATTGAAGTGTATATCTCTCGCCACCAGCCAGCATCCCGTTGACCCAAGCTAGGTGGTAGGATGGAACCTGACTATTTCACTGGTTACTCTCCAAGTATAACTGGTGCGTCTAGCATTGACACAATGGTAAGGGGGTTTATCAAAAAAGTATAGCTTGGCGGAAAGTACTTCCTTCGGCTGCAGGGGATGCACAAATAAGATGGCATATAATGAATCTGCAGTACCGTTGAAGATGTTGAAGAATATGAAGGGCCCATTGTACGTATCAACCCGATTGAGGTGTACTACAATGGCCGTGAATGCATCGACCTGGTCCTTCATCAGCTGGCAGTAGCGGCGTCATCAAGGCCATTCTTTATCCCGGAACCCCGAGCTTCATTAACCCAAGCCCCGAAAAGTAGACCGTACCAGGCTGGCCATTAGCCTTCCATGCTTATAGATTTATAGTTGCTTTTATTCTGAGCCATAGTTATGCCACGGTATGCCTAACACGTCGGAATACCAAGATACATAGTAGTGTCTAGTCTGGACCCTCTCAAACAAGTGATGATAAAGACATTGTGGAATCATGCCATTCATTGTCTTGGTATTCACATGCTTGATCTCCATGTGGAGGATATCTTCTGTCTTCTGTACCGTCGAATAATATCACTTGGGTTTTCGCCCTCCCAGGTACCTAAACTACGCAGACGCTTAGAGAAATTTGCGGCACTTCTTGCTTTGAGAATGATGGCTGACTTTTTCCGATCTAGTCCCAGCCTCTCGTTAGTAATGATGTTATCCAGTATCAACTTACCCGTTGGACCCACTCATCTCATAGTGCCAAGGTTTAAGGTACAACGTCGGTTCCAGCCCTTTGTCCCGCCCACTTATCCAAAGGCAGGCATGTAAGGCAGAATCCACAGGACATACGGAGTATATGACTAAATACACTTTGATGTAACTAACTAACTAACTATGCCTAAAATAGTTCTGCACAACGCAGAGCGCAGTTTTCACAAAGCAACAGGAGTATGAGAGCTCTTGTCTCCAGATCACTTGACCGTGTATCAGAGTAAGTCATGAATGCTGCTGAGGCTGGATAGGCCCATTTCTTCAAGCATCTCAATCCCTTCATCCCAGCATGTCTGGTCGGACCAAGCAACTCAAAAACGACGGAGACCCTGATCAGAGGGGAGTCTCAATGTTGGACGGTAGAGTGAGGGCTGAGATGGTTTGGCAGTAGCTTCCATCCGTCTGAATTGAACGGTTCCTGGGACCTAGCGGATATGAGTGTCAGGACGACGCTGAACCGGAGGAGCGACGCGCGCAGAATTTAGAGGCGTAATTTGCTTTGCGTATGACAGAACTTTTTCTAATGCGGCTACTGGGAAGATCTGGAGCAAGCTACTGTCTGTGATTGTGGTCCCTACTTTTCTCCTGCCGAAGCTTTGGAGTGAAAGAATATGCCCTCCCAAGAGCTCAAGGTACGCAAATGATACACTGGCATGGCGCTCTACCCTTCATCCTCCCAGAGCATGGCAGCATGGGCCAAGAGATCACTAATCTACTGCATCAGGGACCAACTGACCGGCGCTCTATCTTCCCTCAACGACCAGAGCTTCGGTCTCTGTCGAGATACTTATCCGCAAGCGCGAGGATTTTTTTTGCAAAGCGGCGTTCAACAGGTACGACTATGGACAGCTGTACAACGAGAGTTCAAACTACAAGCTAGCCATCCGCACCATGACCTAGGACCGTCTGCTCAAGTCCGCGCAGAACTTCCTGGCGGGATTCTGGGGTCTGGAGTAGACTGGAAAGGCCAATCTGCTTCTTATAATTGAAGACTACAGCCGCATCTACATCGCTGGCACACGGGAAACGCTGTACGGGCACTTCCTGCAGAACCAGCAGGACGGCCCCTCCACGAATGCGAGTACCGTGATGGATGGGAGCTGCGAGCTCCCCACTTTCATGGACGCTCGGAAACACAGCCTGCAAAGGGCCAAATACGAGTTACTCGTGCATTGGCTACTGGGCCATTACCGATCGAGTTGCTCCTTACTAGGTACAAGGTGTGGGTGCCAAGTATAAAGACCACAAGCTTATGTAGTATTATCGTAATTATCAGTAATTATTATATAAAATTTTAGAATGCTGTTCCTCCGCCTTAGTTGATAGAGAGGAGCGGAACAGACAAGCCCGATAAGCCCAGTTGTTTTTGATTGAGAGCTCCAATGACGCAGTTACCCACCAGACTAAATAATGCGCCCCTCACCCGCAGCGCAATCTTGAATTTCCCACTTACTATGTACTTTCTGTTCTGTCGCTACCACCGTTAATACAATTAAGCATCGTACACTGCTGCCAAACACTACAAGGGGAAAAATGACACCCCGTTGCTTCATTGTCCGTCACGGCGAGACAGAATGGTCCCTTAACGGGCGGCACACCGGCACCACCGACTTGCCGCTTACAGCAAACGGCGAGAAACGGATCAAGGCAACGGGCAAAGCACTGGTCGGCAATGACCGACTGATAGCTCCGAAGAAGCTGGTGCATGTGTACGTCTATGTATTCTGGAATTATTTCTAAAATGAGCCTCGATTGGAGACAATTGGGTTGTAGATGACAACAAGAAATGGCGACGAGCTGCGCCATGCTGATATGTTGGTGCTAACGTTGACCGACTAGCTACGTATCTCCACGCACCCGCGCCCAACGTACCCTCGAGCTCCTCGAAATCGGCTGCAAAGAGAGACTCCCATGGACCGAGACCAGAAAATCAGAAGAGGAGGAACCCATCCGCACGGAAGCCAAGGTGGAAATCACCGACGCGATCCGGGAATGGGACTATGGCGATTATGAAGGATTGACGAGTAAGCAGATCACAGAGCTGCGGGAGAAGAATGGGCAGGGGCCGTGGGATATCTGGAGGGACGGATGTCCAGGTGGAGAGTATGATCCCGCTTGCAGCTTAAAATCCCCTTCGTCGTGGTAGGACCTGTGCGGCAGCTGATGAAAGTGAAATCGAACAGATCCCCGGAAGACGTCATCCGTCGACTTGATGCCTTGATCGCTGAGATCAGGAAAAAATACCACAGTAAATGCTTCGAGAGCTCGTCAGGCGGCAAAGGGGACGTTCTGATCGTCGCACACGGCCATATTCTGCGCGCATTTGCCATGCGCTGGACCGGAAAGCCACTCTCGGAGACGACCCTGATTCTGGAAGCTGGCGGAGTCGGTACTTTGAGGTGAGATATTCCCGGTGCCGACGTTTCCCTCTGTAAGTCTCTTCTAACTATCCCAGTTACGAACACCACAATATCCACGAACCGGCGATCATCCTCGGTACTGCCGGTTTCGTCGTAGAAGGGTAGGGTCGTGACTCAGATCTCCCCACAGGGCACAAGACATCTGCCTCGGTCAGCATACCCCAACAGACAATATAGATAGCGAATCCTAGATATAAACCGCATCATAGCATCCTGCAATGCCATCCAAGAGTCTACGAAGGATACTTACCCCGACAACCCGTAACAACGGAGATTCCCTCAAGATTCCGTCTTCACTTTTGCCTCCTCCCCTTTATCCCCTTCACCACTCGAAGCCAAAGCTGAGCCCGAATTCCCTTTCACGCCTTCCTCCCCCAAAACCTTAGCGGACCCCATAAACAAAGCCCCGACATACCCGCCCAAAAAGCGCATATCCTCCGCCTGCACAGCCGTCATGCGCAGCAGATTCTGCGTGTCGGCGAGATTGGCGTTCAACTGCTCCAATTGCGAATGCAGATGAGCGTACTGCCGCGTTTTGGCGGCTGACATGCCGGAGTTTCCCATCCCAGACCCCATTGACGACGAGGCCGATGCGGTGGTTGAAGTTGGGAGGATGGAATGGCGGGGATAGGACTGAGAAGGGTGGTGTTGGTGGGATGGTGGTGGCATTGTTGCGTAGGCGTTTGGCTTTTTGATGTAGATGTAGAGATTGTAAATGAACGAGGACCTGATAGTGTACTATCGATCTATCCTATACACTCGAAGTGATAAGAGAGTCGACTGTGGGGAGTGAGGTAAATTTGGCGCGATGTTTTTGATGCTTTGTTTACGGGGATGACTGGTCACGTGGCACCATGGAGACCCAGTGACAACACCCGATAAGCCCGTCTGATTCGAGTACTCAGTGTCAAGGGAGATCAAGGACAGTGCATATGGGTTAAAGCTTGAAATAAATTTGCTACAAGGCGGTTATTATGAGATTATTCTAGTGATTCAGTCTCTTTCGGTTTATGCAAACGTGTGGATTATTCGAAACACTCATCGCGACATGGCAGGATAATCTTCTATCAATCATGTGTTCTTCTGCACTCATTCGTTGCTCAATAGAACGGTTCTCCTGCATTAAATGAAGCCGTTACGGTTAAGAGGACCGCCCTCCCTCGTGACTACCTCGCGAGGCGCGAACCCAGCCAGATTAAGTCGATCGATCGACCGGATAAGTCAGAACCCCTGCTCTTTTTGATGCGCCAGAACCAGACCATGAACTTGCGAGTGACAAAGGCTGCTGGACCTTTGCAAAGTCCCTATAAAAATTCAGAAAAGATGCAAGAAAATTCAGAAAGGAGGGCATGCAGGTAGGAGAAAAAGGGAAAAAAGATGGTAAGATGATATGGAGGACATGAGAAGCTGGTTGCAAGAATGATGCGCCGGTACAGGTAGTGTACAACAATGACGGTCATGCAGAGGGGGAAATGGAATGCAAAGCTGAATGATTGCGACTTGTTATTGGCAGTGGTTTAGCTGCGAAAGTAAAAAAAGAAAAAAGCAAATTTTTCAAGGCCGAGCTTTGGACTCGCTGTCATTAAAGAGAGCGCTGCGGGAAAGGGAGATAGTGAGAAACGCAAAAGCACGCCCGCCACTCCGAAACCCCGAGACGAAAAGCATGATGAAACAAGAAAGATGACCCCTATGTCCCTTGTGTATATGTAGAGCAGCGAACAACACAGTATTATAAGTGATTGACCCCGTTCCTGACGTCGGCGAGCGTCTGTACTGATTCAAGTCTAAGTGGAATTCAAGCATTCGATGTGAGGTATCTCGGAATAGCGTGGACGCCAATCCCATTGGCAGAAACGAAGCAGGAAGGCAAAGACATGAAGAAATAAACGAGGTAAAAGGCTCAACAACGGTCTGAGTAGACTCAGAAGAGAGGCCAAGGCTCGCCAATTAACGAACCGGCATTGCAGCCTGCTGAGCGCCTAGGCTGATTTGGCTGCTATGGGCGGAAGCTTCGGAGTCCAGATTCGCACTGGCTCCGCTATCACCACTCTCCGCGCTGGCGCTCGCACTTCCAGTCAGACTTCTATGCTTGGGAGTGCCCTTGGCGGGATACGGGTTGCTCACCCCATAATGTTGCTCAACTTGCTGCGGACCTACCGCATTGCCATGTCCAGGAGGATATTTCGGAACAGGCGCCCGCATGTTGCCAGGCGGCGACGGATGGCCACCGTGAGGACCAGGGGGGCCAAGAGGTTGATCTTGAGCGGTTGGAGGTCGACCCATTCGCGGACCGGGTCCACCATAGGGAGTAGCAGGGGACTGGCTGTTTCTCCGACTCTGTGGATAAGGGTGTGGCGGGAAGTCGCCCATTCTGCTAGCCGTCATGGAATTCGCACGGGATCCAGCTTGCATTTGGTTTCGGTCAACGGATCCGTACCGGTTAGATGAATAGGCCATCATGGGGTTGTCCATAAGGGAATCATGAAGCCCGGGGATCTCCTGCATAATACGCTCGCTGGTGCGTTTTCGACCCGGGAGGTACCGACTGAAGGATGATTGGGGCCTGCCATTGACACTGATTTCTGGATTCTTGCGGAATTGACTCGCGCTGGGGCCTTTTCTTGTCCTGCGCGATGTAATGCTCATCATATCAACGCTGTCTGGGTCAATATGCGGAATAGGGATGTTGTCCATGGGATCGAAATAATCATCCTCGTCATCTTCATCGAACGCTGCTGCTCTGGATGGCGCTGCCCTACTACGAGGTCCACGTCGCATCTGCATCTCTTGCTCGCGAAGCTGCAACTCTCGCTGCCGGAGGGCCAATTCCCGTTCTCTCAGGGCAAGATCTGCAGCTGCAGGCGGAGGTCCGGGCGGCATGTCGTGCATGCCGTTACTGCCATTCTGGCGGGGCATGCCTCCTTCCGCAAACTCGTCATATACGACCAGATGGCTGAACTCCTCGAGACCCTCAAGAGAAGGTTCGCGAGGTATCCTGGCCGAAGGTGGAAGGGGTTGTCCGCTTGGTGGCCTTGACATTCCGGGCATAGGATACCCACGGCGCCCAGGAGGCATCATCATACCCGAGCCCGACCTGCCACCAGGCGGAGGCCGCATAGGACCGTTTCTTGGGGGAGGTGGTGCCGAAGACATTCTGGGAGGTGGCTGAGCTAGTATGGGGGGAGGCGTATCGTTGTTTGAGGGCTTGTTAAGATTGTTTGTGTTGATGTGATGTAGTGCAGCGTAGAGTGTCTCGATCCGCGGAACCCGGATACCTGACTCGGTCGCCAATTTGATTGGGGACCCAAGATATGTCTCTATCTCCATTGGACGTCGCGATTGGAAATCTTGATACATTGTGCTAGGTGACTCGATGGCAACCATCTTCTCGATCGTCTTCTGGGCGAAGTCACTTGGGAACGAGCAGCCTTGTGATTTCGCGAGTTCGATGAGCTCCTCGATGATACCAGTCACGAGTTGGCGAACCCCGACTTTCTCGAGGAGTTGGGCATGACTCGAAGTCTCAAACATAACACTTGTTGGCTGAAAGGCGATAGGTCTGCGGGAGAAGAGAAGTTAGCTGGAAAAACGAAAAGCAGACCCGAGGGACGGCCAGTATGCTCACCCTATCATGCGCTCAAACTGTTCCTGTCTAATGTTTTCCGACACCCTGCAGTTGACTTGGCCTGAGCTCAAAGTCATTGCCAGAGCAGCAGCCATGTCATTCTGAATCGATGCCGGGATGCTGGAATTCTTGTTCGTTGCACCGACCCAGATGTCCGACGAATTCAAATGCTCGAATTCACTAGCCCCAGTCTGCGAAATCTCCACGCCGGAAACAAGGGAGAGGACCACGTTTGTGGGGAATCGCTGCTCCAATTGAGATTCTACACCAAGGGTATTCGTTGTGTTCACGAGGATGCATGTATGCTGGGGTGTGACGACGGACTCGATAACAGATGCAAGATCGTAGACGTCGGGCAGCGCCTTGACGCACAGAATGACATAGTCGTATGCGTCCTCTCGAGATGCTGCTTCTTCAGGAGCGCGAACAACTACAGAGCGAAACACGTACATGTTAGCAAGCTTACTGCGAATGATACACAAGCCATAATGAGAGAACTTACCATGGCGGGGCTTGAAGCGTTCATTGCCATATGTTTTCGACCTGTGTTTCGCCGATTAGAAAATAGCTCTGAGCGGAAAGACGGCGAGTCAAGAGGAAGCGTACTTAAATGATACTCCATACTGAGATACTGATTCGAATCCAGATTTCCAGACAAGGGTCACATCACAGGACGTTGTAGCCTGAAGTCGCCAGGAGAGGAACGCCGAAATAGCATTACTACCGACTAAACAACCTCGAGTTAGCTTTGGGCTCATGTCGGGTTGCGGCGGATGCTGCGGAAGTCTCTTCACGATCCCGGACATGAGTCTCATTTGGATCTTGTGATAGTGAATTGTTGTAGAAAAGATGTGAAGCTCATTTTGAGCAGCAGATAAGAGCTGGAAAACCAACCTGATAAAACGCGCAAGCGCGGCGGAGGAGCCATAGCTTTTTTGAACCAAAGAGGAAGGAAGCGTCGCGGCGGACCAGAAGTCGAAAATTAAAATGAAATAGGAATCAATATACGATGGACTGCTGGGCTGGAAATGTAAGATTTCTGGATCGAGCGTCCCAAAGGCGCGATTGACGCTGCCTACCACGGGACAAATGAAAGCAATTTCACAACCAAAACCAGGGTGCGGAATCAGTCGGTTTCACTAGGCTAGGATAGCGAGAGGAGCCCTGAAAGTCGAAGGAGGAAATGAATGTAAGGGATTCCAACAAATGGAGTTCTTTTGGTATCTGGAGGAAGGAGAACAGGAGAAAAGAACCAGAAAACAAACGAGAGGAAAGGAAGGATAGGATGGGGAGCTAGGTAGGTAGGTAAGTAGGTAAGTTTAGGTAGGTTGACGCGGATTAGATGGAGAAGAAGAAAAGAAAGAGGGGATGGGATGAAAGACTGGGATGGATCGGAAATGGAACAGAGCAGTGCTGTTGCTACCTACTACTGCCACTGCCAGAAGGTGCCTGTTTGTTCAGTGCACTCTTCGTCTTCGACTGTAGGCGGAAGAGAAAACCAGTGGAAAGAAGTTTGAGTAGTCAGGTCCTTTTTTCTTTTTTTGGTTTCTTTTTTTACTTTCTTTACGCCCCAACTGGCTGTAAACGATTAGACGATGGGCTGCTTCAACGGCCGTGGATCCCCCGCCAGGGCTCGAATCCGGAAACGGGAAGAAAGAGGCAGGGAGACGGCTGATAAGAAGAATTCTCGCTGTCACCGATTAAAGGAGGAGAAAATTGGAGAGACAGATACCGAAAGCGAAAGATGACTACAGATTGTTTTGGTAGAACAAAAGCGCTGTCTACCTATTCCCCGTCATTGATTGTTGATAGCTCTGATTGATGCTGTTTTTCCTTTTCTGTATTTTTTACGGAGTCCCTCAGGTACGAAAGTAATCCTTCCACATATTTCTACAATACTACCAGATATCACTCGATACTGGATACTACCTTACAAATAGAACAAGCATTGGATAACAGTGATAGCGAATATTTCCCCTGTCTCTGTTGCTTTCTCTTCATATCTATCTTGACTATCTTTTTTGCTTAGATGCTAGCATAGTCTACAGGATAATGGCTATCAAGTGTGTAGGCTAGTAGATAGTTGGTAATATTATTAACATCGGAATCGTCATTAAACTAATTTCTTAAAACTTGGAATCTATGTTCTTT